CAGGTATAGAGCAGTTATCACTTTTTTTTTTTAGATTTATTTTTATTTTATTTATACAAGCACTGGGTAGTCAGAAGCACAGAAGGGTGAGAGAATTCACCAGAGCCAGAGCAGGGAGCAGAGCAGGCAGACTGATACTGCTGAGGGGAGCAGCGGGCGGCAGGAGAGGTCTGAGCGCCATGTGGGACCCTCTACCGTGGCCAGGGATCGAACCTGCACTGCAGAGGCTGCGGGCAGCTTCGCAGCCCAGCGCTCAGCCGCTGCGCCACCGGGGAGGCCCGAGCAGTTATCACTTTACTAAATCTTCTCCAGGAGGACTCCAGATCCTTGGGTGCTATTTTCCTCACCATTGTGTGAGTCTCTGTCACCAAGTCACTCAAATATCATTTGAAAGAATAAATGCATATCCTAAATCAGCACAATTCCCTGCTGCTCTGAAGGTCTCTTCTGAAGCCACACTGGCAGAGGCGCTGAGAGATCATCCTGTAACTAGATTTGTCCTTCTTGGAGATCAGTTACAACTTCAATTAAAAAATTTCCCCTTTGGCCGGGCGTGGTGGCGCGCGCCTGTAGTCCCAGCTACTCGGGAGGCAGAGGCAGGAGGATCGCTTGAGTCCAGGAGTTCTGGGCTGCAGTGCGCTATGCCGATCGGGTGTCCGCACTAAGTTCGGCATCAATATGGTGACCTCCCGGGAGCGGGGGACCACCAGGTTGCCTAAGGAGGGGTGAACCGGCCCAGGTCGGAAACGGAGCAGGTCAAAACTCCCGTGCTGATCAGTAGTGGGATCGCGCCTGTGAATAGCCACTGCACTCCAGCCTGGGCAACATAGCGAGACCCTGACTCGCAAAAAAAAAAAAAAAAAAAAAAAAAAATTTCCCCTTTGTAACAGGGTGGTCCCCAGGAAAAGGGGAGGTTCCAGTGTCCCTGCGCCACCCAAGGAAGGGTGGAGCTGAGCAGGAAGAGAAGAAGCTAGAGAGGAGGCTGGAAAAGGGAGAAGGATAGAGAGCAACAGGGAGACCTGGAGGAGGCACGTGGAGCAGAGACAGGTGAAGAAGCTGTGCTCGCTTCTTGGTCCTGGACTGGCTGAAACAGATGTGGGTGAGAGACCCACATGGAGTCCTGGATGTTAACATAGGGGTACATAAATCTTTTCACATTAGTATTTTCATATTCTTTTTTTTTTAAGATTTATTTATTTATGGACACAAGAGCTGGGGCACAGGCCAGAGATGCAGGGGGCGGGCAGGTGAGAGGATTCACCAGAGACAAAGTGGGGAGCAGAACAGGCAGATTGACTGAAATACACTGCTGAGGGGAGCAGCGGGCGAGACAGGAGAGGTCTGCTGTGCCATATGGGTTTCTCTCTGGCCGGCCGGGGATCGAACTCGTGCTGCAGAGGCTGCGGATTGCTTCACAGTGCGGTGCTTAACCCCTTGTGCCACCAGGGAGGCCCTATTTTCATATTCTTTGGGTAAGTACCTAACAGTGGAATTGATGGATCATAGGGTGTTTTCATTTTTTAAAGGAATCCCCATAACATTTTCCATAGAGGCAGTACCCGGTTGCAGTCCCACACACAGTGGAGAAGCGTTCCTTTCTCTCCACATCCTCACCAACATTTGTTGTTTCCAGTCTTTTTTATATATACAGGCGCCCCCACTGGGGTGAGGTGGTGTCTCATTGGGGTTTTGATTTGCATTGCCCTTCTACAAAGCTACGCTGAGCATTTTGTCATGTGCCTGTGGACCATCTGAATGTCTTCTTTGAAAAAGTATCTATTTATGTCTTCTGTCCATTTTTTGATTGGGTTATTTATTTTTTGTTGTTGGACATTTAAATGACTCCTGATTTGTAACATGATATGAATAAAGCATCAGAAAACGTGGCAACACATATACCTCTTTGCACATCTGATTACATCCTTACGATAAATCCCAGCAAGTGGAAATTGCAGGGTTGGAGGGTCTGAACATTTTTTAAGGCATTTGACAGATCACGTCATGTTGCTTTTCAGAAAGGTACCAATTCACATTTTCTAGCAGTCCCATCTCACGGTTGCCTGTCTAACACTCTGTGTTAGGGCCAAGAGTGATTATTTGGTTCATCTCTGTTAATTTGATGATGGGTGAAAAATGTATTAAGTTTGTTACTGAACCATGAACGAAATCAAAGATTAAAACATACACATATACACTTGCCTAGTGAGCCAGGCTGAGCCAGGATAAAATCTATCGCTTCTCAAATGATTGAACTGGTAACATCAAAATAGCCTCTGAACTGAGACTCAACCTGTTTCAATCCATTCCAATCCTAATTAGGCCATAAGGGGACTACACCGGAAACCTTGACCTTGTTAACAAGGTCTGCAGCCGCCAACATGAACAGGACCCAACTGTCAACCCCATCCCTGAGAGGGGTTTTACAGGTGTCCAATTACAAGTGCCCTCCTCCCCCAGCCAATATGGTTTGGCACAGGAAATTCCCAAAACAAGAGGAAGACCAGAAGGAAGGCCTCCCCAGGAGCCAGGCACACACGGGCTTCTGGCCTTCCCCACCACACCTCTGTCAGTCCTGGGGCCGCATGTGGGCCCGCACAAAGCCTAAACCAACCTGTGATGAGAAAAACAACTTTTTAAAAAAAGATTTTATTTTTTTATGCATATAAGAGCTGGGGTGTAGCCAGAGGTGCAGGGGGTGAGAGGATTCACCAGAGAGAGGGGGGAGCAGAACAGGAGGATCTACTGAATTACACTGCTGAGGGGAGCAGCAGGTGAGACAGAAGTCTGCTGTGCAAGTGGGTGCGGTGGCCGCGGATAGCTTCATAACGCTGAGACCCCCTTGTGGCACCAGGGAGGCCTGAGAAAAACAACTTTTGAGCAGAACAACTTTGTTTTTCTGGGCTGCTGCTTTCCCTGACAGCCCTGCTCCCACTGAGTGTGGTCCTTTCTCATAAGCATTTGAGTTTAAGGCTCCCATTGAAAATTCCACCTTTGGGGCCTCCCCTGGTGGCACAGCGGTTGAGCGCTGGGCTGCGAAGCTGCCCGCAGCCTCTGCAGTGCCGGTTCGATCCCCGGCCACCGGCGAGGGTTCCACATGGCGCGCAGACCTCTCTGCCGCCCGCTGCTCCCCTAGCAGTGTATTTCATCAGTCTGCCTGTTCTGTTCCCTGCTCTGGCTCTGGTGAATTCTCTTACCCTCCCGCGCTTCTGACTGTACCCAGTGCTTGTATAAATAAATAAAGAAATCTTTAAAAAAATTATAAAAAAAAAGAAAGAAAGAAAATTGCACCTTTGCTTTTCCCAGAGCCCCTTCTAAAATAATTGCTTGGAGTGACCTCTGTCCTCACTACCTTACAAGTAATAGGACCTTGCTGTCCTGCACCGTGGTGACCTGGGCTGCCCTTCCAGGTTACTCCCTCCCCCAATGTTTCAGGAACCTGTAATAAATTGTGTGCCTCTATTTCTTTTGTGTGAGTGTATTGAAACTGCGTCAACCAAACCAGGGTTTCATTTCCCCAAAGTGGGACCTGGGCTAATGAGGGACTGTCCTGCCAGTCCTGACCCTCTTCAAAGTCATTATCGTCATGCTCCCCAAACATAGCCTCCCATTCCCCAAAATGACACTTCCACAAAGAGTTCTTGTTCATGCAGGATTAAGCCAGATCACGAGGTGAGTGAAAAACTGTGTAGCAGGTCTTCAAACAGCATCACTGCTTTCAAAGTCATTTTGTTAGACCTTGATGAGGAAAAACACTCGATCCCATCTGTGAGGCACTTGCGTGTTCTCCCCACGTCTGCGTGGGCCTCCTATGGCAAAGATGTGCTCCTGAGGATCATTGCCACATGTCCGTTCTCCCAGCTGAAGTGAACTTGGGGTTGTATTGTGAGGGGCTGTGCAGTGGTAGGGTGTCCTACCCAGGGCGAGGTCCCTAGTTGTCAGGCTTCAATCCTGAGACACTGAACTGGAATAAGCTGTTTAGGAAATAAGTGAGCCCAAACGATTTTTGAATATTGGAAGAGCTTGGGTCTTTATTTAGAACTTGGTTATATTTTTGTGACTAGAAATCTGCTCTAACTGGGAAGCCAAAGGCGGTTACAGGTGGCGCCCCCTGGAGGGGGGCGCCCATGAGGATGAATAGCCCCGGGCAAAATACAGACACCCTCAGCGCGGGTGGAGACTTTGATAGGTAACGTAAGGGGCAGCAAAAGCAGCCCCTGGGGTTCAGCGATTTGCAGGAGTCAGCGATTTCGATTGATTTCGGGGTCAGCTGTTCCTGTCCCCACCACGCCCATCTTCCAGAAGGCTGTGCAGGGCTTTCGAAAGACGTGGAGAGGCTTCCAGCAGCCAACCTCAGAGGAAAAACGCTTAGAGGCTTTGCAGGTAGCGAGTGACTAAACCGTTCCCAGCTTTGCTGCGGTTGCAGCCTGGAGGGGACATGGCTTTCCAGCGAGGCAGGAGGGGCCCGTTCCACTGCACCGCTCTCCGCGTTACTGACAAGGCGGGTTATTTACAAATTGGGGCACGACCACTTTATGCAGGTGCACGTGACCATGTGAGTGAGCACTTGCTCTGGCCTTAGAACGGCCTCCGCATCCTGGCGCCTCAGGAACGGAAGGTTCTAGAAGGTTCTCACAAGGGGTCCCGCCTTCGTTTGCAGAATGCTCCGCGGCGACAGGCCGCGCGGGGCCGACTGGAGCGGGAGGAGCGCGGCAGGCGCATAAAGGGGGCCTGGCTGAAGCCCCCCACGGACCCGAGCGCCACCGAGTCGCGCGAAGATGGAGGCGGCCGCCACGCCCGCGCGCCCGCCCCCCTGCCCTCTCGCCCCGCGCCCCGCGCCCGTCAGTCTGCGCCCGCCCGGGCGGAAGGGGCGGGCCCCGCGCGGGCGCGCGCGCCCATTGGCCCGTCCGGGGGGCGGGGCCTCGCGACGCCCTGCCGTCCCGCCCCGGCCCGCGGGGAGCTGCGGCGGCGTCGGAGGCGGTGAGCGCGGGCGCGCGGTGCAGCAGCCGTTGGCCGCCCCGGCCTCCTGCCCTCTGGGCGGGGCTCAGGACACCGCGCCGGGAAGCCGGGCGCCCGGTGAGCCCGGCGGGCTGCGCCCTCCGGGAGGCCGGGCCGGGGGCCGAGGCGGCGGGCCGGGCCCGGGCCTAGGGGGAGGGGCAAGCCTCGAAGGAAGCTCCCCAGGGGCGTTGACCGCCCTGCGGTGTGGACCCCCGCCCCTGCTGCGTGAGCCCCCCTCTGCTGCCTGAACTCCCCTCTGCTGCCGCAGCGCCTCCCTCTGCGCTGAATCCCCTGCCCACTGAACCCCCTCCGTGTACTAACCCCCTGTACTGCCTAAACCCCCTCTTCTGCGTGATTCCCCCACCCCCGCCGCCAGAACCCCTCCTCTGCTTCCCGAATTCCCTCCCCCCTGCTGCCTGAGCCCTCCCCCGCTGCATGAAGCCCTCTCTGCTGGCCCTTGACCGCGCTGCTCCCTCCACGGTTCCCCTCTCTGCTTCAGAAACCGCCTGTGCCGTGTGAACCCCCCCTTCTCTGCTACCTGAACCCCTCTTCGCTGCTGCAGTGAAATCCCCCATTGCACAAACGACCCCCCCCACCTCCTTTTTTGTCTCTGTCAACAGCCAAATCAGTTTTGCCCATTGGTGTAATGAATGGTCTGCAGCTGTCCCTGTCCTTTCGGGGACTTGGCAGCCAAAAAGGCACTTGCTTTCCTGTTTTATTTTTTGTGCTGTGGTCAACTGTTAACTTCCCAAGTGGGGAGGGCTTGTGAGCCTTGTTTAAAACGCCTCTCCTGTTGAGGTCAGAGGCCGGCCTTCACGGAGATGATTTATTCAGGAGCCTTTTAAAAATAATCTGTCTGGACAGAACCTCTGGGAGGGACTCTGGCTGTGTTTATGAACGTAATACAGGTGCCTCCCTAGGCTTGGGCAGTCATTTCTTTCTAGCTTTGAGCTCTATACTACATCGCCCAATAGACCCATCCTGAGGCTGAGCCCAGCTCACCTTTGCCCCAGAGGCTTGTGTGTGTACAATGGCAGCAAGTGGGTTTTATAAACTACAGTGCAAATTTTGTTGCAGGGCACATCCGCGACGTCAGACCTTCAAGCACTTTGTGCCAAATCATTACCACTTGCCACATGATTCTAAATAATGATGGATGCCGAGTATGTCCTCTGCAGATGGAAAAAGCGATTATGGCCTGCAAAGGTGACAGCCATTATTCTATAATTTAAGGAATTAGAAATGACTTTCTGGTGACAAGTAAAATCTTTATCAGGAGATACCTCGGAGTTGCTCCAGTGAAATAATTGAGCTTGAACAGTTGGCACTTGGATTTGTTGGCACTGGTTCCTATCCCCATTTAATGGGGTTTTGGTTGATTGCTTACAAGGTTACACTTCTGGAAGTGTCTTTCATAGTGAAAAAAACTTACAGAGCTATAAAAAGGCATGTAAGACTGTAACTAGAAATATCTGGCACGGAGCCCTGGAGATAGTAAATAATGGCAATATCGCAGGGAGACTCCAATAGCGCAGTGAGGAGATTGCTTTACTTGGAGGCAGAGACCCCCAGTTCCTTATCTGGGTCTCCCACTGGCCTCTCTTCCTCATCTGTAAAATCTTGGGTATTAGATGGAATATTTAGGAAGTCCCTTGGTTGTGTACTTAAGAATTTTCTGCTCCTTTTCGTGTTTCTTTGTTGCTACTGCTTCTTTGCATTCACTATTATGACTTAACAAGGATTTCTTTTTTTATCCTAATATAGGTTTTGACCATAACTGAGACAACAACAAAAAATAAGAGAAAAAAGGAATTTTTTCTAAGTGTTCAGATATTCTCCTTAGACGAAAAGTTAAGTGTTGTGTTCTTTTATTTTTTTTCTCTCTGGGATTTCTGATAAGCTTCTCTTTTCACCCACTTCTCCCCCCACTCGAAAAAAAGTCAAGTCGGTTCTTTTTTTTTAAAGAGGCATGTATATTTATTTATCTATTTGTTTGTTTGTTTGTTTGTACATGCACTGGGTACAGTTAGAAGCGCGGGAGGGTGAGAGAATTCACCAGAGCGGGGAGCAGAGCAGGCAGAAGGACCGAAGAACACTGCTGAGGGGAGCAGCGGGCGGCAGGACCCTCCTCCGGTGGCCGGGGAGCAGCCGGGGATCGAACCGGCGCTGCAGAGGCTGCGGGCAGCTTCGCAACCCAGCGCTCAACCACTGCGCCACTGGGGAGGCCCTCAAGTCGGTTCTTAAGGACTTACTGATAACACTTTAGTTAATTTAACTAGTGCTTGAGATGAAAACAGGCAAATTTTATGTCGGTTTGGAAATTGAAGAACCATATATAAGGCATTTTGTGTGATCCCCAGAGAGATCACTCCCCAAAATTAAATAAATATGAATTATACAGAGGTAAGCTCTCTGAGATTCAGATAGGGATATTCCCTTTGCAAGATTTATGTCTTCTTTTTGGAAACTGTGACAGGCTCACCCGTTGTGACATATTTGAGTTGCGCCTGTCCCTCTAATAAGAAATTTATTCAGGATTCATAAAACAAATAAGTGGCCTGGGTAGGGCATTCCTGTTCTGTTCTCACTTATCTAATCATGGAAGGACATACGAAAACGCCCAGCTCTTGCCTGCCTGTGCTCTGGGCCTGTCTAATGGAAGAATTCCCAATTCTAAATAGAGAATAAAAGTCAGTCAGGTCCAGTTACAATTTCCTGGGTCCCCAACCTCTTTCTTCAGAGCCGCCTCCTAAGCTGGCTTAGACGCTGGCTCACACTCTGCTCACACTTCCCTTGAGGCTGCCTGGCTGCCGAAGTAATTGAATACTCCAGTTTGAAAGGGAAGGCATCCTTTTAAACTAAAACATACCTGCTGGGCTGTAAACAGCTTTTAGTGACATTATCATCTTCTCGGAAAATCTAACAAAGGAGTTATTTGTGCAATTGAAAGTAGGATTTACCTCATAAAAGTCACAATTTGTATTCATTTTTACTCTCAAATCTCAAATCCTTTTCTGTCCTAAAAGGAAAAGAAAAAAAACCTCACATCCACCAGGGTCCTTGCTGCCTCTAACCTCAGGCATGTGAATTCCTGGGTGACTGTGACTTTTGGTTTAAATGGAAGGCTGAGAAGGAAGACAATGAATTTAATTATTTTGTCATTTGAAGAAAAACATGTTTGAAACGTCTTGGTAGCATCGGTTGGTAGCTCATAAGGGTTGTTTCTGTCCCTGCAGAATTGAGGTGAAGAGCACAGAAGTCAAGATCCTGGAGAAGTCTCAAATTGAAGACATTGCCTCTTCATTAGGTAAGAGCATATTCTAAGTAACCACTAGGTTTGAATTAAGTGAGACATAATTTGGGAGAATGTAAAGACTTGTCTCGCCACAAAAAAACTAACCCTGGTTACCCTTTTTTCTCTTCATGCAAGGGGAATGCAAATTCCCTGAATCTAAGGAGAAGGAAAAAATTATCTACTTTTGTGAGCCTTTCTAGAATTTGCCCCTCGAGCTGATCCTAGTTTTGACTCACAGGGTGGTCTGCAGTGAGTGTCCAGACCTGCTCTCACTCCCGCGCCACCCCAGACGCTGAATCACTTCGCTTCCCTGAAGGCAGGGAGAGAGACTTGTCCTTTTAAAAATTTGTTTTGGCTTATTTTGCACGTACAGTAAGACTGTGAAATGGTCCTGTGGCTGGTCTGTTCTCTGCCTGGGGATTGAGAAGCAGCTGGCTGGGCCGTGAGCACAGAGGGGAAAGGCGGTCGGGGAGCGTTAGCACAGCTTGTAGCCATTGTCTGCCGGGGGAGTAGAGCCTTCAGGGCCATCAGTTCAGCACCTACCACTGGGCTTGAGGAGGGTGTGAGGACTGCCTGGGCCCCCCAGTCTGGGGACTGAGGACACCCCTGGGAGAATTGGGCTGTGTACACAGCTGGTCGCAGTTCCACAAACCCAGACGTAATGGTGTTTATCTCTCCTCCAAGTGGGAGTGCTTATTCCATGTGCAAAGCACAGTCTGAAAAGGGTGACCTCAGGTCCTTCTCATGATGTTTACTGAGTAGACCCAGTTTCCTGCGTTGTTGGAGGAACAGCTTTTGTCAGAGCAGCATCCACCTGACAAAAGCTGTTCCTCCAAAAACATAGGAACAGCGTATCCTGTTCCTGAGGGTGGATGCTCAGGGGCCCACCTGAGGCATGTTCACCATCGCCCTCCACAACACACCTCATCTCTGTGGCTCAGGTTACGTGAGAGGCCGGTTATTGTAGTGTCTTTAATATTAAACGAGGCTAGTACTGGTTGATTGAGGTATTATGCCTGCTGAGCTGCAATATTGCCTCCGTCACCTTGTTGGAATAAAGAGCTGTCTCTGTCAGAGTGAATAAAGAGGAAAGTAGCAGTGGGGCGGTCAGGCTGGAATCTCAGTGCCCATGATGCTCTTTTCTGGCTTTGAAATACCCTTGCAAAGAAGTATGGACAACTTACCAGCCACAATGAATCTTTTTAGTCGGCTCTCCCTCGCCCTTACCCCACCCAACATACATTGTTGACGAGTTCTTTATCTAGTTGGCGTGGGTTTTTCGTGACCCTGATTAAATTTGAAAGTGTAACGCTTGGAGAGGATTTGCAGAAAATCCAAATACATTCTGCTGGAAGAATTTATCTTTGTAACCTAATCAGGTTAAGGTCAGTAAATTTGTGTTTTGTTTCCTTTTAAATGAGGCCTGGCAGCCCTGAGTGAACAGCTGTTGTTTTGTACTTTGTCTCCATTTGGGAAGATGTAGGTGAGAAATGTTAGTTGGCCCTTTTGTACAAAAACCAGCACTGAGAATCAGCCAGCCAAGCCTTGCAGGCGTTGCTCCGGTCTGAGCTGTCGGCTTTGTTTGCATTCTCCCTCTGCAGCCTCACAGAATGAGATTCCTGCTGCGCCTGTGGAGGAGCTGACCTACAGACGGTCACTTCGGGTGGCTCTGGATGTTTTGAATGAGAGAACCTGTTCACGTCAGGAAAGTTCTCCCAGGGTAGAAAGATCTGCTCCGTCTCCACGTGAGAAGCCCACAGAGCTGCCCACCTTGCCTTGTGAATCAAACTCTCCAGCTTCCCCCCACAGAGACGGCGTGGGCAGTCTGGGGCTGGAGCGCAGAGAACGTGCACACCCACGACCTTCGGGGTCGTCCGCGGGTGGCAAGGACCCCATGTACAGAACAGAGCAGAAGAAGGGACTTGGGAAAGGTGAAAGCCCCAGAGCCCCGCCTGTCTCTTCAGCTGAAGATGGTCCTCAGGATGGTGGTGGGTCAAGAACACACCGAAAAAATGGGACAACCCCAAGTAAAAGGGGACGAACTTCCGTGCAAGAGCCCAGCTTGTGTCAGAACGGACCTCCACTTCCAGAGGGAGGTTGCAAGGCAGAGCGAGAGAAGGCAGGCATGTCGGGAGTCCCGTGCTCGCCTTCCAGGGCTGAGGTGGGGGAGGAGACTTTGGAAACCAAAGTTGAAGGCTTTGGCCTGGGTTTGCCTTCAGGCGGCCCCACTATGCTCCTGGCCTGCCCAGAGGCCAGACGCCACCCTGCCAAGCGGCTGTGCCTGGCTGGCAGGCAGAGGCCACTTACACCAAGGGCAGCATCATCCCCCACGCAGGGGCCTACGGGATATACGTCTCCTCACCACACCCCTGCAGATGAAACAAGAAATCTTAGCCTCCTGGACCCCAAGAAGGTGGAAGAAGGTAAGAAGTCTGGCTCATGCTGGGAGAGCGGAGAGGGCGTTGGCGGCTCCCGGCTGGAGTCTTGGCCCCCACTGGTGTGTTTCTCCCCAGATCTTCATGGGAACGCTCCCGAAATAGATGTAGAGTGGGGATTTCCTCCTTCCGCCCCGTCTGTCTCTCACTGGGCTATAATTCTTTCCCTTGCTCACACATATTTGTGTTTTTGTTTTGAACTGGAGGTTGTGGAGCAGGAGCCTGTGGCTGAGCGGGCGGCTGCGCCGATGCGGGCAGGCGGTGTCAGCACTGAGACGCTGCATCTGCTCCTGAGGGTTCGCGTGCGCGTCTTCGCTGTGGAAGAGGCCTTAATGCGCTCTGATGCGTTTGGCAGTAATCGGAAAAGTGACTAATTGTCTGAAAAGGTTCCTGACTTTCAGAATCCCTGCGTAGATAGAGTGCAGTCATGCGCTCTGATTTTTTCCATTTTAACACTGTAACACCCCACTTATTTTTGAAATGCTAATTCAAAAATCTTAATCTCTGCATCCTTAGAGATCTTGAAACCTGCGCCCTTACCCATCACTTCCTCCTCGAGGCCCACTCCTTGGCATAGCCTTCTAAGGCAGACCCCTGGCCATTTTCTGAAGTGAGCGACCACGTCCTTGCTGTCTCCTGTCTGTCCCCTCTCCCTGTGCATCCACCGTGTGGTGCAGACTGGACAGGCAGCGACCACACCAAGAGGCCTCGATCCAGAGTCCATTCAGCGTCCAGCAGTCAGATTGCGCTGCTGTGCTGTGTGTAGGGCCTTCCCCCCGCTCCCCCCAGCACCCGTTTTTCTTTAAGCCGTGCTGCAGTTGAAGTGTGCTGTTTGACTTCGGCAGCGGGAGTCTGTGTAGCCTGGGATCTAGCCTTTTTTCTGGATCGGGGTGTATCCTGAGATGTTCTCCTGGGATGAGCCAATCTTGACAGTGGCTGTGAAAGTCTACTCTCACATTGTTCTTGGCAGACCGTCAGTCTTCTGGAGAGTCTGCGGAGTTAAATTCCATTCATTCTCTCCTGGAGGAAGATGAGGACGATGAGGAGCCGAAACCAATCCTTTTCTATCGTGGTAAGAAACACGAAGGAATGGGAGAGCTTGCTTGCAGTTGAGTGACCCCCAGGAAGTACGTTGGTGAGGGGCCGCGCCCATGCCCATGTCTGCCTCCTGGGCTGAAGGACTCTTGCCAGAGATAACAGGACCGTGACTAGGTGGGTCTGTTGCTGTAGTTAGGGTGTGGCCTCCCCGCCTCAGGCCAGGCCGTGCTGCTTTTGGTCAGCAGCGTTCACTCGCCTGACCCGAGAGGCCGGCTTCGCAGCGCCGCTCCTGGAGGTGGTTCCAGAGCAGAGCCGCCGGCGTGCGTGGTGGGGCGAGAGACCAGGGAGTCCCGCCGGCAGCCAGCGGGAGGTTGGTTTGCCCAAGAACTAGTTAGAACCATTTCCACTTTGAAAGCCCCCCGGAGTCAGGGTGCTTTCCTGCCATGCTGTCCGTTCCTTCAGGCTTGCATTTTCTCCCTTTCGCTCAGTGGTAACTCAGATGTTTATTCCATTCCTGCCTGGCCTACTGAGCGTTGCTTGTGGCATCCAGTCACTATCGACTAGGCGTGAGGACTGATCACTGACCGGCCCTCCTCTGCCCCTTGCAGATGGGAAGTGTTCCCCGGCCGGGACTGCTCTCCTGCAGGCTGTGAGCCTCCGGGAGTAGCTCCTGTAGATCGGCTCCCCACAGCGGGGCGCCCCTGGCACAGAGGGGAGACTCTGCCTTCCTCCAGAAGAGCACATTTGTTTGTCCCCGTCACTGCCAGCTGGGGCTCAGGCCACCACTGCCCCAGAAAGCCGGGCATTGCTCTTTTCTCTGGTTCTGCTTCCATTTGGTTTTATTTTCATCTGTCAGGCTGTGGGTCTTTCTAGGTATGTTCGGTTAGTCCCTGAGTTGTCCGTCTGCACTCAGGCCCTGTTTGTCCTCATGGGCCTCCTGAAAGGGGACTCTGCTCCCTGTGGAGAGGGCCCCTCAAGACTGCTCTGGCTTCTCTGTGCCCACCTCTCCCTGGCCTCGCTTTCACTCTGGACCTGACCTGTCAGCACAGGCGCCATGGCGCCCCTTCCTCTGCGGAGAGGGTCTTTATGGCTAGGGACAGGCCCCATGTCCTGTGGGTTTTGCTACCTGATTTTTTTAAGATTTAAGTTTTGGTTGAAGATGCAGTTTTTGCGCAGAAGCTATTTTGTAGATTCTAATTCTCTTCCTTTTAAGAGACCATTTTCTCTCACGGGTCAGATTTTTAGTAAGAAGTTCTCGTGCTTGGACCATTGTGTGCCACTATCTCCTCTTTTTGTACCATACTATTTTTTAAAATGTTTCATTTTTTAATAATCTGAGATTTACAGAGAACTTGCAAAGGTGGCAGAGTCCCTGCCCACCAGCTCCCCTTTGACACCCCTATGGAACACTGGCACAGGGTCAGAAGTAAGAAACCAGCCTATGCCTGCCCTTGACCCCTCCCAACATGCTGGTAATGGCACTTGGATTCCAGTGAGGGGTGATTAATCCACTTCTGAATTCTCCTGAGCTTTTTAAAAAGTGGACTGTGTTATCCCCAGTTTAAACAGTATCACAGTAATGTATGTTTCAGGCTGTGGGTTGGTGCTTCATGTGGATCTGACTTGTCTGTTCTATCTTTTTGTTTTTCTTTTTTTTCTTTCTTTTTTAATTCTAGAACCACGTTCGTTTGAAGTAGGAATGCTAGTCTGGCTTAAATACCAAAAATACCCCTTCTGGCCAGCGGTGGTAAGAGTGACCCTCGTCTTCTGAGAGCAGTTAGTCCCACCACGGGTTTTACTCCTCAGGCCTCAGCACACTGACCTGGGCACATGTTTTCACTGTTTCTGATTACCGGGAAAAGTGACAATATTTATAAGCAAGATTTCTGGAGACACATTTACCTAAATAAAAGGAGTTCAGTCATTTGGGCACAATTGAATATGAAGTTTATAGGTCACATTTTTATTACAAAGGCTTAGAAAAAGCCACCTGAAATTAAGTTCTCTGCTCGTTTTAAATATTGTGTATTTCAAACTTTTTCCCCATCGGAGCTTTTTAATTTTTTACATTTTATGGTAGAGAACAATTGTACATACAAAAACAGGTATTTGAAATCCTGCCCAAGCCCCACTATGGAGGATGAGTCTAAATGCAGCTCAATTCTGTTTCCTGTTTGCCGGTAAGTGGCACCTTGTGAGCAAAGCAGCCATCCCAGCCCCTTCTCTGTTTCTCTGACCCCCTTATTTCCCTCAGGCACAGACAGGATGCTGACACTTCCAACTGTAGCTCTTTAATTTTTATTAAGAGACAATGATGTTTAAACCCAGAAGGTATTCTGAAGAGGCAAGAACTTTTATCTTGCACCTACTCCCATCAGAGTCTGCTTGGCCTCCTGTTAGCACTGCATGGAGATATGTAGCAAGGGCTGGCAGACAAGGGGCTGCGGGCTTCATTGCCGCTCTGGGCACAGTGTGGGCCCTGCTGTAACCACTTGACAGGTTCTGGGGGTGGAAGAATCTGAGCTGACCTTACCAGCCAGCTCTTGGTTTGCCACCACACAAGGCACTGCAGAGAAGGAGTCCTGGTCATTTTCCGGGCCTAGGGCTCTGAGGCCCACCTTGGGGGCGGGGGTTGAGTTAGACCCACACCTTTCTCAGTTCACTTGGGTCATCCAAAAAAATGAACCATCAGGGGAACCAGCCACAATCAGTACATGGAGGTAACTGCAACAGCAGGTGTAGTTGCTCTTTCTAAACACCAAACTAGACAGAAGCCTACCGAATTCCTCCGTAGAGTGAAGCCCAGAGCCAGAGTTGGTGGCATCCTGGGCGCATGGTTGCTGCCAACCTTGCCTTGGTCATGCTGCAATTGTCCACCTTCCCCTCAGTGAGATGATGTCAACTGAGTATTTAAAACCCTCGACCTTGCCTTGGTTCCTGATGTGTTCTTTTCCTGGATTTGCCAACAGGTTAAAAGCATCAGGCGAAGAGATAAGAAAGCGAGTGTGCTTTTTATCGAAGGGAACATGAATCCGAAAGGGAGAGGGTAAAACACTGTTGTTTGCTTTTCATGAATAGTTCATATGAAGGCTTGACGGCTCTGGGGTGGCAGAATTGTGGGTGAGGGGCAGGAGCACAGGCCCTATGGGGTCTGATGGCGTCCTGTGATGTGATTCCCTAGAAGATGGTCAAAGACTAAGGAACTCATCAGACAGGTCACTTTCAAAACTTGTGGCTTCAAAAGGCAGCCCAGCCCAGCACTCGCGGGGTATTGTCTTCCCCTTCCTGTTTCCCTGCAAACAACAACAGAGTAGTCCCTGTGGGCCCATGAAGGCAGCAGTCCTGCCACAGTACAAGTTTGGCCTTTGGTGGGTTAGTTGCCTGGTTTTTAGTCTTGAGTTGTGGGGTGAAGATGTGCAGTGTACCAGCCTGTTCAGAGCGGGCTTTTCACACAACTGTATTGCAAGGTACAGAGGTGGCGGCTGTTCCCCACAGCTACACTGCCACCCCTCCAACTGGTGGCTGGGCTTGGGAGGGGTGGGTGAGGTGGAGGCTAGGGCCAGAGTTCCCAGGGCCTGGCGCGGGGAGCTTCCTCAGGCAGCTGGACCAAGCAGCAGCCCCCATAAATAGACCGGGCCCCACCAGTTGTATTAGAAGGGGGAAACCTTTTTATGTCCTGAGTGTGAAGTTCATTAGTGTTAACCTTTGTCTCTACTTCAGCATCACCGTGAATCTGAGAAGATTAAAGCACTTTGACTGTAAAGAGAAACAAGCACTTCTGGTAGGTGAATCCCCTTTCTGTGCTTCTCTAAATGTCTGGAACCCCGGTTTGAGTGTGAGCAATGGTGGCAGTGAGCCCCTGCACTGAATTCTCATTCCACTCTGGGGCCATTTCCCTGTTGTGTGGGTGAGGAAACTGAGACCAGGGCTGTGTGTGAGGTGGCAGTGAGGGCCTAGCACGTGAGCATAGTAAGCCCCAGGTGTGTGGGATGACCCTGACAGCGTCAGCAGGAATCCTGGGCTGTTCATTGTCACCATCCCTGAGACTATACCCCCCCCTCCCCTTTATATGCCATGTCCTTGAGCCACAGGAGCTGGTCCATTCAAGACTAAGAAATACTCCTTTTTGTTGTTCCAGCATTAAGAAACATACCCATACAAGGTGGGTGAGGGTATTCAAAGGTCACCATCGTGGCATTGGCTCAGGTGTGGCCATCCCATTGACGCTGTCTGTGTCCAGATTGCGGTTGGGATGCAGGCCCAGAAGCTGCTGGGGACTGCAGCTTTTCTAAGACAGAGAGTAGACTTTGGATTGGAGCGGGTTTTTAACTTTTTAATGTTGAACTCTCTGGAAGGTTGATACTCAGCACAGAACTTGCCTTTACTCATTGATCAGATTCCCTCACTGAGCTTTGTTCTTTGTCTGTTTGAATTTATTCCCTGCAACTGCCAACCCATAGCCATGCCAGGCGCTCAGGCTCTAAGACTGACCAGCAGGACCTTGTTCTCACATTGTCCTCACCAGGCCTCCATAGACCTGAAGTGCAGCTCCACAGCCCGTGGAGCTGAGTGTGCAGACACTTGCTCTCAGGGGTCTGGATGGCTTCCCAACATGGGAGGGGGGCGGGGGGCGTGTAGAGCAGGAACATAAGGACAGTGATTCAACACAAGTCTGGGTTATGAGAAGAGGCCACACAGGTCTCACACCACCCAGGTGCCTGAGGGCACTGTGGCATCATCTGCCCTTGAGCCTGCCTGTGGAATGGAACACAGGTGGCAGTGAGGGGCTGGTGTAGCACCTGTTCTTGGTGGTGGATGGCTCAGCTGAGGCCCCTTTGTGATGGTTGCATTTTGTGTGCCTGTGTGGCCTTCAGTGTGCCCTTTCCTGAGAGGCTGACAGCAGGGTCTCCTATGCAGACACTACCTGCTCCATTCCCATCATGTGGACCCAGGCTGAGCGGGGGCGGGCAGGCTTGGCAAGAAAAGAACAGCGGTCCATGTTGACTCCTGTGCCTGTGAGCACATTCCTAGAATTCGTTCCGGCTTGAGGGACTTCCCAGTGCTTATAGTTTGCTGGTGAGGACTGTAAGGCCTGAGTGGTCCTGCCCTGGTGGCCAGGTGCCCTCTGTACTCACTCTGTCCTGTGCTGAGTAGTCGGCACAGACTGTGTTAGGGGTCATCTCCATAAGATGGCATGTTTTACACTCTAGGGTATTTCCTGCTTCCCTGTTGGGAGCCCACAGAATAAACAGTGACTGTTTTCTGAGCAACCTAACTCTGTCCTGGGCCTCCGTGTGTTTCCCATCTAACCTTGGGGGTTCCCTTTATGAACAAGGAAACAGGCTGAGGAAGGAATGTTGTAGGAGCCCCCTATAGACCCTGCTAACTCCCAATGCCTGGATTTCATAGAATGAAGCCAAGGAAGCCTTCGACCAGGCCATCGGCTGGTGCATCTCCCTCATCACTGACTACAGGGTCCGGCTAGGTATGTGGAGCCTCTGCTGCCTGTAGCAGGCGGCCTGGTGTCTGTGTCGCATCTGGGCCCCGTGCCATATGTGGAACAGACAAAAGGATTGGGCAGGGACAGCGGAAACCTTTGGGTGGTGGTCTGACCTGCCCCCATAAAAACCTCTCCGGCAAGGGCAGGTGGTTAGGCTCCTAGGTAGAGCCCGGACACTGGGTATGAACAGCAGATGGGTTTCCTTTGAGTCGACTTAGTATACCATCCATCCCAATTCTGGCCCTTGGGAGTCTTTAAGCTGTGGCATTGTTAGTAATAATGTCCTGGACTTGGGCCTCCTTGGTGGCTCAAGGGGTTAAGATACAACCTATGAAGCTGTCCGCAGCCACTGCGGCACAAGTTTGCTCCCCAGCCAGGGAGCTACCCACATGGCGCAGCAGACCTCTCCTGACTCCCCTGCTGCTCCCCTCAGCAGTGTATTTCAGTCAGTCTGCCTGTTCTACTCCCCACTCTGTCTCTGGTGAATCCTCTCACCCGGTCCCCCCACACCTCTGGCCCATACCCCAGTTCTTGTATGCATAAATAAATAAATCAATCTTTTTTTTTTTTTTTTAAAAGCCCTGGACTTTCAGGTGCCCCCAGTATCAACATCGCCATGCTGATGGGCTGCCCATACATGTCCCATTGCCCTGCCACGGGAGGGGGGTCTGTGGGGACTGTCCGGGCATCTCTATCCTGTCACCCTGTGGCGTTTCCATGTGCCCCCTCTGTGTAAATTTGACTTTCCTCCTCTATAGGTTGTGGTTCCTTCTCTGGCTCTTTCCTGGAATACTATGCTGCTGATATCAGTAAGTCTGCCAGCACCTCTCAAAAGGTGACCTAAATTCAATCCTTTAGAAGGCAGTGACATTTGTGTCTTGGTAAAGGTGATACCAGTGTCCCTAGTCCATGTTGGGTTGCCACCGCAGACCCAGCTGTGCATTGCCCTGGGCTTCTGTTAGGCACTGCAGGCCTCTTCTCTTGTCATGGGCCTGGTGATAGAGCCACGTCCACAGATGCCTGCCAGTGCCATCTGTCAGACAGTTGCTTGAGCACTGAAAGGTCCACACAGTGTGTCATCACTTGGTGCTTCATGTTACTGATGGTCATGCGATAGCCTTTCCTCCTGGTCATCAGAGAGTGGAAATGAAGTCACTCTTCAGTGGGACTAGGAACTTGGCATTTTCAGATTAAACCTGGCTGGAGGGCAGTGCTGGGGGGAGAAATGGGTCCTGTCTAGGCAGCAGCCCTTTAGGAACATGGCAGTGTTCACTCGTGGGATCTCAGGTTTATCCTCACGCCCCAGGCACTTGGAACCACTCCGCCACACCCCAGGATCCTCGAGATTGTCAAGGGCCATCGATGTAGAAGGGAGGGAGGCAGCAGGGACCCCTGACCAGAGTAGCACCCCATGCATGCATTTTCCTGCGGCAGGTAATCCCGTCCGCAAGTCCATCCAGCGCGATGTCTTGGGGACCAGGTTCCCACAGTTGAGCACAGAGGACCCAGAGGAGCCTGTGGAGGGGAGCCCCTGGGGCAGGCGGCAGCCCTGCCGAAAAGTCCTGCCTGATCGATCTCGAGCTGCACGAGACCGGGCCAACCAGAAGCTTGTGGAGTACATTGTGAAGAACAGGGGAGCCGAGAGCCATCTGTGTGCCATTCTGAAGAATAGGAAGCCATCCCGGTGGCTGAAGACCTATCTGAACTCGGGTCAGTATGTGACCTGCGTGGAGACCTACCTGGAGGATGAGGAACAGCTAGACCTGGTGGTCAAGTACCTGCAAGGGATCTACCGGGAGATGGGCAGCAGGCTGCTGACACGCATCAACGGCGACGGGATCCGCTTCATCCTGGACGTCCTTCTGCCTGAGGTGAGTGGCCAGCAGAGGCTCTGCACGGCGGAGGACCCATGGTTTGGGTTGGTGAGAGCCCTGGACCGCGGGTGGGGGGCCAGGCCTTGGGGTTGGAATCGTCAGCACACGTGGTGAGCGCTACCTGCTTCACTGTGCAGCTCTTCTGGACGGGAGAGCGTTGGAAAGGGGGAGTTTTACCTTTTCTCGGTACTGTTCCGTGGCTCTTGGAATAGACGGGGATCAAACATCGCAACTCGAAATTATTTTGAAGTTCAGAGAGGGCTCACTGCTGGGTTGTGCACGTGTGGAGAAAGAACATGATCAAACTCAAAATTTTTGAACTTTATATTGTGGGAAATTTTAGCTGTATGCAAAATTAAAATAGCGTAGTGAATCCCTTTGTGCCTCTTTCCCAACTGGAACCGTAATCACACTCCACATTCCTCCTGGCCCCTCCAGGAGGAAACCCAAACATTTTTAATCCATAAATACATTTGTGTTTCTGTCTCAAACAGGGATGATTATGCCTCCAGGGGACACTAGGTGACATCTGGCCTTATCTGGCTGTCACAGTGGGAATATTCCTGGTGTCAAGTGTGGGGAGGCTAGGGGTGCTACTTAGCTACATAGTGTCCTAGATGACCCCCCCCGAGAATGGTCTACCCCAATGTCTGCAGCACTGGGGTTCGGAGGATCCCCAAGCCAAACCATTAAGATTTTTTTTAAAAAGAGTTCTTATTTATTTATGCATACAAGAACCAGAGTGCAGGCCAGAGGTGCAGGGGGTGAGAGGATTCACCAGAGACAGAGTGGGGAACAGAACAGGCAGATTGACGAAATCTACTGCTGAGGGGAGCAGCGGGGAGACAGGAGAGGTCTGCTGCGCCATGTGGGTCAGCTCCCTGGCTGGGGATCAAACTCATGTTGCAGTCGCTGGTGATAGCTTGATTGTGTTGACTTAACCCCTTGTGCTATCAGGGAGGCTTCATTAAGATTCTTTTTTTTTTTTTTTTTTAAGATTTATTTATACATGCACTGGGTACAGTCAGAAGCGCGGGAGGGTGAGAGAATTCACCAGAGCCAGAGCGGGGAGCAGAGAAGGCAGAAGGACCGAAGTACACTGCTGAGGGGAGCAGCGGGCGGCAGGAGAGGTCTGCGAGCCATGCGGGACCCTCCTCCCGTGGCCGGGGAGCAGCCAGGGATCGAACTGGCGCTGCAGAGGCCGCGGGCAGCTTCGCAACCCAGCGCTCAACCACTGCGCCACCGAGGAGGCCCTTCATTAAGATTCTTTAAAAAAAATTTTTTTTAACAAAACCATGATATTAGTACTTCACCTAAAAAAATTAAGGTGATATCAGACATCTGTTGTATATTCAGGTGACCTCTACTGTATCTTTAATTTTTTTCACTGCAAACTTAATATGTTTTTAAAAATGCACTTGTTGGTTTGGGTCCTTCTCATTTTCTTTCAGCTTTTAGGGATGCAAATTCTCAACTTGAGTCCAAAAGATAACATTACTGATTTAATTAAGAAACTTCATTACAGGGGCCTCCCTGGTGGCGCAAGGAGTTAAGATGCAGCACTATGAAGTTACCCGCAGCCACTGCAGCTTGAGTTTGATCCCCAGCCAGGGAGGTGATCTACATGGTGCAGCAGACCTCTCCTGACTTTCCCGCTGCCCCCCTCAGCAGTGTACTTCAGTCAGTCTGCCTGTTCTGTTCCCCACTCTGTCTCTGGTGAATCCTTCGGTCCTTCTGCCTTCTCTGCTCCCTGCTCTGGCTCTGGTGAATTCTCTCACCCTCCTGTGCTTCTGACTGTACCCAAAGCTTGTATAAATAAATAAATCTTTAAAAAAAAATGTATTTATGCATACAAGAACTGGGGTACAGGCCAGAGGTGTGGGGGGTGAGAGGATTCACCAGAGACAGAGCAGGGAGCAGAACAGGCAGAAGGACCAAAGTACACTGCTGAGGGGAGCAGCGGGCGGCAGGAGAGGTCTGCGCGCCATGTGGGACCCTCCTCCGGTGGCCGGGGAGCAGCCGGGGATTGAAGCGGTGCTGCAGAGGCTGCGGGCAGCTTCGCAACCCAGAGGTCTATGGCGCTCAACCGCTGCGCCACCGGGGAGGCCAATACATTTTTTTTTTAAAGAAACTTCATTATAAGCAGAGGTTTTGAGATTATGAACATATTTTTTGGACCATAAACTGGGCAGTGTTTGGAGCTGACACGGAGCCATTTGTGGATGAACGTGCTGTGTTGGTCAAGCTGTGCCCACCATTGCACTCTCTGCTCTCTTGCAGGCCATCATCTGTGCGATTTCTGCTGTGGATGCGGTGGACTACAAGACAGCTGAAGAGAAGTACATAAAGGGGCCGTCCCTCAGTTACCGGTATGCCTCTCAGCTCCATGCTATATGTTGTGTTTGTCCTCAAAGGCAGTTATTTGCATACACACTGGTAGTTTTGACTGAGCTGTCCATGGCCTCTCCCTTAATATTAGACCCTTGATCAGAGAACTGCATAGGCCTGAATGCATGGGCTAGCACTTGACTGAGGCGTTGTCGGATGGACCAGTGAGCCTGTGGTGGCTCCCGTACTCCCACATGTGGGCAGAGTGGGACCCAGGGCCAGAGGGCTGGCCATCGACCTCCACTAGGGCTGGCCTCTGCTGTGTGCTAGGCCTGCCAGGCCTCCTCTCCTGTTGTAGGAGCTGATGTTTATTTATTTATTTTTTTTAAAGATTTATTTATTTATTTGTTTGTTTTATTTATTTATTTATACAAGCACTGGGTACAGTCAGAAGCGCGGGAGGGTGAGAGAATTCACCAGAGCCAGAGCGGGGAGCAGAGCAGGCAGAAGGACCGAAGTACACTGCTGAGGGGAGCAGCGGGCGGCAGGAGAGGTCTGTGCGCCATGTGGGACCCTCCTCTGGTAGCCGGGGAGCAGCCGGGGATTGAACTGGTGCTGCAGAGGCTGGGGCAGCTTCGCAACCCAGCGCTCAACCGCTGCGCCACCGGGGAGGCCCAGGAGCTGATGTTTAAAATTCGGTCTTTGTTCCCCCTTGCTCAATCCCCAGGCTGTTTGAGAAACTGTAGCAAGATTAAGAGACGGTACCACCTGCACAGCTCCTTGCTGGTCAGAGAAAGACTGTGATCAAGATGTCATTTTCACTCGAGCATTTTGCTGCCCTTGCATCTTTGGCCCCCAAAGGCCTTAATTCTGTCTCTGGGCATGCTGCCAGGCCTCACCAGGAGCAGGCTGGCCCACATAGTAATGACAGAATTAAAGATTCAACAAAAGTCACAGGCCAGGGTCTCCGTTTAGGGCTGACTGGGTGTACTGTCACAGCATAAGGGGCCAAGTCATTCCTGGGGCATTTGGGTACGTGCCAGGCTTGGTGGACAGGAAGTCCATAGCTGCCCATAGAAGGGCCACCGTGGCTCTGTGCGCAGGAGTGTTGACTCAGCTGAATTAACAGAACTGGAAGGGCCTTCGGAAACAGAAACATGGTATTTTTGTCACTGGATCTTAGCGGTCTAGTCTGGCACCCTTTTTTGTTGTTGTTGTTTGCATAGAAGAACTAGGTATAGACCAGAGGCATGGGGTGTGTGTAAGAGGACTCACCAGAGACAGAGTGGGGAGCAGAACAGGAGGACCCACTGAAATACGCTGCTGAGGGGAGCAGCAGGTGAGACAGGAGAGGTCTATGTGCCATGTGGGATCCTCGCTGGCTGGCGGGGATTGAACTGGTGCTGCAGAGGCTGCGGATAACTTCATAGCACGGCGCTCAACCGCCTGCGCCACCAAGGGAGGCCCCACCACAGATTTTTGAATAATAGTTGATGTCAATGACAAAAAAGAATTCTGGCCCACAATGAACAAAAAATTATTTGAGAACCTGCTTTCATTATACATCGTTTTCCTTACAGCTGCACTTACAGGCTCATCGACGATGCTGAAGATGCGCGCACTGCACATTCCCGCTTGAATTGCAGGCTCTGGTTGATGTGCCTGGCTGGGCCATCTGCGGAACCCATGCCTGCTGCCTGTCCAGGGAGGGCGGCCAGCACAGTGATTAATTGTGATTAATTGCATTAATGTTAATGCAATTGCTCTGCACTGGGAGGTCACTTAAGGACTTTTTGCTTCTTCATAGTCTCTTTATTAAAGACACTTTTTTAATGTGGTAAAATATATGCGTTATAAAATGTACCGTCTTAACCATGGTTAAAAGCTGGGCTCAGTGGCATTAACGTTGTACAGCTGTCCCCGACCTCCAGCTCCAGAACTTTTTCATCGTCCCCTGCTGGAACTGTGTCTCTGTCAACCACCACTCTGTTTCACGCTCTTGAAAACACGAATGATTACTAATATGGCACTTTCCCCTTTTGTTTCCTGAAGGGAAAAGGAGATTTTCGACAACCAGCTCCTGGAGGAGAGGAGCCGGAGATGCTGAGGGCTGTCCCGAAAGCCGCAGTCGGGACTGAGGCCCGGGGACGCCGCGGCCCTCATGTCTGTTTTTGCATTATCTTTGTTCTTCGCATCTTCAGTTCTTCAGTTCCTGTTTGCTGGGCTCCGAAGAGCATGTTTCCTCAACACCCTTTTCCTCTTGTTTTGGGAAGGTGTAGGTCCTGGAAGGTTTTTAAAAGGACAAAAAGGCATTTGTTTTATTTCATATTTTTGTATCACTACTTGTAACTGTACTGTATGGGTTATTACAAAGTACTTTTTTTTAATGTTGAAAAGCATTGTACACATTATTAAACAGGAGTTTGGAAAAGAACAAGATAGGAATGTTGGGGTGTTTCTGGTCCCCTGTTTGTGTGGTTTCCTCCTGAGATAACTTCCAGGTGTGCCATGCTGCTCCCTCTTTGACACTTTGAGGAAATCTAATCCAAAAAAGCAAACTGAAGACAAGCTGCTTCCTCGCTCTTTAGCACGGCTGTGGTTTCTTGTGCAGGAGGATGGGCACACACGTCCTCCCCGTGGCTGCTGCTCAGTTTCTGTGTGGCTGGTGAGTCTCCGCTAGATGCCCACTCACCCCAGCCTTCAGGGCACCTGTTGCAACAGGCCTTTGTCTGGAAGCTGGGCTGAATTTTGGCCCAGGATCCACCCTGGGTTAGAGAGCCTGCAGAGAGAGCTGCGTGACGGCATGTGACTCAGCGTCACCGGGCCAGTTCTCAGAACATGGTCATGGAAATTCTGTTACAAGTCAAAGCCACGCTCCAATTAATTATTTAGTCTAACTGATGTGGAAATATACTCTCTGTGGAAGTATATGCTGAAATTAATCTTAAGACACTACTCCATCATTTCTGCTGTGACTGCATTACTACATTTGGATGGGGCTAGCACCCCCACCATAATGACTGGACCACTGTTTCAGGGGAACAAGCCTTTTTCATGTCCCCTCACCTAACTGTGGCTTCCACAGAGAGAGGCTGGAAGATTATCATGGAATAATGAGATGAATAGTAAGGAGGCTAGGCCAGGAGGCTGTGCTGACACAGGGTACCCAGAGCCCTGCTGCTCCCTGTGTTTCAGTTGACTTTGCTGATATCTAGGAATAGGTAATTCAACCCTGCCTGGCCCAGCTGTTTTACCTTGCTCTGCTGTCGTCCTTTCCAGGCGTCCTGTCTGGGTTGGGCTCCAGGAGAGAAGGTGCAATTGCTACAGTGGACACCCTCTCCCTGGGCCCTGCCTGCTGTGCCTAGAGCAACAGTGAGACTTCAGAAGGGCAGTGGTGCCATGTCTGATGGAGGAGCTGGCCTGTGAGGGTCATTCTCCCCTGGACAGAGAGGCCCTCATCCCACAGGACCAGGCCTGCCATCAGCGATCCTCTCGGAAGTTGGTTCCTACTGAGAGCAACTTCATTTGAGCGAGCATGAATATACAGGGTGTTACTTGAGTGATGAGATTTGTGAAGCCCCTTGGCCTATGTGGGAATGATTCCGTTAATGTGAATGAAATATTTTTCTATATCTGTTTCTTTGCTGATCTTTCCCGTGTTCTCAAGCTTTGACTGTGGAATTGAACTATTCAGACTGAAATTAAATGTTGTTTTAGAGCTCTAGCTGTGCTTTCTGAACCCCCACCTGCCCCACTCAAGGGCAACATGCCCTTCACAGGATGACCTGTCCCTGGGTTCCTGTTTAAGGAGGTGTTTCTACATCAGCCAGTGCAGAACAGACATCTGTCAGCTGTGTGGTTCCTACTCCACATCCTGTCTGGCACCCTGCTATGTGCTAAACTTGCTATGTGATGTTTTTTGTGGATTTTGAAGGTGTTTGTCTTAAAACCCGGAACTGAGGCCACTGGGGCAGGTAGTTGGGTGGGGAGGGAGGGTGGTCTATTGACACTCCAAGATGTCAGCTGGCCTGTAGGTTATAGTCAGAGCCTGGCTGGCCTGCCTAATAAGGGGTTACCTACAAGTGCCTGGGAGGAGTCCAAGCCCCTTGGAGAAGCAGCTGGCTTCTTGCTAAGCCAGATTTCATGCAGCACCTGTGGGGTAGCCTGGGCACTCTCCATAGAGAAGGCTGCCCTTGATCCATCCTACCCCCTGGCTACTGACCCTGTGTCCTTTATACAAGGGACCTCCTCAGCACTGCTAACATGGACATGGACATCTGGTTATCTGGGGAGCGCACTGGGCTCTGTGGGCACTGAGTAGCATTCCTGGGCCCATTCCCTAGATACAGGGCCTCCAGTTTAGAAAGAGCAGCTTTTACCTCCCCATCAGCAAGGTTCCCCTCTGCCCCACCCATGGGCTTAGTTCCAGCTGGCACCCTCTGGCAGCCTGCCGCAGACCAGCGCAGTGGTAGACTAGCCAGGCCGACTCAGGGATGAGAAACTGTGCAGGATGGTCAAGGATTCGGCGCATAAATGACAGACACACTTCGGGAGTGAATATCTGACTGTAATGTGCTTAAATTATCATGCATTTTTATACATTCTCAAGCAGTATTGGATTACATAAAATCTATTTTTCTCAGCAAAAATTACTGTTGACACAAAAGATATATTGTCTTATTCTTCATAAAAGATGTGAGCAGTGTTGCAAATCAAGGTATTAAATACAATTTTTTAGTTAATGATTACAAGTTGCTAGGCATATGTAGTTAATCAGGACATACGAACATCATTGTTCTCTAAAACCAGTTCTGCTAGTTCTAACTTAAGTGCTTTAATGTTTTTAGATGACTTATTCCTGTATGTTTGAATTCTAAACATTCTAGTAAACCTATTTTTGATTATCTTTACTATGTAATGAATATAAATCTCATAACGTTTTTGATTTCATGATTCTAACCTAAAAGTCTGCTTAATTCCACTTCTTTTGTTGTTGATTATTTAGTTTAATTTCTGTAAATGACATAAGCTCATTAATGGTATTTGAGATTATATATTTAACTACATTCCTTTTATGACCACCTTTAGAGGTGGTTGCCAAAAACAACTCTAAGTGAGGTCTTGACTGTTGGAGGAAGTTTTTCCAGCCATATTCTGTAATTATATTCTTTATGATTAACCAAAGAATTGTTATGTCTAAATTTATCAATCTATATCATTATGAAACTACAAGATTTAAAACTATTCAAATAGACTATAACTCATGACCTGAGAGGTAAACAGAAAACAGCTCAGTTACAGTACCGTCACCAGATACATTCCTGAGAGGCAGGAGATCGACAGACAATGGGTTACTTATTTTACTGGGCAGAAAAATTAAGCATAGGATAAGCATGACGAGCAGCAGCAATCTTCTCAGGGTCCGGTGTGTCATCCGCAGTAATCTTCTCGGGGTTCGGGGTGTTCCTCCCGCGTGCTCGGTACCTTGACCGTGCGGAACATCAAGGACTAGATGGCAATCACTTGAGTTCTGCCGCGGGAGGCGGCACCGCAGCAGCCTCTCTGCTGCCCAGAGTCCACCCCTCGCTGATCCTCTCCCCACTCATCCCCTGTCCTCAGGGGTGTTTCTCCTAGTCTGAGCCCTCTGGCTCCAAGAACAATCAAACCCCGCTCACTGAAGCAGAACCTGTCGGCAGAACCACTTCCTGGAAGTGGGGTTTCAGTGCATGCACTTTGGCACCTCTTCAAGTCCATCATTTACCTTAAAAGTTGATTTAGAAAAAAAGAATACAAGTGCAGGTTAAGAATTTCACCCCACAGAGGAGCACAAAACCCCACGTGAAGGTTCTAGCGCCCCCCAAATTCCTAAATTCCACAGTCCCTGGCTTCCTGTTCTACCCCCACCCTTCCCAGCTCCCCTCTCCTGCTCCCCACCGCCTCTGCTCCCCACCGCCCCTCCTCCTCGCTTCTCCTCCGCCTTCCTCCTCCTCTTTACTGTTTGCAGCTTTTCTGCACAACTACTCTAAATTGCAAAGTTTATTTAAATTAAAAAGAAAACTCCCGTTGTGGAGCCGGGCCCTTTCCGATGCTGTCAAACACGCCGGAAGGCTCCCCTGCTCTCCTGCGGGTGCCCCAAAACCCCGGGCTCCTCAGGCACCAGCCTTGGCGAAGACTGGATGGTTGAAGTGGCCCCCGGGCCAGCCCGACGCTGCCTCAGTTTCCCCAGGAGAAAAATGGGCAAAACAGAGGCCCGGGGCGGTTGTCCAGAGTGAAGCCCGCAGCGGAAAGCACTTTCGCGAACTCCGGCTGGTCTGGGCGGCCGTCAGCGCCGGTTCTCGCCGCGCTGCCGGAAAAGAAACCAGACGCAGCGCGCGCCGCACGGGAAGGGCGCGTCTGGCCGGCGTCCCCGCTCGCCTGCGGGGCCGGGGACGCGGCGCGCTCGGCCGGGGCCTCCGCGGGGGGCCCCGGGGTGAGCCTGGAGGAGCCGCGCGCTGTGGGGGAGGCGACGAGCCTGCGCCGGGCCGACGTGCGGAAACCGGGGATCAAACGCGGAGCCTCGCGATCCCCGGGGCGAGGCTCTGCTCGCTGAGCTATTTGGGGCCGTCGGCCGGGGCGCCCCGCCCGGCGCGCCCGGCGTATCTGCGGGTCCGCTGGTGGGGGGCGGGGGGGGGCGGGGGCGTGTGGGCCGCTCCGCGGGCGCGGCCGCGTATGTAGGTCTGCGCTTGGCCGTGAGATCACAGCGTCGTCTCTGTGGCGCAATCGGTTAGCGCGTTCGGCTGTTAACCGAAAGGTTGGTGGTTCGAGCCCACCCAGGGACGCGGGCTACTTTTATTCCCGGGGAAAAGGCAACAATGCTTCTGCTTTTGCTGATTCGCTTCCCACGCGTCCCCGAGGCCTTCCTTACCGCGCGGGGCGGCGGCGCCGGAGAGGGGACGCGCCTGGAGGACATTCACAGAGGCGGAACGTCCTGACTAGCGGTTTCTGCGCCCCAGCCGAGCCGCTTTGGGCGACGGCCCTGGGAACACAGCGCTAACGCGACGGACCTCAGAGGTTGTCTGAAGGCCGAGGCCAAGATGGCGGCGCTGGCGGGTGAGCGTTGGGGACCCCTGGGGTCTCTCCTCGGGCTCTGGCCGGGCTGCGGCGGTCGGGTTCCGCGCCAGGCTGCCGTCGGAGATGTGGGGGCCCGGCAGGGCGAGCGCCAGGCAGGGGCCCTGGGCGAGGCCAGAGGCACGGCCCGGGATGCTGCCTCTAATGCAGCCGGGAGAGGCGGCGCGGGCGAGAAGCGGGTCCCGACGAGGGTCGCCCTCCGGCCGAGACTCCGCGGCCTCTCGCCACCCCAGGAGGAGGACGCCCCTCGCAGGGCAGGCGTCCCAGCCTGGCCTGCCCCGAGGACGTTTCCTGCTTGGATTAAGTGATTTAAAACTCTTGCAGTCCAGAGATTGTAAAGAAAATTGATTATATCGAGAGACAGCTTTCAAAGTGTTGTTTCAAAGTCGGGTTGGTGCGCTAGTCATCCGAGTGCTGCATTATATTGACGCGCGATATGCCCAGTTCCAATTACTACTGTAATTTCGAATTAACGAGGAGTGGACACTTTGCTTTCCTTGGAAATGTCTGCAGCTTCTAACTTGGTTAGGAGACATCGTGGTTCCTGTTGGTAAGAAGCCACCGACCCGGTTAAAACTGCTAGAGCTTATGGGCTCCACTCAGAATTGAAGGAAAAATGAATTTTCAGTAAAATTAACTGTTGCTCACAACAGAGAGAGAGCAGCTTTCTTTCCCATGCAAGTTCACCAGACTCCTAATTCTCACCTGCAGCCTGTGGTTAAGAATGCATGAACCTGAGGCCTTTGAATCCTCTCACCTCAGAGGTGAGGGGCGTTTATTCTGCTGTGAGTTTATCCAAAGACCTAAATTTTCAGGTGGGGAATCAGGCTGAGAGAGGGACAGCTCAGACAGGAGCCTGAGGCTCTCTTGTGTGCCCAGCCTGGAACATGCCAAAAAGCAGGCATCAAGATCAGGTGCAATGGATGAGGCCGCAGGAGACAGGCTCCAGCAGGGACAAGGCTTTCTCTCCAAATGCAGTCACATTCTGAAGTCCTATGGTTAGGGCTTTGGGGGACCAAATTCAGCCCCTAGCATGCTCCGGTTATATCCTGTTTCCCCCTTTTACACCATACCTCCAGACCTTTTCTCCACCCCCAACACCCCTTTGCCTTGCAGTGCCCTACTTATGATTCCTCTCTGGGAAAGGATCTCCAGGGATGCCTCTCAAAGCCTTATGTCTCCTGTGGGTCCCTTTCTGAGGTGCTTTGCTATGTGGGATTTTGTGGACAGTGCCTTTTCTGCCAGACCACAGAGTCCTCAAAGACAGATTGTGCTTGGCTGTGTCTGAAACCCAGGATCTTCCAGCTCAGTGCTTGGAGCCTTGCTGGTGTCTTTGGGTTTGTTTACTTGGTACACACTTGTCAGGCTTGGCCAAGACCAAGATGGACAGTGGGAAATCCAGGAAGGCCTTAGTGTTATAGAGACTAGTGCAGACCAGGTAAACCAGGTCTGCAAGTGGGGGAGCAGGGTATTCCAGGCAGAGGACTTTGAGGCAGGAGTATGAGGAGAGGGAAGGTGGCCCTGGTGTGTGGTCCAGCTTTTTTTCCAGGGGTCATGGGGTTTTATTTTTTTATTATTATTTTTTTTTAATTTATATAAGAACCTGGGTACAGGCCAGAGGCACCGGAGGGTGAGAGGAATCACCAGAGACAGAGCTGGGAGCAGAACAGGCAGACTGACTGAAATACACTGCTGAGGGGAGCAGCAGGCGAGGCAGGAGAGGTCTGCCGTGCCATGTGGGTATTGCCCTGGCTGGCCGGGAATCCAACCCGCGCTGCAGAGGCTGCGGATACCTTCACAGCGTTGCGCTCAACACGCTACGCCACCAGAGAGGCCCAGTCATGGGGTTTTAAGCAGGGCAGTGACATTGGTTCGTATTCAGAAAGACCCCTCTTTGCCAAATGTTTATTAAGTAGAATTTGAAATAGACCGAAGGTAAGAGGGAGGCCATGCCAGGTGGGGACCCTGGTGGACAAACACTTAGGGAGTGGACCCTGCAAGCCAGTCCAGGAATCTGGGCTTCTCCTGATGCCTGCAACTCAGTGGACCCCTGTGGTTCTCTCTACAGCTCCAGGCCTGCTCCGTCCGATCCTGGCTCTGCGGTGAGTGCCTGCCTCTGGGAGATTCAGCTTACAAGCTGGGAGGGTCCTTGAGCAGCAGTGCAGGGTGGGGCATGGGAGCTGCAGTGCAGCAGGTGGTGTATTGCCCCTCAGTAAGGAGAATCCAGAAATGGAACCCCCAGTACCGTGCTGACATGGACATGGCATCTCATGTCTTCCTAGTGGAGGGGAGTCTGTGAACTTTGAAGATGGCTTGGGTTTGGGCTGACTTTTGCTCTATTTTGATGACTTTTTACTAGGAGTAAATACACATTCACTGTAAAACAGGGAAGTGGGGGCCATGAGAGTGGTATGACATGACAACAGAGCACCTTCTAGGCCAGGGACTCACACTTTTCCTATGAAGGGCCACATGGTGTGTGTGTTTGGCTTTGCAGGCAGGAGTCAGTTGCGATGACTTGACCTTGTGCCTGTGGTGTGAGGCGGCCACACGGGTGGGGAGATGATGGGCATGGCGCCAAGCCAGCAAAAGTTTATGAAACAGGCAGCAGACTGGATATGGCCCCTGGACTCAGTTTCCCAGCCCTGCTCTAGGGTGGCCCCTGTCTTGACACCTTGGGGTAACTGGACTCGTCTTCATGTGTGTTCCCTCCTTGCAGCTCTGGCATGTGTGCAGCGGTACCAGTGCGTAGTGTCCATCTGAGTGCCACTGCTGACAGCCCAAGCAGGTGAGACCAGCCTGCCGGGGAGTCCACACATCCCCAAACCCCACCTTGGCACATCCGTGATGTGACTCCAGTCCCCTCCCATCCCCCGTGGAGCAGTGCAGTGTGGTCCCTGCCAGGAACCCCGCCCGGTCCCCTCATACATGTCCAGGCCCATGGCTACACACCTCTCAACCAGCAGGGCCCTCCCTAGAGAGCAACGGGGAGACTGAGCCCTGGGTGGCATCCCCCCGCTTCCCAGGCTGCCCGCCTAGCTAACGCCTCCCTGTGATGTGTCCTGTGTCCGGCAGCCAGCCAGCTCTGCCCAAGACTGGAACCAAATCCACCACACTTCCCAGCAGCCGGGGCGAGTATGTGGTGGCCAAGCTGGACGATCTCGTCAACTGGGCCCGCAGGGTGAGTCCGTGCCCTCCCTCCTCCTTCAGGCCCCTGCACACGGACACACCCGCTCACGAGCCCCACCCTGCGCAGCTCTGGTCCCCGACTCCTCCTCTTCAGTTCTCAGCAGAGACACGCTGCTTTCCTTTAGTTCTGCCTGTTTTCTGCTCACTCCTCATTCTTCCCTTTCAATGTCAAAATCATGTTTGTAAGTAGAAAAATGATGCAGAAAACAGTAGCTGCATCCCAGCAAAAATGCCATCACCCTCCCCGCCTCCAGGGTCAGCCACAGAACAGTTCACTTTCCGTGCTCCTTCCTTGAAAGCTCTTGCATGTCCACCTCCCACTGGAAGTGTGTCCTGTTTCCTCACGCAGCGGCTCTTCGCTCCTGGTTTTATTTCATTTTTTTCTTTTTCGGTAGCACGGTTGCGGGGGCGTGTTGGCCCACAGCTTATTTTACATCCCTGTCGGTCAGCTCTGGGCCACGGCAGCAAATTCAGGCTGGTTACAGGTGTCCAGGGATGGTCTGCCAGGCCTGGAGAGCACATGGTCGCTGTGGGGCAGGGCAGGGGGTGGGGCGTATAATGTGTTGTTTTTCATGAGACTAGAAATCTAGATTTTTCTGTTAAATCACCCCGTTTCTTCAAACAGAATAGGCTTAGTCATCCATTCTTGGGCTGCGTTTGACAGAAGGGCCCCCCACTCCCAGGGGCCTTCCCCTTCCTTCCCAGCCCTGCTGACTGCCCTGCGTGCTCCCCACAGAGCTCCATGTGGCCCATGACCTTTGGCCTGGCCTGCTGTGCCGTGGAGATGATGCACATGGCGGCGCCCCGCTACGACATGGACCGCTTCGGTGTGGTCTTCCGTGCCAGCCCACGACAGTCAGACGTGATGATTGTGGCGGGGACGCTCACCAATAAGATGGCTCCCGCGCTCCGCAAGGTAGGCCTGATTCCACAGACCCCCACCCGCCTGCCCACCCCCGGTGCCCGGGCTCGGGCTGCACACAGACCCCACCATCTCTTCTAGGTCTATGACCAAATGCCAGAGCCTCGCTATGTCGTGTCCATGGGGAGGTGAGTGCCAGGTGAGGGGTCGGGTGGTTTCCAACTGTCTCCAGAGTTGGGTACGCCTGCTACACACTGGCACGGGTCCCCGCAGTCCTTTTTCCTTTGCTTCTCTCTGATCAGTTTGATCAAGGAATAATTTACACGCTCAGTAAAATTGCACATATTCAAGGAGCAGGTCATTAATACTCTGATGTGTCTGTGTCCATGGCCCTCTCCCCAGGATGCCCCCTCCTGCCTGGTCATGGTCGTTACCCCTCACACACATAGTAGCGCATTTAGTTCACTCTGTTTCTCTGCTTTATGAACATGTTGACATGTCTTACCCTGTAGACAGTCTGTGCTTTCATCTTTCTAACTGGCCATTAACTTACAGTCATTACCACACGTAGCTAAAAGCTGTTTAGTCACTGAATTTTTTTCAGATGAAATTCACATACCGTGGATTTCACTCTTTTAAAGTGTGTGATTCCATGGGTTTTAGTGCACTCGCAAATGAGATGAAAAAAACATCATTCACTTCTAATTCTAGAACATTCCATCACCCCGTCAGCAGTTACCTCTTCCCCCTTCTCCAGCCCCTGGCACCATGAACACACTCTGTCTATGGATCAGCCTGTTCTACTACTTCCCAGCAGTGGGCTCACTGTTGTGGCCTTGCGCGTCTGGCTTCTCTCCCCAAGCAATATGCTTTCAGGGTTCATGTTGCTTGTGTTCCACCTGGACTGACAGAGGCTCTTGAGTCAAGACTTTTGCCCCTTTCTCACAGCCTGGCATGTGTTTACAGTTGATGGCTGCTGCAAGTTAGGGGTGGGCCCCAGTCGGGAAGAGGGATGGGGTGACCAGGGCTGCCCTCACGTACTGCTCCTTCCAGCTGTGCCAATGGGGGCGGTTACTACCACTACTCCTACTCGGTTGTGCGGGGCTGTGACCGAATCGTGCCGGTGGACATCTACGTCCCAGGTAAGGGCCCCAGACTGGGCACAAACAGGCTGGGCCTCACCCCTCTTACTCCTCCCTTCCATCATGGAAGCCCCATGCTCCCCCTCAAGAAGGTGGGTTCTCTAGGTTATAGATGAGCCCAAGGAGAAGAGTGACTCCCAGGGCTTCCCCAATTGAAGTCCTCAGTTTCACCTAGATGTGGGGACAGTCTTCCGCCAAAGACATTAGGCTGAACGCTACAGAACCACTGGTTTGGTCATTCTTAAACTATGGCTTCATGTGACTCCATAGAAAGCCCAAAAATGTGAAATAGAAGCAGAAAAAGGTTCCTGGGAACCCAGAACATTGTCCTTAACTTCTCAGCCTCAAAGCTGATGGGTGAGAGTCTCTCAGTCCTGGCTTTGCCAGGGTAACCAGATTTAGCAAATGAGTAGGCAAGGTATCCAGTTAAATGTTAGTTTGTGAACAATATATGTATTTTTTGTATAAATGTGTTCTATGTGCCATTTAGATATGCTCATGCTGAAAAAGTACTGGTTGTGTGTCTGAAGTTCACATTCGACGGGGCATTTTTTATCTGGCCACCCTATATGACAACCCCCCCCCCCCACCGGGTGCACAGCTTATCAGCAACAGTGGCCACCCAGGGCATCACCCAGTTTGGGGTGAGGCAGAAGTGCTACCCTGGGGACAAGGCACCCAGTTCTTGGCTGCCTGGTACTGCTCTCTTAGTGCAAGTACAGAAAGCATAATCCTGTGTCCCAGAGAGAACATCCCAGGTCATGATTCTAAGGTGTCCAAAAAACTGCTCTGGCATCTGTCAAAAGGTGGAAAAACAGGTTTTGACTTTGGATTAGAGAAGGTTGAAAATGATTTTTCGCATTCTGCAAATATCTGTTATGTACCTTTTGTAGGCCAGACCTGTCTTGGGCAGTACTGGGCCCCAGACAGGCCTGAGGGATGAGTCATATTTGGGGGGCAGTGTCACAGGAGTGGGGAGATAGCCCTTGACACAGGCAGGCCCCTTCCTGCCTGGTGGTGGGGCTTTGAGAGATGCATAGGAGTTCACCTTGTTTATCCAGCTACCATAGCAGCACTTTCAGGCATGTGAGGTCCTAAGCAACTCAGTTCCTCCAGGTGGTGACATGTCTCTTTGCTTTTCTAAGCTGGGGTATTGGGAACAGGGGCTGTAGGGGGAGCTTTCCTCCTGGGGGGGTTTCCTTCTCAGTTTCCACGTTCACCCTGGCCATTCTGTTTCCTCTTGTCTCCTCCTTTCCTTTTTTTTTTTTAAAGATTTATTTATTTATGCATACCAGAGGTGCGGGGGTGGGGGGGCTGAGAGGAGTCACCAGAGATAGAGTGGGGAGCAGAACAGGCAGACTGACTGAAATACACTGCTGAGGGAGCAGCGGGTGAGTCAGGAGAGGTCTGCCGCGCCATGTGGGTTGCTCCCTGGCTGGCCAGGGGATCGAACTAATGCTACAGAGGCTGCAGAAGTTTCATAGGTTGCGTCTTAACCCCTTGTGCCACTGGGAAGGCCCTATCTCCCTCCTTTCCAAGGGCTCACTCATAGGCCAGTGTTGCCTCTAGGGTCAGTAATCAGCCTAAGCTTCTCCTCCCAGTATTTTCTAAGCCAGGTCACTGTGGGGGTTGGGGGGCAGTAGACAAAGCAGCTCAGACCAAATGGGGCAGCCTGGGCCTCCCCACTGCCCACATTTTGCCTAAGAGTCCCAAGGCTATGGACTCACTCCCCGTGGGCCTGGAAACTGAGGTAAGACCTCCCCACCCCCACCCCACAGGCTGCCCACCCACAGCTGAGGCCCTGCTATACGGCATTCTGCAGCTACAGAAGAAGATCAAGCGGGAGAAGAGGCTCAAGATCTGGTACCGCAGGTAGTGCCTTCAGCCAGCCGCCCTGCCGCACCTCTCGTCATTTTCAGATTGTCAATAAACCTGGTAAACTCAGCTAGGCGCGGCCCACCGCCTTGTATGTGGGGAGGGGCCCCCGGGGGAAGGGGTGCCCATCTTGAGTGGGCGTGGACTGAGTCAGCCAGGGTCACGCCTTACCCTTGTGCATGGAGCTGCAGACCCCAGATGGGCAGCCAGCATAATGTGGGCCCAGGTTCCACCATCAATGAGGGGAGCAGACGGATCTGTGTGCTAGCAGAGGGCAAAGCGGGGGCGACCTGGGGCAGATGGAAGCAGGCGTTCTCTGGGGTGGGTGGGGTGAGGTTGCTGCTGCCCTGGGCCTAGTGGAGGGTGCTGGGTCAGAGGAAGGCAGATACTGGAAATGGGAGCGTGGCCCTAACACTTCCAGGGGCTGGGGAGAGGGGCCTGGGGCAGGGCCAGGTTCCTAAAGAGAGGGACGCCAGATTGAAAGGTTTTGCTTGATTTTGTGGTTCTGCCTGCTGGGTGAGCCCAGAGACTCCCCCACCACCAGTGTCCTGAGGATCTGGGCCTTGGGGTCCCACCTCTGTGTGGTCCTGACCAAGAGGGACTGGGGGCAGATAGTTTTCATGGGCTAACGGACTGGTCCTGGCTGCCTGGCAGGAGGCAGCTGGTGACGGACTGCCGCAATGAAGGGCCACAGGCAGGCCCAGCAACATCAGAGCAGACTATGGAGGGCCACTTGGCATGTCTTTTTTCTTGATTTTAGAAGGCCAGGAAGAGTAAATAAATGCACGTTTCCAACCTTTCAGTTGGCCACCAAGCCCAGTGTTAGTGTTTATTTCATCCTCTAGCATCCTAGAAGGGAACTGCAGAGATTAGAGAACTTTGGCCACGCAGCTGGTGGGGCCCAGCTTGAACATGGGGCTATGGGCAGCCAGAGGCTTGCTCTGGCCACAAAGGCACTAAGTGGGGGGATGGAGGGTCCTGAAGCTTGAGACCTCAGGGAGCTGCTGGCACTGAGCTGGAGGGCAGGGGCTCAGTGCTTGGTGATCAGGGGTGTGACCATCCACGGGCAGGAGTAGTAGCGGCAGTCAGCGGGTGGGACCAGCTCCATCACCTGCTTGCTGATGTGCTCCCGCCTAAAGCCTGCCTCCAGCAGGGCGGGCACCTGTGTCTCCTGGGGAGGGAACCACCTGTCACCTCCAGGACCCACCCCTGGCACCCTCCTTCCCAGATAGCACTCACATGTGCCAGGACCCTGGAGTAGGCAGGACCTGCACCAGCCCCCGACCCCAGGTCCAGCTGCCCACTGAGAGTATGGAGGCCCGAGTTTGGATGGGAATCTCAAGAGTTCCAGCACCTTCCCGCCTGTCATTCAGCAGCACCAAGGTGGGGCATCAAACCCATACCTTCTTGCCAGCGTGGCCAGCACGGAATCAGGGCAGAAAAAAACGTGGCTGGGAATTCATATGTCAGAAGGAGGCTGCCCTGACGGCCCCATGGAGCTCTCACTTAGATGGCCCCTCCAGTTGCCATACCTCAAACATGGTGGTGATGTCAGAGTACTTGGACTTCATCAGCTCCCCCCAGGAGGTAAGGTTGCAGTAGGTGAGGATGCCCCCTGGCTTCAGCAGACGGAAGGCGTGGCCCTGGGAGGGGAGAGCAGTCAGGGGGAAGGTCGAGATAGGCCTCCTGCGACCAGGTCAGAGAAAGAAGTAGAAGGAAAGATGCCTAGTGTGGGAGGTAGACACCCGGCTTGGGTGGACCCCAGCTCCACCTTGCCTGCTCCTACCTTGATGAAGTTGAACTGGTGTGTGTGCCAGGTCTCCTCAGAGAGTGGGTACGTGTCGTACAGGATCCCTGCACAGGAGGACAGAAGCCACACAGGCAGGGCTCGCAGCCACTCTAGACGCTAGCTGCAGGTGGGGACAGAGGGAACCCCAAGAATCCCACAGGCTGCCCTTTGCATTTCCTGTGCTGCCACCTGCCCCAGGATCATGTGCAATGAATGCAGTCCTTCGGGGTGCACTGTACACCTACTGAGCTCCGGGCCCTGTGTGTGTCCTCCCCTGAGACGCTGTCACCCAAGCGACACGTCGCAGCCCTGTGTTCTTTAGAAAGTCCCTCCACAAGGCAGAAGCTCCCCTTTCCCAGCTCCCATCATCCTCTCACCATCAAAGTGACCATCTGGCAGGGTGGGTGCCACCTCTTCCCACAGGCCCTTCAAGGGAACCACCTTGGGACAGGAGAAAAAAGACAGCTAAGCGTCAGAGGGGTCCTCAGGATTTCCCCACCTGTTGCAAGGGAGGAGACAGACAATCCCAAGGGAGGAAGCCCCCTCCCATATCTCTGCAGTTGCCCCATGCAACCTTCGGGGCAAGGCTTTTAACCAAGGAGTGGGGATGGGGAGGGGGGCTGCAAGCAGAGACAGGCAGGCACCTTGTGTGGCTGATCTTGGGCCCAGTCCTGGAGCCTCTGGAAGACGCCGTCATTGCACTCGATGATCCAGTGCTCCTCGATGGGGGCCTCCTGCACTTTGGAGGCTGCAATGGCCATGCCGAAGCCCACCTCCAGCACCCGGCCCCCTGGGCAGGCAAAGGGTGAAACTAGGGAGACTGCCTGGAGGAGGGGGGTGCAGGCCTGGGGCCTTGGCAGAGAAACATTTGCTACAAGGCTGGGGAGGGCACAGTAGGCCACAGGCAGAGGTGGGCAGTGGGAGGGAACACAGCAGCCTTGAGAGGTCACTGTGGGCCCTGGCTTCTGGCCGGGGGGGGGGGGGGGGGGGGACGACCTTGGACTTTGACACTAGCCCTTGTTTTTTGCAAGGGAGTAGCTTATCTCAATTTGGTTACTTTCCTCCTCCCACCCTCCCCACAATGAAGTTCTCAGACAAGGCTAAGGGAGGACTAGGATTCAAGCCAGGGTCTGGAATGATCTGGGAGGGGAGGAGTTGGTCCCAACTGCACCACAGTTGGAGGCACAGAGAAAAGCCACAACCCTGCAGGGACTGCTGTGTCCACTGCCAGGCGGCAACACAACAGGAGAGCCCGGAGGCACGCACCTGGCCCCTTGGGGGCCCCAGCACCCTCGGGCTCTGACATCCTGAGGCTCCGGGCCACCCTGACAGCTGTTTCCCAGCTTTGGCCTTCCCAGTGCTTTTTTTAGCCCAGGCAGCGCCTCAGCGACCGCAGCCGACACCTCCCACCACCACCGTCCAGCGCCCGGATCTGAGTTCCAGCTACAGCCTGGATCTGAAGACCCATTCCCCGACTTAGCCTGAGCGCCCACCCCCACCCCCACCCCCGGCCAGGCCAGAGCCTCATTCCCACAGGACGTTTCCATCACTTAGGGGGAACCTACGGTGTGCAAGCCCCGTGTCCGCAACACCCACTTTCCTCCCCGGCCTCGCCCCGTGCCCCGCTTCGGCTCCCCGCTAGCAGCCCCATTTTCCCGAGGAGGAAAGCGGTGCAGCGGCGGGGTGCGGCCTGAGCGCCCCCCGCCTCGGCTGACCCCCGCGAGCCAGGCCGGGGCTACCTTTGGAGGTGGCGGCGGCCGCCAGCGCGTGCATGTAGGGGGTCTCCCAGCGCTCCATCACCGGCTTGCCCAGGATCTGCAGGTGCGTATCGGATGCATCGTAGGCCGCTGGCGCCGCGCGCCACGCGGGGCTGCAGTTCTCGCCCGGCGCGAAGAGGGGGCTCGCGGCAGGGGCGCTCATGCTGCCGGCGGGACGGCGCACCCCGGCCTCGGCTCGCGACGCACCCGCCGCGTCCCTGCAGGGCCTTGTGGGCCGGGGGCGGGCGGGGGGCGGGTCCCGCAGGGGGTGGACCCGCGAGCGGCGGCGGGGCGGCGGGAGCAACCTCTAGCGGCCGCGGCGCAATCCACAGCCCGGAGCCGGGCCCGCGTCCCGCCCGCGCCCCTCCTCGCGGAGTCCCCCCGCCCGGGCCGCGACGGGGCGACGGCGGCCGGGAGCCCAGGGCGGCCGCCCCCAGGCCCCGGGCCTGCCTTCCAGCCCCCTCGGAGTCCCGCGCTGGCTGGCTCCCCCGTCCCTCGTTCCCGCCCGGGCCCGCGCCTCTCCGGTGCGGGTCCCCCGGTCCCCCGGGCGCTGCTGGCGGTGCTTTAAGGACTTGAAATCATGTCATCCTCAGAGATGCCGCGAGAGGGTCTGTTACTATCCTCCTCGCATAGATGGGGGACCTGAGGCTCCCCAAGCCAAGCCAGCAATCTCGCCTACGCGAGGGGGGCAGAGTTAGATCCCTGACAGCACTCACAGACCTGGAGGCTGAGCGCCTCTCCTCGTTCCCATCCCCCAAAGCTGGGGATCACCTGACACCCCAAGATCTGGATGGAGGGCTCAGTGCACAGAGCCTGTGGTAGGGGCGAGGGAGAGGGAGGAGCTGGGGTAAGACCGCGCAGGGGACGGTAGGAACTCTGCACACACACCGCTCTGGCCTGTCTGCTCCGAGCTAATTTCCCAGCCCAGGGGCACGTCTGCAGCCGCGCGGGAGCCAGCGCCGGCAGAAGACCAGGCTCAGGCCCGGGCCAGGGGGAGGCCAGGTGTCCTGGGGGGTGACAAGGAACTCCGGGGCTGGACACCGCTAGCTCCTAGCCTCAGTGAGGGCGCACTTACTGCTGAACCGTCTTTGTTCAACTCACTATAAAATACCAGCTGGAAATGAAAAGTGAAAGCGGCTTCTTTAAGGTGTTAACCCCCCAGTCTTCCAGATCGCAGGCTTCTTGATTAAAGTGCACCTTAAAGATTCAGTTCCTGTCTCTGTCCGCATCCCATGGTGACAGGTGGCCCAAGCGCCCGTTCTCTGGTTACACCTTCATGTCCGGGCACCTGCATGCTGACTGGAGGTCTCCTGGCCCTCAACCCGGGAAGTGGGGCAGGGCAGCACCGCAGGGATGAGGGGCTCACCCTACTGTCCTCGCCCCCACCAAGGCCAGCAGGCTGGGGTCAGCTACAGCCTCTGTGATCCCGGGACCTCCACCCTAGCCAGCTGGGCCGGCTCCAAGCTCTGACGCTAGCCCTCTTCCCATCCGCCATGGGACCATAATGAACTCGCCATCCCTGCCAAGCGCTTTCCATCCCACTGAACACAGGTGGAAACTGCAGCTGGGTTTGAACCCAACCAGCCTCCTAGCAGCTCTCAAGCTGGGTTCCTTCCTTGCACCTCTATATCTGTCTCTGATTGGCTGCTTACAGCTTTGACCAACCAGGCTCCAGACTCCTCCCCACGGCATCTGGCCACCTCCTACAGGGCTCCTGTCCTTTCTGTTCCTGGGACCTTTCCACATGCTTCTCCCTCTGCCTCCAAGGCTTCTCTCCTGGATGTTGCTTTCTCATTCTGACACCCCCTCTACCCTGCGCTGGGTGTGGCCCCACGAGAAGCGGTTTTACCTCTCACCACCTCTCCTTAGCATTTAACTGAAGGTCTTTTTACTATGGTTTCTGTTGCTCCTCTGAAGGGTCTGGCACGTAGAAGGTGCCTGGCAAATTCTGAGCACATGTTGGGGTCTAATGAGACCCTCAGGAGGAGGGAGGATTATTGGTCAATTATGGTTGTGTAAAACATTACTGCAGGATAGAGTTACTTAAGACAATGCAAACTTAGCCTCTAGGCATAGCTCAGCTGGTGCTCAGCTGCACAGACTCTGGCAAGACTGCTGCCAAGGTGCCACCAGTGCTGAGATCTCATCTGAAGGCTGAGCCAGGGAAGGGTACATTCTTTTTTTTTTTTTTTTTAAGATTTATTTATTTATACATACAAGAACTGGGGTACAGGCCAGAGTCGCGGGGGGTAAGAGGATCCACCAGAGACAGAGTGGGGAACAGAACAGGCAGACCGAAATATACCGCTGAGGGGAGCAGCAGGTGAGACAAGAGAGGTCTGCTGCACTATGTGGTTTACCCTCTGGTAGGGGATCACACTTGCACTGCAGAAGCTGTGGACAGCTTCACAGCGCTGTGCTCAACCCCCTGCACCACCAGGGAGACCCAAGAAGGGTACATTTCTGAGCTCTCTCCCTGGGCTCTGCCAGCCTTTGGACTGTTGGCCAAGGATCTTCATTCCTTGCTTTCCCAAGTGATAACTTGCTTTATCAAAGCCAGCTAGAGAGTCCAACTTGTTTGCAATTCAATCACAGATGTGTCGCTCTCTTTCCCTGGCCATATTCTAGGAGGACAGCCAAGCACACAGGGTAGGGATTGAACAAGACCATGAATACCGGGAAGTAAGGCTCCTGGGCCCCTCTCTCTGACCACACAGACCTAAGAGGAAGCCAGAAGGGGCAGCCATGTGGCGGCCTTCACTGCGGCCTCAGTGCCCCAGGTGACAGAAGAGAGTGTCTGTGAGTTATGTCCCCCTGCTGTTGCTTTGGTAAAGCCTGTGGGCTGAGGATGGTTTTTACATTTTTATTGGTTGGGAGAAAGAGAAAAACAAAACTAGGGCCTCCCCAGTGGCGCAAGGGGTTAAGATACAACCTATGAAGCAATCAGCAGCATGAGTTTGATTCCCTGGCCGGTTAGGGAGCAACCCACATGGCACAACAGACCTCCTGACTCCCTGCTGCTCCCCTCAGCAGTGTACTTTGGTCAGTCTGCCTGTTCTGTTCCCCGCTCTGTCTCTGGTGAATCCTCTCACCCCCCCATACCGCTGGCCTGTACCCCAGCTCTTGTATGCATAAATAAATCTTTTAAAAAAAGAAAAAAAAAACTGTATTTTGAGATACGTGAAATTAAATGGTATTTATATTTGCTTGCCAGTAAATAAAGTTTTACTGGCACCCATTTGTTGACTGATGGATTTGTGGTTTTCTGTTACAACACCACAGGCCACAGTGCCACAGAAACCCCCAAAGCCAAAAATATTTATTGTCTGGCCCTTTACAGAGCTTGCCAGCCCTTATTACAGGGCAATAGGTCATAGAAGTGAAATTCATCTATGTATCTATAACCCCCTTACTCTGGGGTCCCAGCCTCATGCTCTCTTGGAGTTCTCAATCCATTGGGGGGTGGGGAGGAATGGACAGGAAAAAGTAATAAGTGAATGATACCATTACAAATTGTGTGGCAGCTATGACAGAACAAAGTACCCAAGAGCCCCTCATGCCCTGCTTTCCCAGGCAATGTCCATGCCGCTGTATTTTTTCCTATGTGCATGGTATTATCCCTGGTTATAATTTTTTAATAAAAAGGGACCTTGAGGACCTCCCTGGTGGTATAGGGGGTTACATCTCAGCACTATCACCTTGACAACAGCTGAGCTTGGTCCCCGGCCAGGGAGCTATCCACATGGCACAGCAGACCTCTCCCGACTCCCCACTGCTCCCCTCAGCAGTGTATTTCAGTAGATCCTCCTGTTCTGCTCCCCACTCTGTCTCTGGTGAACCCTCTTACCTCCCTGTACCTCTGGCCTGTACCCCAGCTCTTGTATGCATAAATAAATAAATCTTTAAAAATAAACAAATAAAAAAGGACCTTGAACATAAATGAAAAGAGACAGGATATCTACTACAACGTGTATGGAGTTTGAGGACATGATGCCAAGTAAAACAAGCCAGAAGGACAGATACTGCCTGATTCCCCATGCAGGAGGTCCCAGGAGGAGTCACATCCATAAAGCCAGAAATGAGATGAGGGGTGTCAAGAGGCTGGGGTGGGAAGTTAGTGTTTAATGGGATCAGCCTTCCAGTTTAGGAAGATGAGGTTCTGGAGATAGATGAGGGTGACAATTGCACAACAATGTGGGTGTACTTAATGCCACTGACTTGTGCACTTAAAAATGGCTAAAACAGTGATTTTTTTTTTTTTACCACATAACAAACAAAAAAACTGGGGGAGAGGACAATATTTTGTTTTTGGGTATGCAGGTATTCATGTTAAGAGTAAATTCAGAAATGTGTGCGCAAGCCCATTTTAGTCACCTTGTCACCTGGGCTGGGAGAGAGAAAGAAAGTGTGTGTGTGTGGGGAATAACTATCCAGTTATCATTGGAAAGAGATCATAAGTGAACATGAAAAGATGCTAAAATGTGGTTGTTTCCCTGGCAGGTACATCACTGCTTGTTATTTTATCCCTGTTGTTTTATAGGTGTCTGTATTTTATTTTGTTAAAGACGTATTTATTTACGTATACAAGAACTAGGGTACAGGTCAGAGGTGTGTGTGGGGGGTGAGAGGATTCACCAGAGACAGAGTGGGGAACAGAATGGGCAGACTGACTGAAACACACTGCTGAGGGGAACAGTAGGTGAGTCAGGAGAGGTCTGCTGTGCCATGTGGGTCAGCTCCCTGGCTGCCTGGGATCAAACTTGGTGCTGCAGTGGCTGGCAATAGCTTGACAGCACTGTGTTTTTAACCCCTGCACCACCAGGGAGGCCTGGTGTCTATATTTAAAAAATAAATTAGTTTAAGCAGTTTGTGTCTGCTTCCTACATTTGACCACATCCTGTGTTTCCTGTGCAGCCATCATGGTTTACCTGCCAGTCACCATGGATGGACATGTGGTTTGTCTGACCTTTTTTTTTTCTTTAAAGATGTATTTATTTATGCCTACAAGAACTGGGGCGCAGACCAGAGATGCGGGAGATGAGAGGATTCACCAGAGACAGAGTGGGGAGCAGAAAATGTGGATCTACTGAAATCCACTGCTGAGGGGAGCAGCGGGGAGACAGGAGAGGTCTGCTGCGCCATGTGGGTCACCTCCCTGGCTGGGGATTGAGCTCATGCTGCAGTGGCTTTGGATTGCTTCATAATACTGATGCTTAACCCCTTGCGCCACCAGGGAGGCCACTCGTGAAGTATATTTTAAATGTTTGATTTTGTGCTTTGTGACCTAGTTCCATTTTTACATTAATTTATGATGATGAATAAATTACAGTATCAAGAGGCTGAGGGTGGAAGCCACTAAGAAGCTTGGATCACCAACTGACAAAAAACGATACGAGTCAGCTATTTATTATCATCATTGCACACCTGTCCACCTTCTGCGTTGACAAGGGCGGATTATTGTGTTTGGGGGTGGGAAGAGCCCTGTACATTGCAGCAGCATCCCTGACCTCCATTCTGTAGATGCCATGATCATCCCGCCCCCAGGGGTGATCACCCAAACCGTCCAACGCAGCCGCAGGGCTGACATTTGGGGGCAGAACCACATAGGCCATTCATAGGGACGCAGGCTTTCAGGATTACTGCATTTACAACCAACTGTTGGGCTAGAATTCAGTTCTTCGTGGGTGACCTTGGGCAGATGACTGAGCCTCTCAGACCGTCTGTATCTTCTCGGACCAAGGACAGCCCAGGCTGGCGCCGATGCCTTGTGACCCTCCTCGGGGACGGGCTTGGCCTCCACCCACGGCTGACCCACGTGCCGCCGCCGCTTGGGATTCAAGGGTGAAGCCGGGAGCCTGCAGCCACGCATGCGCCCTGCGTGCCTAGCCCGGAGCGCCCGACAGCGCGCGCCGGCCCGGGGCTGGGCCCCGGTGCGCCCCTTCGCCCCGCGAGGCGGGCCCAGCCCGCGGGACTCCATTTCCCAGCGTGCCCCACGGCGACGCCGGCCTCCGCCGACTGGGAAGGCCGAAGCGCGGCCCGCGGCGCGGATTCCGCAGCACGTCCCCGCGCGCGCGCACGCACGCAGCACGCAGGGCGTGCCCCTGGCCCCGCCCCGGAGGCCCCGTGCGGGAGCGCGCCCGGGCGTGCGCAGGGCGGCGGCGCGGGGCACGGGGACGCGCGGTGACCGTTGGCGCTGAGGGGAGGAGGCAGCGCGGCCGCCGCCGTTGCGCAGATCCGGGCGCGGCTGTGGAGAGGGCGCCGGGGCCAGTGACCTTCCGGAGGCGGGAGCGAGCCAGGGGGCCCGGAGACGCCGAGCGCCGCCGTCGCCGCCGCCGCCATGAACAACTCGGGCGCCGACGAGATCGGGTAAGGACGCGCCGCCCCGCCTCGCCTCGCCCCCGCCCCGCTTCCGCCCGTCAAGGTCACGCCGCGGGCCGCGCCGGGGTCGGCTGTCCGGGAGTCCCGCCGCCTTCCGGCCGGGGGCACCCAGGCGGGGCCTGGAGACTTTGGGGGCACCCGAAGTGGGCCTGGAAGGTGCCCGAAGGGGGCCTCGGGGGCCCTGGGGCAGCCCGAGCGGGGTCTGGGGGACTTTTTGGGGGGAGCCGAGCGAGGCCTGGGGGCTTGGGGTGCCCGAGCGGGGCCTGGTGATGCAGGAGCAGAGTTTGGGGTTCCTCAGGCGGGATCTTGCGCGGAGTCTGGGGGGGACTTGCAAAGCGGGAACCTGCGAGGTCTAGGACTCCCTGCTGGCTCCAGCGCCTACATGTCCGCTCGGGGATCCCCGAACGGCAACTTGGAGGTTCGGAGGTGCCCCAGCGGCCCCGTGGCCGCGTTTCTACCGGGCGCCCTCGCTGCTTCCTGGTCGGGGGGTGGCTCCAAATGGGAGCATAGGGGAGCCCGGGGCGCCCCAGCCGCTGCTGCTAGGCTCGAGTTTCCGGCTGAGGAACCCGGAACGGAAGTCAGGGGGTTCCGGGGCGCCCCTGGTCCGCACACGAACTCTGCTGATCGGGCGCACGTGGCAGGCTGGGCCCGGAGGTTCTGATTCTACCGCCGCTCGGCTTCTCCTAGCGACCCCTTCTCCCCCTCCGCATCACCCCCGGGAAAATCAGCAAACCACGGGCCAAGATCACTGGGTGCCAGTCCGGGGTCCGTGCCCGCTGCCCGCGCCGGTATCCGCGGTCCTGGTTCTGGCCGCGCCACCTCATGGGGCGCTTGTTTTTATTTTGCTTAATGCCTCTTACCGGTTCAGCACACACACACACACACACACACACCCCCACCCCGCAAGTTGTATTTTAAATAAAGGAAAAGGGAAACTCCTGCCAAGGGCAGCAAAATTTTTTCTAGGTGTATTTTCCTGGGCACAGCTATTAGAAGAGGTTTGCTGTAACTAAGTTTCCCCTTTGATTACAGCCTAGTGTTTATAGCCTTGCCTAATGCTAAAGGAGGGAAGGACCCAGAGAAGTGATAATAAAGAAGGTAGAAAACCCAGTTCTACAGTAGTCAAGGAACGACTTTCCTTGCAGAGACCAACTCCTACAGAATCCAGCTAAGTTTCTGGCTGCATTCTCACCTGAAGAACCTGGCTCCGGTACCTTACCGGGTGTGCTTAGGGTGTGTGTTCATAACTGCTTGATTTGGTACTTGGCACTTTGCTGGTGGTGTGTGGCTGACTTCACTTATCCCTTCAGCTGCAGATTATTTCTGTGGACTGAGAGCGCATTTTGTGGGCACCCCCCCATCTCTCCCCTAAAAACACACCACCACCACCCCACAGCACTTAGAGGACCAGGAGGGAAACTCTTGGTTCCTAGCCGCCTTTGTTCTATGAAATGTATTCAGGTACTTGAAGGCTTTTTGAGCTCTGTGTGGGGTGAATGGAAGGGGTGAGGGACTCTGCTTTAACAGGTCTGCCCTCCTGGCATGTGAGCAGCCTTCTACTGCCGCAGGCAGGCGCTGCGGGCTTCGGCTGCCCCTCTTTCCAACTAGAGAAGGGGAAGACTTGGCTTGGCAGGCGCCTACCCTCTGGTGTGACTGCCAGAGAGACAAACCTGGCACTTCACCCTGCAGCCTGGCCCAACTCTCAGGAGTGGCAGAGCCAGGACCCCAGGCTGGTTCTGGGGATCCCACCCCTCAGCACTACAGATCCAGGCTGCTTGGGAAAGCCAAGGAGTAGAACCTAGTTTGGGGGTAGGGACCAGGACCAGTTTACTCTTCCATCCCTCTTCAGCAAGTCCACCCAGATTGCCTGGGTATAAAGTCCTGAATTACAGGTACCACAAACTTTTATTATTGTGAAGGTGAAAATCGGTTTCCAGAAAGTACTGACTAGTTTCTAGTTGATGTAGGGACCTTGTTTCCATCTTATGTGGGAGGCCACTTTGACCTCCTGCACAACTCCATGTAGCTGATTCAGAACCATGCTGTGAGCTTCACGACCAGTCCCCTTGAGACTGCTGCATGGAGACCACAGTGGCTGAATTTGGGGTGGGTATTGTGCAGGAGTGAGGATTCAGTTGATTTCTGGTGACACAGGCCCCTCAACTCCCATCTCTTTTGCTTTGGTGTCTGGTCCGTTCCGCCAGAGTGACTCTTTGGGAGTGCTCCTCCCTCCCTCACAGGGACATGGGTGTGGGTATTTGGGGCACCATGTCATCTGTGATGGGAATAAGTCTCCCTTAAGGGAGAGCTTCCCAGGGCTTGACTCAACGACCGTGAAATCTGAAGGAAGACAAGATGTTGGGGAGACCACTGCATTTAGGTCACGTTGTCAGTGTCCGCCAGGTAGAGCTAGGGCTGGAGCTTGAGGGCAGAAGGCCAGTGGAGCTGTGGTGTCCTGGGTGGCCCTGTGCGCAGATGTGTGGCAGGCAGATGTCTCTTCCGAGCCAGGCCCAGGGAATCCCGGGAAACTGCTGAGTGGAAAGATCTGAGCCTTTTACCCCTACCTTGACCTTGGAAGAATCAGCTTCAAGCTAGGTCAATTGATACAGATTTCAGAAGCTTACAAGACTTCTGGAGTCTCATGAGCCTTTGGGGCACCTGGCTTCTTGTTACTCATTTCCAGACGTCCAGAGACTGTTCTGGCCACCTCTGGAGCAGCTGATGGTGTCATGGAACTGGAGAGAAATTCATGGAAGATTTTTATCTGGCATGCTCAGTTCTATTTGTGTCACCTGGGAATGGTAGACAGGGATATCTGGACATTGTTGAGAGCCAGGGCATCCCCTAGGAAGGGCGCAGGAAGGAAAGAGAAAGCAGCATTTGAGTCTCTTAGAAAGCCTTGGGCATGTGGAGTGAGCCCAAGCCTGCTGAAGCCACAGACAGTGAAAGTAATGACCTCGGCGGGAGTGATGACAAGGTTCCAGGCACCCTCCAAAAGATGGAGTGATCGGAAGGCAGAGCACTCAGGTCCTTTGTGGTTAGAGTTCTTTATGGAATGGCTTATTGGAGAAGCTTTGGAAGCAGACACCCCTGAGTGGAACCCTGGCCTGGAAGTGTGGGCACCAGAGACAGGGCGATGTACCTGTCAAATGCGTGTGCTAAGTGCCCAGCCAGATTAGGGGGTGTGTGTGTGGTGGTGGTGGGGGGGTGTCCTTGTTTGGTGTAGAGGTGTCATGGAGACTGTTTCTTGCGAAGTACAGGGGATAATAGGAACTTGTTGGGGTTGAGAGATAGAGCCAGTCCTCTCTGGGGCTCTTCAGTTGCATTTGGGAGCTTTTCTGGGATAGGGTCTCTCCCCTTTGATAATGCTGACAGTAGGGTTTGGTTTTCCTAATGGCGCCATCCTGGCCACTGTGGACTGCCGAGCAGCATCCCTGACTCTTATCCCTTCAGTGACAGGAGAACCCCAAGTCCTCAAAACCACAGATGTTCCCACGTGTCACCAAGTATCCCCCAAGGAGACAGAATTGCCCTGAATGAGATCTTGTTTGGGCACTTTGGCGCTCTGTGCCTGGTTGCCAGTGTGTCCTGGCCATTTGCTCCTGTGGCTTGGGGTTTGCTTCCTGACCCCTGGAGAATTGGTGCTTCAGATGACTTCCTCTGGTGTCTCAGTTGCAGCAGGCTGAACCCCTTGATGGGTTCCTTGCCTCCACTGCAGTGAGTCCCAACTCTCATCCTTCCCTTTGCAGCACAGACTGAGGCTGGAAAGGTCACCCCGGAGTGGACGAGCCAGGGCTTGGATTCAGGGTGGGGGGTTGACTCGCGTGTCATGTGGGAGGAGTAGTGTACCTTGCTGACAAAAAGGAAGCCTGAACTGCAGTGGACAGAGGCTGGCAGGACAATTCACAGATCACAGGGTGGGGTGGGATGGGTTTGGGATGAGCCATGGGTTCCCCCAACTGCCTTCAGCCCTTCATTGTTGCAGCTGAAGTGCCCAGAAGTGGGTGGTTCCCCTGGCACTTTAGCCAGAGTTGCATGTGCCTCCTCCCAGGACTGCCTCCCTCCTTGCAGGAAGACAAGAACATTCTTAGGAGTTAGGGGTCCCAGTGTGTCCTCAGGGGATAAACAGGAATGTGCACTTGTAGGTGCTGGGACTATTGACAAGTAGCCAGGGTTGGCCCTGGACACTCTGCTTCCTCCCCAGAGGACCAGGTAGCTCAGCTGCTGCCTTTCTGAAGCCTGCCGGTGTTCAGGGGAAGCCATTGAAGAATGACTTTGGCGTAAATACCATGTGGTTGCCCTAAAGCACACAGCGAAAGGAGGTAGTCATCCAAAGCCAGGTTTCGATTTCAGCAGACAGAAGAAGGTGAATAGTAATGGAGCGTCATGTCCACGAGTCACTTCTGCAGAACCATCCAGGAAGAGGTCACTGGTACCTGCTTTTGGGGTGCAGGCTTTAGACACATGAAGGGCGGTTCGTAAGCCTTGGGAACTGGATAGGGTCTGCCTGTCACTGACTGCCTGAGTAGGGCCTTGACTCTGGATCACCTGGGAGGGCCTAATAAAGCCAGAGGGTTTGTGGGGTACAGGATTGGGGGTGGGAGGACAGATTTCTAACTCCAGCTGAGCATTGGGAGGGAAGGGCTAAAAGGTGAATGACCCCCCACTTTGTTAATCCTTTGATTTGCCTGGACCCCGTTTAAATGCCCCTGGAGCCCTAGACGCACATGCAGAGTGAGTATGTAGATGGCCCAGAGAAGGCAGAACCTCTACTCTTGTTGACCAGAACAGACTTTGCTACACAGGCAGTGGGGTGCCACCCCCTCGCTTCTCACTCATTACTGGTGAGGTGGACAGCCTTCTTACTTTATGAATTAAAAGCCTAAGGCTCAGCGGTTGTGGCTTTGTGCTGGGGTTCTGAGACACCCCTGCCATCACATGTCAGTTTACCCATTTGGGACCTGGCGAACCTCTGTAGGCTGGGGGAGTGTTCCTCTGGACAGGAGGGAAGGAAACGGAAACACAAAGCACCTTGCATAGTGCAGCATGGAGGGTCTGAGTTCTCATCTAAGTAAACAAGCATCCAAGGAAGGTGTCCTTGATATCGTCTCGCGTAGCCATCTTTTTTTTTTTTTTTTTTTTTTTTTTTAGATTTATTTATTTTTATTTATACATGCGCTGGGTACAGTCAGAAGCGCGGGAGGGTGAGAGAATTCACCAGAGCCAGAGCGGGGAGCAGAGCAGGCAGAAGGACCAAAGTACACCGCTGAGGGGAGCAGCGGGCGGCAGGGGAGGTCTGCACGCCATGTGGGACCCTCCTCCGGTGGCCGGGGAGCAGCCGGGGATCGAACAGGCGCTGCAGAGGCTGCGGGCAGCTTCGCAACCCAGCGCTCAACCGCTGCGCCACCGGGGAGGCCCATCACGTAGCCTTCTTGAGGAGGCTGTTGCAAAAGAAACGTCATTTCCTCTGTAATGAAAAGTTTTCATGACATGATCTTATATAACCTCAGACTTACAGAAAAATCACAGAAATAGTAACAAAAATCCCCATATGCTCTACCCAGTCAGACTTGTCTTGGCTGCAGTTTGCTCTCCCTTACCCCACTGTGTGTGTCTTTTGCGATGATCTGAGTAAACTGGAGCCTGGAGACTTTTTGTTGGCACTTCAGTGTGAATTGTTTTCAGAGAAGAAAACATTCTCTTAAATGAACACGGTACAGTGATAAAATTGGGAAACCCAGTGCTTGCACTCTACATCTTCTGGTTTCAAAATTTGCACAGATAGTGGCATTTTTAATCATCTCCCCTGGAACTATTTTTTAAAGATTTAGGTATGTATGTATGTATGTATTTATATATTTATTTATACAAGCACTGGGTACAGTCAGAAGCGTGGGAGGGTGAGAGAATTCACCAGGGCCAGAGCAGGGAACAGAACAGGCAGACTGATGAAGTACACTGCTGAGGGGAGCAGTGTGCGCGGCAGAAGAGGTTTGTGCACCATGTGGGACCCTGGCTGGTGGCCGGGGATCGAACCAGCGCTGCAGAGGCTGTGGGCAGCTTCGCAGCCCAGCTCTCAACCACTGCGCCACCAGAGAGGCCCCGGAACTTTTTTTTTAAGGATTTATTTATTTATGTGTACAAGAGCTGGGGTTCAGGCCAGAGGTGTGGGGGGTGAGAGGACTCGCTAGAGACAGAGTGGGGAACAGAACAGGCAGACTGACTGAAATACACTGCTGAGGGGAGCAGCCGGAGAAACTGGGGAGTCTGCTGCGCCATGTGGGTAGCTGTGGGGGGGGCATGGAACTCTTGCTACAGAGGCTGCAGCTAGCCCCATAGTGTTGTGCTTAACCCCTTGCACCCCCAGGGAACCCTCCCCTTGAAATTTAAATGAGGACTGGAGCCTGGTCTGGTCAGACTAGTTCCTTCTTTCTGCTGGTGGGAGGACAGAGACCTGGGCTGTGGGAGGGACACCTTCCTGCTTTGACTAGATACACTACTGAGCAGAGGCTGGGGGTTCTCTGAGTGAGTCGGGTTTTGTTTTTGTTTTTAAGGATGCTCAGTCTCTCCTGCATAAAGCAGCTTTTCCACGGCAAACCCCTGTGTCCGTGCCTGTGTCCTACTGGGCCAGTAGGCACTTTCTCCACCATGCCTGCCAGCCTTGAGGGCCTTTCAGTCTTCATTTGTCCTGCGCCCCCTGCTGGGTGCCAGGCTGGGGACAGCCCAGAATTGGTCATGAGTCATGCCTTGCCCTTCGGAGAGTGGAACACAGACCTTGCCTTGGAGATTGTGGGGAGGGAGGAGGAGCCTGGGTTTGGTTCTGCAGGGTGTTTAACAGTGCCTCTGTCTCAGCTTCCCACTGCTGTTGGATCAGCAGGTTTCTCTGAAACTTGTCCTCAGATCTCCCTTCTAAGGGAGGCGGAAGCCAGACACGCTGTCCTGACTCTTCAGCCTGCCTCTGCTGTGAACTGGGCTGGGGCTCGTGGTTTGTTGACATTTTAAAGAATGCATTGGGGGCCTCCCTGGTGGCCTAGGGGTTAAGTCTCAGCACAACAGCCTGAGTTCCATCCCTGGCCAGGGAGCTACCCACATGGCGCAGCAGACCTCTCCTGTCTCCCCGCTGCTCCCCTCAGCAGTGGATTTCAGTGGGTCCTCCTGTTCTGTTCCCCACTCTGTCTTTGGTGAATCCACACACACACCCACAACTCTAGTCTACATGCAGCTCTTCGGTGCAAAAAAAAAAAAAAAAAATGTATTGGGCACCTCTCTGGTGCCAGGGAAGCTGTTTTTCATAATAACAAATTTAAATTGCCCTTTCTTAGGAGAAAGCCAAAGAAAGAACTAGCCCCTGCCAGTTCTGTTGTCACAGGCTTTTTGCCTCCTCCCTCTCCTTTGTCCCTGATTCTGTGTCTCTGTCACTTAAGCTTCAATGGATATTTATGTTAGAGGGCCTAGTACATACCTCACTGGGGTGGTAGTGTGGGTGGGGAGGGGCACATCAGGGGATGCGACTTGACCTGGCTGGAGTCTGGCCTTGGAGAGGGGGGAGAGGCAGGCAGTAGTGCTTTTGACCTGTGCAAGGAACCACCATCCAGTACCTCAGAAGACTTGCCTGTTAGCACCTGGGTCCAGCTCCCAGGGTGATGGTGCTTGTATCCTCTTTTCCTGGGGAAAGCAAAAGGGCAGGAGGGAGAGCTGTCGCCCCTGCTTCTCTAGCCCCTGGGGCTGGGGAGACTTGGAGGAGGAATGCCCCATGCACAGGTATCTCTGCAGTGCTGAGGGGTATTCGAGTAACACAAGTAAGCATGGTCACCTTCAGGAGCACCAACAGCACATCACATGACCTGTCTTGGGGAGTACTCTGGCACCCCTGGCCCCTCCCAGGAGAGGTAGAAGCTGCTCAGGGACAGGAGTGACCTTGTGGGATCAGGACTGATTTGAGGGGATACTGACGGGGTAAACTGCAGGGCTGGTGGGTGTGATTGAAGTGACAGGCCAGGCTCTGGGCTGGGGGCATGGCCTAACCCAGTGATGTGTGGATCCTGACTTGCGACCATGTAGTGGAAGACATCTGAGGCTTCTCCTGTAACCCCTGTCTCTGGTCAGTTGTGGACAGTCTCGGATCCTGACTTTTCAATTCCACACTATTTTGAGAGTAGTAGGGAAGCCTGTCATAACCCCACCCTGGAGCAATTCTAGGTGTGACATGACAACCCTCATGTCCCCCTTGAGGTGGCAAGTCTGTAACGCTAAGTAGGAGATGGTAGTAGGTGAAACACCATTGCTATGGCTGTAACCCAAGTTAGCATCAGATTCCCCCACGGGTGAGTCGCCACTTTAGGATGGATCAGCTGGGTAGCATTTTTAGCACAAGTACCATCTTGACCCTGAATGTCTTGTTGAATTGCAGGAAGCTGTTTGTGGGCGGTCTTGACTGGAGTACCACACAAGGTAGGTGTGGATGGGCTATGGCAGGCGCTGCTGCAAGGCTCATGCTTTGGTCTTCAAGTTGTGTAAATCCATCTCTTGCTGCTACCTTGGGATTTTTCAAGTCTTGATTTATTGTCTTGGTTTCTGGGGGCGGGGGGTGACTGGGGGGTATATGATTGGGAGTTGACTGGGGATGGAGAGAAACTGATTATTGGCATTGAAACTGTTTGTCCTGATGTGTCGCCTACAGTTCGGGAAGAACTGTGATGGCAGGTTCCTAACTTGAGGTCGAGGCAGGTTCTGAGAGCAGGGGGGTGGGGGTGTGTGGTTTCATAACAAAATTGACTCTCAAGTTTCTCATATTAGGATTCTCTTAAAGTTGGCTTTCTTGGAGGCCTTTGGCTACCCTGTATTTATAGAGATGTCTGGTCACACAGAGTCCCCTTCCTCCCCAAGTATCTCCATTCTCTCTGCCCGGCCCCTCAGGTTAGTTGATTAATAGTGCAAAAGTTGCTAGTTCCTTGCTTTCCAGGTCAGGCTGAGCTAGTAGAGCAGGAGTGTGCGTGTGTGCCGCACACCTGCTGTGACACTGTGCTTAGTGTCCTGGCGTGTATGTTTGTGTTCTGTCCCAATCTCTGAGCAGAGACTCTGCGCAGCTACTTTTCCCAGTATGGAGAAGTGGTAGACTGTGTGATCATGAAAGACAAAACCACCAACCAGTCTCGAGGTTTTGGGTTTGTCAAGTTTAAAGACCCAAACTGCGTGGGGACTGTGCTGGCCAGCAGACCACACACCCTGGACGGCCGCAACGTGAGTGTCTTCTTGAACATGCCCCTTCTCCTGCTCCTTTGCCCCGGATTCTGGGTCGCGTCACTTAAGCGTCAGTGGATATTTATATTAGAGTTTTCCTATGGGTTGCTTTAGAAGGATTAGGCTTAGATTGGATGTTAGCACTGATGGGAAGAATTCACCTGGGGGAGTGGGGGAGTGTGCTAGTTTACTGGGCTACTGGCAACTGTCACTAACTCCTTCTTTTCTAGAGAAAATAGCCCCATATTTACAACTGACTGGTTTGAACCTTTCTACAGATAGACCCAAAGCCATGTACACCTCGGGGGATGCAGCCAGAGAGGACCCGGCCGAAGGAAGGATGGGTAAGGGGCTGGGCAGCAACTCGTGCATTCACAGTCACATTTGAAAGCCTTTGATCTGATGGTGGTGTTCATCAAGACTGAGAGCAGCAGAGGGACTTTTTGCTCATCATTTGAGCAACTGAGAATTGTTCAGTTTATCCAACACTGGAAATTTTTTATTTTATATCTGAGAAGATTCTTATTAGTTTGCCTTTAAAAAAAAAAAAAAAACAACACAAAAAACTAATAGCATAGATCCATTTGTCATTAGGAGCCATTTTATCTTCATCGACTGCTCCCAGCTGGCCCTAGTGGGCACTCCCTTCATCCCTGCTGGTGACACAGTTGTCTTCAAAGCTAAGCTGGTAGCTGCTCCTGTCCTGGCACTGTGGCTCACAGGCGAGGGTCAGTGTGAGACCTGGTTGTGGGTGGCTCAAGTAACCACTTTCACAATCCTCAGTGTGGGGTTTCTCTATGATCTGTGTATGGCATTTGATGCTTGGCCATCTGGAGCAGAGTCGTCCATATCCTGCCCTGCCGCTTCTACCACTCGGCAGTCCAGAGCAGTCGGGTTCTTACAGAAAGTCCTGCTGGGCAGAGCTAGACTGGAGACCTACCGCACAGGACTGACCAGCAGGTCTGGGTTGGAGTCCAAGAACCTGCATCTATATAAGTATCCCAGCCGCTGCTGGTAGACAGGGGCCTCAGACTCTTGGAACAGTTTTTGTTTTTTCAACTTTCTATTAGTAAGCTACTCAGCTACAGAGAAGTTAGAGACTATTGCAGTACACATCCAGATACACCAGCTAGATTCATTAGTCGTAACATTTTGCCGAAGTGCTTTATTTATATTTATGAGGCTCTCGGTCTGCATGAACCTTTCCTAAATATTGGAGTGTGCGTCTCCTAAAAGTGTATCCTCCCCCCATGCAGCCCATCAGCACACCTGAAAGGCCTGTGGGCTCCCTGGTAGCACCTACATCTCCACAGGCATGCTCATGAGTCCGGGGACTGCCGCACAGGGCTGTGTCATGGCCCTGCTCTTCAGGCTGGAATCCATCCAGGGCTCGTCTTCATCTGGTCATTAATGTCTCTGTAGTCCCTTAGAAACAGAATAGGCCCATTTAGTAACCTGCACACCATGGTGGTTAATCCAGTGCAGCTTAACCTATGAACTCCTTGGGTAGAAAGAAAAAGGGGTGGAGGGGTTGCAGAAGGTAGGTAGCATTGCAGGAGCAGGAGCTCAGATTAGAGCAGCCCCCGTGGCCTGGGTGGGCGTGTCCCCTTCCTCCTCTGCCTCCCGAGAGAGCAGCCTCAGCAAGGGTCACCCTCTGAGGAGTGAGGCTTCCTGCAGAGAGCAGGGTGGGGTCAGGAGTGGGAAAGATGAGACAAATGATATGGGTCATCTTCTATCACCAGTTGTTTTTTTTTTTTTTTTTTTTTTTAAGATTTATTTATGCATACAAGAGCTGGGTACAGGCCATAGATGCGGGGGTGGGGTGGGGTGGGGAGGGCGGGGTGAGAGGACTCACCAGAGACAGAGTGGGGAACAGAATAGGCAGAGTAACGGAAGCACACTGCTGAGGGGAGCAGCAGGTGAGACAGGAGAGGTCTGCTGTGCCATGTGGGTTGCTCCCTGGCCGGCCGGGGATCGAACTCGTGCTGCAGAGGCTGCGGATTGCTTCATAGTGCGGTGCTTAACCCCTTGTGCTGCCAGGGAGGCCCCTCTGTCACCAGTTATAATCTTTGAGGCTGCCTTATTTTTTCTTCCTTTCCCTCCTAAAATTCTTTATTCCACATTGTAGAGGTTGTAAATTCTGTAGTCGTTATCATTGAGAATAATTGCACACAGGGCCTCTGTGAGTGTGTAGTTGCCCTGGAGTGCAGCACCACCCTGGGCTGAGTCCCTGTGTCCTTAGGTGTCTGGGAAATGAGAATTGTTATAGCTTGATTTTTTTGGTTCTCTTAGGACTTACTGGATTTTGGGATATTTTGGTCTAACTTTAGCTGTTAGTCAGTGCAGAGACTTCATCATACCCAATCCATGAAGGGTATTTTGAGGGTTGCTGTGTGTCGTGCCCTGCTCCCCCCAACCCCGTAACTATGAACTAATCATCTTTTCCTTCTTGAAATAGCAGAAAGGACCCCGGAGCGATAACAGTAAATCAAATAAGATCTTTGTCGGTGGGATTCCTCACAACTGTGGTGAGACAGAGCTCAGGGAATACTTCAAGAAATTTGGAGTGGTGAGTTCTCTGTACCAGGGATTTGGCCTCTCAGTCTCTATCCCAGTCCACATCCTTGTCCTCTCTGGCCATTTGTACCCTAAGGGATCATTTTTGTGACTTTTCCGGGCAGATGTAAATTTGCCGACTGACCTCCTGGAAGGCCTCTCTGATTGTGAGCATTAGGTAGTTTGGAACAGGGTTCATCTTGGCCATGATACTGGTCTGCTGTCCCTCATCACAGGAGGAAATGTTCTAGACCAAGTCCATAAGAAACCCAGTCCCACGTGGGATCTTGGGGCCTCCCCTGAGGACCTAACACAGGAGGCGCCCACCAGAGGTAGCTGTGGCCTGCAGCAGAAAGTGGGCTTGGGACAGGCTAAAAAGCCAGTACCTTCCTTGGATCCTTGGACCGACGGCCCAGACCCCACCGTCGTGAGTCAGCACTGTCCTCCAGCCCCACCAGGCGATATAAAGCAAGATGTTATGGCCCATTTCCTGCTTGGTGCTTCCTCGGCGCGGGCAGACTTTCTTGTGGGGGGATGTTGTTTTCTTTAGAAGTCTAAAATCCTCTGGACATTTTTTTGGAGTCTAGACTCATAAGTTCATCCGGGTTACATAGGGAACTAGGCTCTAGAGGGGCAGGTGGAACAAGAAGTGGGAGGGGGAGAGTGTGGTAGGTGAGAGAAGGGTGAGTGGGTTTATGGGGATGTCCCTGCCAGCAGCTGTGTTATCAGTGGAGCCTGAGTGTGCTGGGGGTAGGGGCGGGGGTTGGGGTTGCCAGCCCACGACTAGAAAGCTGGAGTGAGTGAGGCCAGATGGGGCCTAGAGGGCTCTGTGGTTGTATGGGTGCTGGTGGCAGTGGGGATGCCTGGAGCGAGCATCCGAGCACCGGTCCTGGCTTCAGCTCTCTGTGCCCGGAGGAGTCCTGCAGGCCTCCCGGCTCTTACTCCCTGCTAGAGCAGGTAGCTCCACTCAGAACCCAAGTCTGGTGTGACCTGGGTCTCAGGGTCCTGACACCTGCCCTGTGAGTGCTGAGTGGGTGGAGGGGGCATGTGCTTCCCTTTTTGCCTGCTTCTGCTTGTCAATCTGGAGCCTGGACCGGGTCAGCCTCTGCCTCAGGGCTTCCCAATTCAGTGGAGACTGGCCCCAAAGTTGTCAGGCTCAGGAGTTTCAATGTGGTAGCGTGTTGGCAGTGCCCATGGCGCCGGATTGGCTCACCCTGTCTCTCTTCCAGGTCACGGAAGTTGTCATGATCTACGATGCAGAGAAGCAGAGGCCTCGAGGTAAAGGAGATGGAGTTTGTCCTGACCTTCCTCCCCTCAGATGGCAAACTATTTCACAAATTAGGTGGTGGTTGTAGCAACATTGCCTCAGCAAAGGATGATTTGGAGACAAATGATAAAAACATAGGCTCTTCCTGTGCAGCTCCCCAGCCTGTCTGCTTCCCAAGGTCAGACGTTACCCTTTTTTTTTCTTTTTCTTTTTTTCTTTTTTTTTTGCTTGTTCTTTTGAAATTTTCACAAGTTGACATGAATATCAACATGGTTTCTGTTTTTCAAATGTGTCCTGAAAGATTTGTGGTTCTTTAAAATCACGAACTTACCTACTGACGACTGTCTCCTGTTTTATGTCCACAGCAGCATAGTCAGTCCATGTCATGTCGTCAGGCTAGATCCGCCCCGCTCTGCTTGAATGTGGAGTTTACTTTCTACATCCCATGCTTTTTTCTTGTTGTTTTTTTTTTCCCCCCCTTAAGTCAGCGGGGACAGGTAGGAGGAAGAGTAGCGTGGCCTCGGCATCCCCTCCAGAGTCCCTGAGCTTCTAAACTTGCACGTCTAAATTGGTTTGTGGAACTGGGGCGGCGGGCACCCAATTTTCGTGTCCCGTGTGTATGTGTGTGTGTGTGTGTGTGTGTGCGCGCGTGCGTGCGTGCGTGCGTGTGTGTGTGTGTGTGTGTGTGTCTGCCTGCTGCTACTGCTGTTTGTCCCCACCCATATGTTTTTGGTTCATCAACTGCTTTTGGACCGGCTGATCCCTGGCTGGGCTCTGCAGCAGCTGAGTCCCCCGCGCACCTGCCCGCCCCTGGAGGCCTCAGTAGAACACTGAGCAGGGCCCGCAGCATGCCCGCCATGCTGGAGAATAGTTTGCCATTTGAATCCCATCCTCTACTCCGTGATTTAAGTAACGCATTCTTCACTTCATGTTGATTAAGCTGTTAAGTCTTAGTCTTAATTTAATTTAGACATACATGCTTAGTGACATAATTAAGTGTTTCATAGTAAAGTACAGTAATGTTAAGTAAGTTGTTTTTCCTTTTCTCCCTGTGAATTGTTTGTGATTAACGATATCTCTTTAGATTTCTCTTCTCCAGGTGCTAAATTATATCACACAGGTACAGGCCAGGCCCGCGGTCAGAGGAGGGAACGGGCTTTGCTCCAGTGGGGTGTAAACGAAGTTTCAGTGTGTTTCTGTTCCGCTTCCTCAGTGGTGATGTCGCCTCTTGACAGACAGACGTACTGTAGACGCCCCGTCCCGGGGCTCTTTCCCAGGACTCACGGCCTCTTGCGCTAATGGACCACTCGAGCCCCATGGTTTCAGGCATTCCTGCAGCTTGAGAAATTGTCAACTTTTATATAACGCTGTTCATCACCCATTTCGTGTTCCACATCTTGCCTCCAGTCTTACGGAACCTCGGGATGGGATTACTGAAGGCGCTTTTAGATCCCTGGGTCGGACCTCTCAGGCCAGGCAGAACTGCCTCTTTTCCTTGCCCTGGACCTGGGAGCACCCAGGCTGGCCATGGGCGGTAGAGCTGGCTTAGAACATCCTCTGCCATCGAAACTCTGAGAGTCCTGAATGCTAAGCAGGCAGGGGACGGGCACTTCCCCGAGAGCAGTAGTTGGTCAGGGGACTGCCTGGAGAGCATGCTCCTGGTGTCCTGCCCTTCCTGAATCTCTCGACAGACGCTCTGCCTCCCCGTCCCTCCCGCTGTGGGTTTAAGGCCCCATCCTCGGGGTTCTTCCCCATTTGTGCTGGGCCCTGCTCCTGCCCTCGGACTCCTGTCTGCCTTGTGCCTTCCTCCCCTGTCCCTCCTTTCCAGCTGTGTCTCCTTTTGTCTGTTTTGCCCTCAAACTTCTAAATGCTCAGTGCCTTCTCTGCATCATGTGCAGGCCTCTTGTACATGTTTGTGTGTGGTCAGGCCCGGCTGCACTTGCATAGAGAGACTCATGTATGCCAGGAGGCTCCCGAGTCCCAGGTGCCTTCCCTGCCAGTCTCTCACCACGGGTTTCTAAACTGTCTTTTCCCCATTTCCATCATTGTCCCTCCACAGTTCAGCCTGTCATCTTCCTGTGTAGTTCCAGCACCTACAGCCCCCCATCCCTCTCTCATCAACTTAAGAGGTCTTAGGATAGCTGCTCCCTCCCAGAGTCCTTCCCCTTCTGCTCTGACCCTGGTCTTTGGATGCACATCTACCTGCTCTCCTGCCCCTCTGGCATGGGCCTGTCCCCACCTCTGCCTCTGCCTCGTGATGCACTGTCCCCTGCACCTCTCTTCCCACACCGTCTTCAACACTGGCCCTCCCCGCACGCCCGACTTCTGTTCTCTGGTCTTTTAGTACAGAGCAGATGGGCCCTAGGCAGAGCTAGTGCACAGAGACTAGAACCAGACACGCCACGTTAGCTGGGTGGTCGAATTCACCCAGATCAACCAAACTTCGTTTATACTGCCACTTTCTTGTGTTTGGGAAATGCTAAATTTTTTTCTCTGTAAAATTCTTCTTTTGATGACATGGTGCCTCTTGCTCTTGCTGCTGACAGCAGAGTTTGACCTGCTGGAACCCGTTGTGGCCTGTATCTTTGTGTATCTTACTGATGTAGATATGTACAGATAGATACGGTATCCATACGTATGTTACTCTGACAGGACTCCTTGGGCTTACCCAACAGTGTTGGATAAGCTTAGCGAGGCACTAACTGTGTAGAGACGTACTTCTTTTTAACGCGCTAGAACAATATATGGCTGCTGTCAGCACTAGCTGCAAAGCAAATTGCAAGCCAAGGGGGAGAACCTGGGTTTCAGAAAAGCAGAAGCACATTCACAGCCGACTGAGGCAGAGCTCTGGTCCTGGCTCCCTGCCTGCAGGAATCCCCTGCAGTTACCTCCCACAGAGTGTTCTAGCAGACTCTGGTGTTTTATTTGTCCACATCAGCGTTTGGGGCTGCTCACAAGCCAGGCCCTCACCCTTCCGCTGTCTGCCTGCTGCTTTCTCAGATACGCCCCTGGTTGTTCCAGAGCTGTCCTTGGCCTCTGCCCCCAGGCGTCCGTATGGAGACTTCTTTACTGCCTCAATGGCCAGAGCTGGGGGCCTGACCCCATGGCCTCACACACTGCAGCTTTGCTGAAACCCTTGGTCGATCCCTCGGCCCGTCCCTAATACTGTTCATCATCCTGTTTTGTGTCACAACACCCTGCTACCTTGATTCACTCTTCGTCGTTGGCTAGGTTTTGGATTTATTACTTTCGAGGACGAACAATCAGTGGACCAGGCTGTCAACATGCATTTTCACGACATCATGGGCAAAAAAGTGTGTAGTTGTAGTTTTATTTTACCTTAAGACCAAACCAAGTCTTAGGCAACTTAGGGATTTCACTGGAAATGAAAAATTCCTTAACAGGAAAATGGGTGGGGTGAGTCCTGGTCCTTTGCTGTGTTGGGTTGGCCCTGGTTCTGAAGAAGCAGGCGCCATCTTGACCAGCTCTGCTCCCAGAGTTGTGCTCTAAATCACCTCGGGCGGGCAGGCCAGGGCCTAGCGGGTCAGAGGGTCCAGTGGGCTGGCCTCCAGTGAGATGGCCGGGTTGCCTCAGGCTTGGTTTCAGAGACCACTCCTTCAGATGTCTGCTTGTATCTATTGTTTGATGCCGACCCACAATGTGAGAAGTGAACCTTTGAGAACTGAGGTTCCCTTTAAAACTAAGAGAAATATAAACATCATGAAGGATTGGTTTTTGTAAATTGGGTCACTTACTGTGAAACTCGGTCCCAACCACATGCTCTCGATAGAACTTAACTCCATGCAGTCAAGTGACCTCAGTTGTTCCATCTTCATACTGTGTCTCCCACAAGTGGCCCCAACTTGTCATGGAACGAAGCCATCAACTCAAAAGTGAATAACTGGTAGAAGTTTTGCAGTGCAGAATTTCTTACAGTTACCAAAGACTTGGGGGTCCCAGTTGTTGGAGGATTCCTGTCTAGGTCCTTTTTTAAATGCTTGGCGTAGCCCTGTGGCAGGAAGCACTGGTGCTGTGCAGTCGGGTTTCCTGCCCTGGTTCAGCGTGCCCCCCTCTTCTGAAGAGGCCCTGTCCCTCTCTCAGGATGCTGTGGGGGAACATGGACCCTCCTCAAAGTTCACAGTCGTAGCATATATAGCTGATTTCATACGTAGGTCCTTAGATTTTGTTACATGCTTTTAATTCATTCCATTTGACCTGAATGAGCAGGAGACAGCATTTAAATCCTGCTGTGGGGTGCATTGAGCGCTTGGTGTAAAATGAGCATGCAGGTTTCAAGGACACGTAGGAATTATGAGTACAGTTCAGAGGAGGCCGAATTCAGTTCTTCGTATCAGACTGTGACATGTAAGATTGGTCAGCAGCATGGTCCTGCCTGAGGGATAGCAAGGTGTGCTGGGTGCGCTGATTGGCCCCAGTCCCTGGCAGCTGTCCTAGCCCCACTGTCACAGGATGCAGCGGTGTGCGTGAGGTACCTAGAGGCTCTGAGTGACTTCCCCCAATGTCCAAAGTAAAACACACAGTCACCGTTGCGTCACTGGTGGGCAGTATCCCCTGGCTCCCCCAGTGGGGACTTCTGTTCATAAATGGCTCAGGTCCCACTAGGTATTAAAACCAGAATGCTGAGTGGCTACATCTGTGTTTTGATAGGAAAAGGGTAAAAGATTTTGTTTTTAAATTACAAGGGCTGCTCTACTTTGTAAGCAGGAACTGAATTCCCTTAAGAGGAGAGTGTGTGAGGACTCATTAATTAGAGTTCTTTGAACCAGGTCCCTTGGTTCTGCTGTCACATGCCCATCTCTGCAGTGTCCTTAGGGCACAGGAAGGCGGGTCTTTGTGCCTCATCCCACTTCCTGTTTGTTCTCTACCAGGAGAGGGTTTTAAGGCAGAACTGATGGAATTCTGAATACATAACATTCAGCTAGTCGGACCCCCAAGGATGACTCCAAGTGGTTTCATTGTTTCTTTCCTCTCATTAAAATTTATCATAAAAATAAGAAATTCAAGCTCCTCTGCTGAAGCAGCCCTCAAGTTGGGAAATTTGTTCCTCTGTCCAGAGTTCAAAGCGCTGGAGGAGGAGGGAGCTGTGCTGCTGCGGGGCCTCAGCTTAAGTAGGTCAGGCTAGTCCCTGCCCGTTGTTTCTGAACGCTGCCCAGTGCAGGTTTCCTGTCACCAAGTCCCAGAAAGGAAGGGCTCCGGGTGCTGACCACACACAGTATGAAGATTGCTTACTGATTCCAATGTCCATTTTATTGCATGTTTGTTTACTTTTTTGTTAGATGTAATGTAAGATTCTCTTTATCACATCCATTCCCTCTGACATTATTTTGAGTTAATTGAGATGCTTTAAGCGTTAGCCTGGGGAAGGTAAGTCCTTATCTTCCATTAGATGTTTTAAATAAAAGCCTAAGTCAAACACCTGTGTTTCTCAGGTATGATCTCTGAGTGCAGGTAGGGTGGGTGGGCTCTGGAGAGGTTCTGGGCTTCTCCCCGAGGGGTGCTCTCAACCTCCTGCCTCATAGGGGTCCTAGGAGGCTGGGATGATCCTGGCCTCTGTCCTTGAGGCTCATAGGCTGCTGAACGAGGATGCTGCCATTTTAACTTAACTGCAAGCTCCAAACTCCTGAGGGTCTTGGCCCTACTCCCTGCTCTGCAGCGGACAGGGCTCACATGTCTTAGAGTTGATTTGTTGTACCTGAGAAACATTTTTTAAATAACAACAACAAAAAAATAAACTACAAAAGAAATTTTAAAGAAAAAAAGCTACTGGCCTAAGTAAGGTTTATAGTTAAGTATTTAGTCTTAAGTCTTATTAAGATGCTAAGTGTAGTTGTAAGTTACCTGAGGGTGTGTCTGAAGGGAAGGGGCTCCTAGACCCGCGGCCCCAGCCTAAACCAGAGCTTTGTTTATCCAGGTGGAGGTTAAACGGGCCGAGCCTCGGGACAGCAAAAGCCAAGCTCCAGGACAGCCAGGTGCCAGCCAGTGGGGGAGCCGGGTCATGCCCAGTGCTGCCAATGGCTGGGCAGGCCAGCCCCCGCCCACATGGCAGCAAGGATATGGACCTCAAGGTAAGATTCCATGTGCCAACTGTCATGCCCTGGGACAGCCTTTGAGGCTGGGTCCAGCAGCTTCGTGCATCCCTTTACGCACCGCAGAGGTGGGGCACACGCCCACCTGGCCTGCCTAGTTGACAGGTTGGTTTAGGCCCCCGACACACAGATGTTGACCTTTCAGTCCCATGCTGGGCACTTAAGCGCTTAAACCCTTCCTTACACCCTAGAGTGGGCAATGTTGCGTCAGTTTCAAGATGAAGATGGGAGTCAGGGAGCCTGGGCTCCTTGTAATCACTGGTTCTTCTGGTGTGTGGCTGGTACCCATCCTGTCCTCAGCCAGCATTATATGCCTGATGTTGCCACATTGTTACATAAAGCTCTTTCCCTTCACTGCCCCTGGTCTGGGGGAGTGTCAGGGCAGTGCCTGGGGCAGTTCAGGGGGGAGCACCAGGCATGTCCACAGTGAGGTGGCATGAGTAATGGGTGGATGGAGGCCTGACTGGTTCAGGGCTCAGAACATGCTGCTGGTAGGGTTGGGATTGCACCCAGCCTGGAGGCGGCTCCCAATTCTGCCTCTTGCCCTGTGTTCTTCCTGCTCCCCGGGCTGCAGGCTAACCTGTGGAATACTCTGGTCTTCTGTGGGGTGTGGGGTGGGCAGAGCAGGCTCAACCAGCGTGGTGGGAGGTTCAGGGTGCTGTAGCAGCCTCCACCTTCAGAAAGCACACCGTCCCCAACTTTTAGGGGTAGGCAAAGAGACCAGGTACGACTGATCTAAATCCAAGAGCCTGCAGAACTGTCTTTAAAACAGGCATGTTGTTGCAAAGCAGAATCCAGCTGCAGGAAACAAACTCGCCTTGGCCACCTGCCCAGTCCTGGGATCTACTTCCCAGCTTAAAGCTCCACCTGTGTCTGCATCTCAGTTCCTAGTCTCCATCCCTCCTGTGCTCTGTTGTGCTTGTGCCACTTGACCCGGGCCTCTGTGGGGATCTTCCCTGTAGAAGCAAGGGCCCCTCTGCCTTTTGTTCTTGAGAAGTCACAGGCCTCCTCCAGTGTGTCCACATAGCAGGGGAAACTTCCTATGACATGCTACAGAGCAGAAGGGTAGAGTGTCGCCTGCTGTCACTGACATTGAACTGACACTATACACCCCCCCTTTTTGTTTTCTTAGGAATGTGGGTGCCAGCAGGACAGGCAATTGGTAAGTCCCTATTTGTAGAAAACAGGGAAAGCGCATTATTGCAGACTCTGGCCAAACAGGCCTGGGGTGGTGGGTGGGGTCTGTCTGTCTGCCTTGCTCACCCTGCATCCTGTGTTCCAGGTGGCTATGGACCACCCCCTGCGGGAAGAGGAGCCCCACCGCCACCTCCGCCATTCACCTCTTACATCGTGTCCACCCCTCCTGGAGGGTTCCCCCCTCCTCAGGGCTTCCCACAGGGTTACGGCGCCCCCCCACAGTTCAGTAAGTCGTGGGAGCCCCGAGGGGGGAGCCCTGAGGGAGACTTTGATTTGAAGGGCCATTGCCCCACAGCCAGGGCAACCCTGGCCACTGCATCTGCCACACATCCCTGCAGTGTGGCCAGTTTCACCTCACGTCAGCTTCTCAGGAGAGTGTCTGGACCTCGTAGTTTTAATTTGAAACAGAGGACTTGAGGATTTGAACACCTTGGGTCTAGATTCTCTTGCCTCTGGGCTTTGCTTTGTAATTGAGATCTGGGTTCTAACAGCCAACAGGCCTAGAGGCTCTCCTTAGTTCCCCTCCTGCCCTCAGTAGGAAACAACCACGAGCAGTGCAGAGCAGAGCAACACCTTACCCAAATGTGGCAGGGTCACCTCCGCTTGTTATTCAGCTGGCAGGAAACATCCCTTTCTTTTCTTTTTTTCTTTTTTTTTTTTTTTAAAGATTTATTTTATTTATTTATACAAGCACTGGGTACAGTCAGAGGCACGGTTGGGTGAGAGAATTCACCAGAGACAGAGCGGGGAGCAGAACAGGCAGACGGACCAAACACTGCTGAGGGGAGCAGCGGGAGCAACAGGAGAGATCTGCCACGCCATGTGGAATCTCATCCTGCCCGGCCAGAAATCGAACCCACACTGCATAAGCTGTGGACAGCTTCTCAGTGCTGTGCTCAACCCACTGCGCCACCGGGAGGGCCAATACCCCTTTCTTTTCTTGCTGAGTCCTCTGAGTCTCATGTGTTTGCCTCTCAAGGTGTGCCGCAATTTGGATAGTTCTCACGGGGGCTCGGTCACCTGGGACCAGGGCCATGGACTAAGCCACCACCAAGTAAAAGATGTGCTCCTCCTCCCCAGCCCACGTTGAACTTGTGCTGTAGTGGCTGGCAGTAGCTTGATAGAGCTGTCCTTAACCCTGCGCCACCAGGGAGGCCCTTCGATTTGATTTCTAATTAGTCAAAAGGTAGATAAGAACTGGAGGGTGTCTGAGCACATTGGGTGAGTGCGGCCCCTGCACGGCTGACTTCCTAGGGTTCTCTGTCTTCCCATGCACAGGGATGGTGCTGTGTATGTGGTTGACGTGGTTCTTTTTTATTTTTTTAAAGATTGATTTATGCGGGCCTCCCCGGTGGCGCAGCGGTTGAGCGCTGGGTTGCGAAGCTGCCCGCAGCCTCGGCACCGCCAGTTTGATCCCCGGCTGCTCCCCTGCCACCAGAGGAGGGTCCCACATGGCGTGCAGACCTCCCCTGCTGCCCGCTGCTCCCCTCAGCAGTGTACTTTGGTCCTTCTGCCTGCTCTGCTCCCCGCTCTGGCTCTGGTGAATTCTCTCACCCTCCCGCGCTTCTGACTGTACCCAGTGCTTGTATAAATAAAATAAATAAATCTTAACAAAAAAAAATGATTGATTTATGCATATAAGAGCTGGGGTGTAGGCTAGAGGTGCGGGGTGGTAAGAGGACCCACCAGAGACAGAGTGGGGAGCAGAATAGGCAGATACACCAAAACACTGCTAAGGGGAGCAGCGGGCCAGATAGGAGAGGTCTGCTGTGCCATATGGGTCATCTCCTTGGCCGGGGATCAGACTCATGCTCCAGTGGCTGTAGATACCTTCATAGTACTGTGACTTAACCTCTTGCGCCACCAGGGAGGCCCCTGACTTTGTTCTTTTTTTGTTTTGTTTTGTTTTGTTTTATTTATTCATTTGTTTGTTTTGTTTATACAAGCACTGGGTACAGTCAGAAGCGCGGGAGGGTGAGAGAATTCACCAGAGCCAGAGCGGGGAGCAGAGCAGGCAGAAGGACCGAAGTACACTGCTGAGGGGAGCAGCGGGCGGCAGGAGAGGTCTGCGCGCCATGTGGGACCCTCCTCTGGTCGCTGGGGAGCAGCCGGGGATCGAACTGGTGCTGCAGACAGAGGCTGCGGGCAGCTTCGCAACCCAGCGCTCAACCGCTGCGCCACCGGGGAGGCCCCCCCTGACTTTGTTCTTAAAAGTATTTCCCAAGCAGGGCCTCCCCTGGTGGCACAGTGGTTGAGCACTGGGCTGCGAAGCTGCCTGCAGCCTCTGCAGCGCCAGTTCAATCCCTGGCCACTGGTGAGGGTCCCACATGGTGCGCAGACCTCTCCTGCTGCCCACTGCTCCCCTCAGCAGTGTATTTCATCAGTCTGCCTGTTCTGCTCCCTGCTCTGGCTCTGGTGAATTCTCACACCCTCCCGCGCTTCTGACTGTACCCAGTGCTTGTATAAATACATAAATAAAAATCTTTTAAAAAAAAAAAAAAGTATTTCCCAAGCAGAGGTCTCCCTGGTAGCCTAGGGTTTAGTTCTCAGCATTACCACCACTACAGCCTGAGTTCAGTCCCCAGCCAGGGAGCTGACCCACATGGCGCAGTAGACCTCTCCTGTCTCGCTCGCTGCTCCCCCCAACAGTGTATTTCAGTCTATCTGCCTGTTCTGTTCTCCACTCTGTCTCTGGTGAACCCTCTCCTCCTCCCTCTCCCCACCCTGGCCCCACACCTCTGGCCTATACCCCAGTTCTTCTATGTGTAAGGGAATCTCTCTTAATTTTTTTTTTTAAAGATTTACTTTTATGCATACAAGAGCTGACGACAGGCCAGAGATGCGGGGTGTCGGGGAAGGGCGGTGAGAGGATTCACCAGAGACAGAGCAGGGAGCAGAACAGGCAGACTGACTGAAATACACTGCTGAGGGGAGCAGCAGGAGAGGTCTGCTGCGCCATGTGGGTAGCTCCCTGGCCAGGGATCAAACTCATGCTGCAGAGGCTGCGGTTAGCTTCATAGGTTGTGTCTTAACCCCTTGCGCCACCAGGGAGGCCCAGGAATCTTTTTTTAAAAGTATTTTCCAGGCAGTTCCTCCTCCTCCTCTAAGCTGCTACCTAATACTCATGGTTGGCTATAGCACTGGCAGCTGGGTGAGCTCTGCCAACACTGGAAAGTGTACCTGTCAGTTTTTCTGGAGCAGGTCAATCCCTTAAGCAGAGCCCAGGTTCACCGTGTGAGGCCCTCAAGGACTAGCCTCTCACTGGTGTTCGAATGGACAGGGTCATGGGTGTATTCGTGTCTGTGTCTTTCTTTCCTGTTTGTTCACAGGTTTTGGCTATGGGCCTCCACCTCCACCTCCGGATCAGTTTGCCCCTCCGGGGGTCCCCCCTCCACCTGCTACTCCAGGGGCAGCACCTCTGGCCTTCCCACCGCCTCCATCTCAGGCCGCCCCAGACATGAGCAAACCCCCGACGGCACAGCCAGACTTCCCTTACAGCCAGTATGGTGAGTCACTGCCATCTCTATCCCTGCTCAGACCTGCAGTGCCGCCTGGGCCCCAGCCCTTGCCCTGCAGTCTCCAGCTTCCTCCCTTGCAGACCCGTTTACCGCCAGGTTTTAGTGAAGCCAGGGGATGGCCTGTGGTGTGGGGGGTGTTGGAGAGAGCTCAAGTGACCTAGGGCCAAGCAACCATGAAGCTGGATTTGGTTTCTTAGGTTTCTGCCAGGGTGCTAGTCTGAGAAAGACATTGGCTGCACAGCAGGTGTCCTGTGGGTTTGACATCTGTCCTGGACTCCCTGGAGAATGGTCTGAGGCTGCAGTCTCTGTTGGGTCTAGGGACACCCAGCAGGCCCTTTCCCGGTGGCTCTCGGGTTTCCAGTTCCTAAGGCACTGCTGGGACTGTGGGCTGGTGGTTCTCGTCTGTGGCAGGCTCTGCCTTAGATGTGGGCTTTGTGTTGCACTCGGCAGGCTGGTGGTTGAGTGCATCCTTGCAAGCCTTGCGTGTGCCAGGAGGCGGAGCTCTGTGAGGGCAGCGTCTGGCTGGTGGGCTGCATCAGACAGGGTTCACAGCTTGCCAGTCTCCCAGCACTGGGAATGCACCCATACCAGGGGCCTGAGCCCAGGTCCCAAGGACAGCTGGGGCTGCGGAACCTGCAGTTTCATTGCTGAATTCCCCACTGGGAGCTCCACTGTTCCTACTTCCTTGCCTAGACTGGCTTGCTCAACACTGCCGTGTCTGCGCAGCAAAACTGCTCTTACCCTTGAATGCCATTCCCAGCCGTGTGCCCCTCACACTCCTGCATCACGCTTCTTGTTCCCCATGGGCTATCGCCAGACTGCTGCCACCCAGTGCCTGGGTTCCTGACCCTACCCTGGAACACACAGGCTTTGGTGGTAGGCACAGTGTAAGTCCCCAAGGTGAGGGTGTGCATGAGCAAGAGTGTGTCCCCACCTACCCTACTCTTCTGCCAAGGCCACCCCGGGGTAGTCACCCTGGTCTCGTCTCTTGCCAGGCCTGGGTTCCTATTCTCCAGACCCGTCGAACTTCGGGTCCATACTTTGTTTACACTCTTATGGTCAGGCTGAGCAGTGATGTGGCCTAGGTAGGTGGCACTTCCAAATCCATGGTCCCCCTTCTGCCTGCACCCAGGCAATGGATATGGCTTTCTCTGCCATGCTGGGCGGGGGTGGACCCAGGGGTGCCCGTGGGACGGGGCCCTTGCTGGGGCCAGCCTCTTGACAGGCCCTAGAGCCCTGCCGCTGCAGGCTTGTGCAGACCCCGTGCCTCCTAGCCCCCGTTGGGAATCCAGGAGGGCCCAGGGCTGAGCCTTCATCCGAAGTGCATTCCAGGGGGGCATGGGCCAGGATGGTGCGGTCACCTTTTCCAGAAGCACTTCTTCGCCCTCTGAGGTCGTGCGCCAGGTCTGGGACCTGTTTGAACAGGCTCTGGGAACATATCCAGCAGGAGCACTGAAACCTGCTCGTGGTACAGTCTCTTCCTGGACCTGTGCCTGTCACCTGCTTGTTTGACCTCCGCAGTGAGGACATCTGGGGGGCGTCCTGGAGGAAGGGGCATTGAATTTTTTTTCTTTTTTCGTTTTTTTCTTTTTTTGTAAGAAAAAGAAAAAGTTTAACTTTTTAAAGAATTTGACATGTCTGCCTCCTGCAGACGTGGGGGTAAACCCCGCATGACTGAGGCGCTCGCTTTCATATTTTCTTATCCTTGAAAGCAGTACTGTGCCCACCCTGCAGTTCACTTGGGAGCAAACCTAGACGTCACCCTGGGAGGCAGGTCAAAGAGCCTGTGGCTCCAAGCTCCAAGCCCTCCTCCGCCACCCAGACCTGCTGCAAGGGCCCAGCCCGCAGAGCCCCAGGGTGGGAATGGGGGCCTGGAGCTGGCAGCTTGAGGGCTGGGCCCACGGGCCTTAGAGCACTTTTCTTTCTGTGGACAACCCTGCGCAGGGTCCTGCTGTGGGAGTTCAGGGTGGGCTTCCGGGGAAACGTTGGTTCCTAACTTTCCCCACAACCTGCCCCTGTCCTCTGGCGTGGGCCCTGGCCAGCAGGATGCCCGGTGAAGCAGGTGCCGGGTGCCAGAGGCGATCTGGCAGAGGTGCTCCTGCCAGGGCTCACTGGACTCTCTCCCCAGCAGGTTATGGACAGGACTTGGCTGGCTTTGGACAGGGCTTCTCAGACCCCAGTCAGCAGCCCCCCTCCTACGGGGGCCCCTCGGTGCCAGGGTCGGGGGGCCCCCCCGCTGGCGGAAGTGGCTTTGGACGAGGGCAGAACCACAACGTGCAAGGATTCCATCCCTATAGACGCTAGCCAGCCGGCACCACACGGACTGCAGGACGGCTGGGACCCAGGATTTGAAACTTGTGAACTCGTGACAATCACAAACTTGGTGGACAATAGCGACTCAACCTGGGGGGCGGGGGGGAGGGTGAGAGGCTTTTGGAGGTGGCTGTGGGTGTCTGGACTGAAGTTTTTAAATATATTTCTTTCTCTAACCCATCAGCACAATAAAAGAAAAGTCACTGGTTCAACAACAGGGTTTAAAAAAGTCTTCAGCTTTAATTCAAAACTTCAGGTTTCTTTCCTTTTTTTTTTTTGAAATTATTTTCCTGAGCCTTTTGTTTTACCATATATTGTAAACTTTTATGTTAAAGAAAAAATATACATTTACAAATTGTGAGATTTTTAAGAGAAATTTTCTACAATGTATACTGGCTTATTTTTTAATTTAAAACAGGGTTTCCGGCACTGGTGGCAGTGAGGGAGCGATTGAGTCTCCTCACTCCTGGCTTTGAGGGTTGGGACTCTTTGGTCCAGAAACTCTGGAAGCTTAAAGAAGTCTACTGAGTGTTTTGTTTTTTGTTTATTCCTTGCTTTTGTCGACTGAACTGCCTGGGATGTCCACAGGTGCTGTGGGGGTCACAGCCCAGCCTCCCATCCATCACACCCCATGGCACCAGGGGCTGGAGGCCGATCTCCAGGCACGAGGCTTCAGGGCGTTTCCCACTGACCAGTTGACCCTGGTTTGAATAAAAAGAAGTACGTTTGGATTAGAAACCCACGTTGTGTCCATTTATTCCCCTGGTCTCAGCCACGTCATAGGAGGCCTGCTTGAGGGGCCCCTGCCTCAGCACTTCTGGAGCCTGGGTGGGTGGGGGCTGGGCACCTAGTCAGAGCTCAGATCGGAAGTGAGGGGCCTGTGGGGCTCACTGCCAGGGAGCTTTGATGGCACCTCTGAGGCACCTAGAGTAGGGGAGCAGCTGGACCCAGGTCTTCTGGCTCACTCAAAGGAGGGTGGATCCCAGAAGTAAGTGGGAGTGGGGCAGGCATTTGACACTTGGAATGGCAGGATGAGGATGGAGGAGTACGGGGTCAGAGGGGCCGAGGAGGGCAAGCTCAGACATCACACAGCAGCCACCCCTCCTGCAGGACCTTTCTAGTCCTGGGTGTTTGGTGTTTGGTGACTCGGTTTCTGTCTGCTCTTTGCCCCCAGCCCAGGTACAAGGGTGTTTGCTGTTCAATACTGCAGCCCTGAGAAGGGGGCCCAGAACCTCCTTGCACCCGGGAGATCCACTTCGGCAAGGTGGGGAGGAGCTGGGGTCTGGTCCAGGAACGGGCTGTGAACAAAATGGCGAGACCCCTGTTGTGTGTGATTGCTTTCCTGCAGAGGCTGGTGCTTCCAACCACGCAGGTTTTTCATCTCATCTGCAGTCATGGAGTGTAGTAGGGGCTAGACTTGGTGGGCCGGACTGTTCCTCAGGCTGCAAGGGGAAACTCTTATGCCTTCTCCAGCTTCTGGAGGCAGCACATCCAGGGCTCAGGGTCTTCCTCCATCCTCATAGCAGCCTCTGGTCTCTGACTCTGACTCTCCTGAAATCATGCAAGCCTGGGGAATGTCAGGGTTTGTGGGTCCTCACCTGTTTGCTTAAAATTGTGAGACACTACTCAGGCTCGAGTGTAACAACAGGGTCTACTTGCAAGGGGGGAAATGGGGAGGAAAGAGACTCTACGGCCACAAATGGCCAACTGTCCTACCCCAGATGTCTGCAGTGTCCAGTAGTCCAAACCAAAAGCTTCTGCATGATGGTATCACTGGAGCTGGTAGTACCAGGATCCAGCAGCTCACTGTGGCAACTGGAGGTTATCACAGATGGCTCTGCTAAGACAGCAGCAGTGCAGAGACTGGGCTGGGCAGCGCTGGAGGCAACACCAACAGGAGAGCTCTAGAGGTGGCTTGGGCACAGGCCAGTGGCCCGGGTTAGCAGGCAATGTAGTGGGTCAGGCAACAGCAGTTACTTCTGAGGGGTGCTGGGCCCAGGCCAGGGTGCTGGTTAGCAGGTCATTTCGGGGGCCTAGAGGTTAAGTCTCAGCGTTATTACCTCTATGACCTGAGTTCGATCCCCGGTCAGGGAGCAACCCACATGGTGCAGCAAACCTCTCCTGTCTCCCTGCTACTCCCCTCAGTGGTGTATTTCAGTAGATCCACCTGTTCTGCTCCCCATTCTGTCTCTGGTGAAACCTCTTACACACACACACACACACATACACACACAGTACCTCTGGCCTACACTCTGGTTCTTGTATGCATAAATAAATAAATAAATAAATAAATATTTAAAAAAATTAAGGTCCCCTACAAAAAAGCATTGTGCAAACAGTTAAGGGGGTTTCCAGTCAGCTTGAGTGTACAGAACTGAGTTTGCTCCAATGCTGCAGGTCACTCCCTGGGACTGGGAGAGATACCTCTTTGGCTTGGAGTTTAATTGGCTCTTCTGGGAATGTGGAAGTGGCTATGGAGGGCTCAGCTTTGGAGACTTGCCCTTCCCTATAGGCCAACTCCAGTTTCCCACAAAGCCACTAGCCTAGGCCACAGCCCCCTCAATGAGCCGGGCCCAGCTTGGATGCTCTGTCTTGCCCACCCTTCAGGGAAACTGAAGGCGCAGTGGTGTAAAGTGGGTTGGCACACTGACCTTTTTATTTATTTTGGCAACACCCAACTCATCTCTACCCCAGAGCTTTTGCACACTTTGCCGCATCCTAGAAATGTCCCTCTCAGCTGGATTGACTGCCTTCTCCATCCATTCGTTTGTTTGTTTTCATATCCAAGAGGGCAGAATTATTATATAAAAAAAGGAAAGGAAAGGATGCTTTCACAGACACAAATGAGTAGGAGAGCTGCTTCTGAAAGGCACAGGTTTGTGAAGAGATTCCCGCATACACACAGGTGGGCAGCCTTAAGACAAGAGCAGCCTCAGCCATTCATATTTTTTTGTTTAAAGATTTATTTATTTATTTATGCATACAAGAACCGGGGTATAGGCCAGAGTTGTGGGGGGTGAGATGATTCACCAGAGACAGAGTGGGGAGCTTGACAGGCGGACCCACTGAAATACACTGCTGAGGGGAACAGCAGGCAGGACAGGAGACTTATGCTGCGCCATATGGGTCAGCTCCCTGGCTGAGGATCGAACTCAGGCTGTAACAGTGATAATGCTGAGTCATAGCCCCTAGGCGACCAGGGAGGCCCCCTCCCCCCCTTTTCTTTTTTTTGTTTTAAATAAGAATTTTCTAGGGTAGCATTTTAACCTAATGATTTTTTCATTCTATATTTTGAGTGATTTTCTTAGAAAATCTTCAGAACTTACCATATACATGTTTGTTTGGTTTTGTAAATTCCTGCTTATTGTTGAATATGTTTTATAGGTACATCAGACAGGCCAAGAGAAGTAAATAGCAAATTCATAGACCAAAAAAAAAAAAAAATAGGGCCTTTCTGGTGGCGCAAGGGATTAATCAACACTACGAAGTTATTGGAGCCTCTGCAGCACGAGTTCTATCCCCGGCCAGCCAGGGAGCAACCCACATGGCTCAGCAGACCTCTCCTGTCTCCCCGCTGCTCCCCTTAGCAGTGTTTCAGTCAGTATGCCTGTTCTGCTCCCCACTCTGTCTCTAGTGAGGCCTCTCACCCCCTGCACCGTTGGCCTACACCCCGATCTTGTATAAATAAATAAAAATAAATATTTTTTTAAAAAAGGGGGGGCCTCCCCTGGTGGCACAGTGGTTGAGCGCTGGGTTGCGAAGCTGCCCGCAGCTTTTGCAGTGCCGGTTGGATCCCCGGCCGCCGGGCGAGGGTCCCACATGGCGCGCAGACCTCTCCTGCCGCCCCTGCTCCCCTCAGCAGTGTCCTTCGGTCCTTCTGCCTGCTCTGCTCCCCGCTCTGGCTCTGGTGAATTCTCTCACCATGCCGCGCTTCTGACTGTACCCAGTGCTTGTATAAATAAATAAATAAATCTTTTTTAAAAACGGGGGAGGGGACTTTATCTTTGACCCCCCCCCCCCCCTAGAGGAAATGGCCCCCAAACACTAGGACCCTAGGATCCAAGTCCCTAGGTGGTGGCCACCTTTTTCGACCTCGCAGCCTGCGCTCCGGCCTCCGGACAGCAGAGGGCGCGCGTCCTCTGGAGGGGAAAGGAAGTGCGTGCGCAGAGGGGCGGGGCCCGTGGCTAGCCTCGCGATAACTGCACCGGCGCAGGGAAGGCGGGCCTTTCTGAAGAGGCGACGGGATGGTGAGTAGGGCGCTTGCTTGTGTCTTTGCGGAGCCTATCCGGCGGCATCCGCGCTCTGGCCGCACGGGGGATCGCGGGGTCAGGCTGAGCCACTGCGGGGGCCTCCACCGAGCCTCCGGGAACGCCAGATATGGGGGTTGCGGGTTGGGGGTCGGAGCGATCCGGCCCGGGAGGGCTCGCGTGGGCCTGGCCGAAGCCCCGGGCGGCGGGAGCGCGTCCCCGCCGCTCTCCTGCCCAGGAGCGCCGCGTGGCTGGCGGCGGGGTCCTCTGGCCGGTGCCCCCGCCGCGGCCACTCGCGGGGGAGGAGGGTCGTAGGCTCGTGCTCACCCCCGGCCCGCGCAGGCGGAAGTGGAGCAGAAGAAGAAGCGGACCTTCCGCAAGTTCACCTACCGCGGCGTGGACCTCGACCAGCTGCTGGACATGTCCTAGTAAGAGGGGCTCGGGCCCGCGCCGGGGCGGGGCTGGCCGGGGAGACGTTCGGAGCGCGAGTGTGGTGGCCTAGTGTGCGCAGAGCTGGTTCTTCATGATTCGAGCAGGCCAGACGGGCGGGGGAGAGTCCTGGGGCCCGCGGTGGCGTCCTCAGGCTTTCATTGCGCTTTTAGGGGTGGTGCAGCAACCAGGCACTGCAGGCAGGGGGGCCGGGAGGCCTTCAAGCCCCCCGCAAGTCTTCACTCGGGCTTCTTTCTCCCCTTCTCTGCTGCGTCTTCTCCTCCTCCTCCTCTTGGCAGATCGCTCAATACTGAGCCGTGGCGCGCAGAAGTAAACAACACAGCTTACAACCATGTAACAACTGCAGGTGCCCCATCAGGCAGGGCAGTCCTAATGGCAGAGGGCAGAAAAGCCTGAAAACCGTTTACCCTACACTTAGGAAAGTAAAATCTATGTTTAGCTCATGGGCCTTAAAAACCGCAGCAGCCCAGGATTTTGCACGTCCATCAGAGTTGCCAATCTTAGGTCTGAGGTTTGGTGGGAGGTGAAATTTACAGTTCCCGGGCAGGGCGGTGGTCCTGTCCCCAGGATGGGGAGGTGGACTTGCTAGGGCACACCTCACACCACCGTCTCAGGGTGTTCCTAGATTGCAGAGGGGAACAGGATAGTCTCCCCACTGGCTGGGAGCTTCTGTTTTGGATTTTTGAGTCTTAGGACCACAGCGTGGTGTTCCCCAGGGTTCTATCTGCTTGGCCACCTCACCCGGCCCCCTAGTCTGTTAACTGTGGACATCGGTGCTTGGTTCTTGAGCTTGAAGGGTTCATATTGAGTATTTGGCATAGAGTTCCCTGTGGTCCCTTTATAGCCAGCAGCCTTTGGGGACACATAGGAGCAGCGATATTAGTGAGGTGAAAGGTACAGGTGGTTCTGGGCCGCGGGACACAAATATGCTGTTTGTCCCCAGCGAGCAGCTGATGCAGCTGTACAGCTCCCGGCAGCGGCGGCGTCTGAACCGGGGCTTGCGTAGGAAGCAGCATTCGCTGCTGAAGCGCTTGCGCAAGGCCAAGAAGGAGGCGCCACCCATGGAGAAGCCAGAGGTGGTGAAGACACACTTGCGAGACATGATCATCCTGCCTGAGATGGTGGGCAGCATGGTGGGCGTCTACAATGGCAAGACCTTCAATCAGGTGGAGATTAAGGTGTGTTGTGATTGCCCTGCGCCTGGGCGGTGGAGGGTGGTCTGTTACCCAAGGAAGGTCACTTAATGTTCCTGCTCTTTGCCTCTTGCAGCCTGAGATGATTGGCCACTACCTGGGCGAGTTCTCCATCACCTACAAGCCTGTCAAACACGGCCGGCCAGGCATTGGGGCCACCCACTCCTCCCGCTTCATCCCCCTCAAATAGACTGCATGACCAGTAAAGGCACAGACTTCTCTAATCCTGATTCTGACCCGTCCTTCCAGTATCTGGGCTCTGGGGGGCTATGCCTGGTCTCGACACCTGAAGGGAGGCACAGGTTGGACATGACTTTTGTGCAGTGTGGCCCTGGGTTTCTTGCTGTGCAGACAAAGTGCCAGACATTCAGCTCAGTCTATTTGCACACTGAGACCAACTCAGTGGCCGAGAAGTGGGTGTGCTGGGAGGTCCAAGTGATTTGGGCCCTGTGGCAAATCCCGGGTTGGTCCAGGGTCCCGCAGCCTGTAACCTCAAACCTGAAGATGCAGCCAGAGGTCCTAAACATGGCCGCCTGAGGTATCCTTGACTAGATACATACAGGTACTTTGAGATGCTTGGCAAACCAAGGAGGGTAAGTTGGCAGGTGCCCAACAGATGTTGCAGGAACTGTCCAGGCGGTGGTGAGGCTCTGAGCTATCCCTGTAGGCCTGAGCAGGCGGAATGGGAGTTACTGTCTGTTGAATGTTTGGTGCTGGCCAAGGTGGTCATTGATTCTGCATCTTGCGAGACAGGAGGCCTGGTGAGTGACAGAGGAGCAAAGCAAAAGAAAACTGGGGAGTCTTAGAAGAATTAGGGTTTAGTATACTAGCAGGAAGAAAGCAGAATAGCATCTCCCCTCAGGATTTGAAGCCCTTCCAAAAGGCACCTTGCAGAAAGAGAATGGGGGGGAGTAAGTCTCAAGGAGGTGTGCTAGGGGCTGGTGTGCATGTGATAGTAAATGGAGACGACTGGGTTCTCCTGGGATGGCCCCTGGGCCCCATGAGCTTCAAATAAGACCAGTTCAGTCCATCTCAGGGAGAGCGAATGTTGGGTGATAGTCAGATCCTCAGCTGCTTTGTGGTGTTTTAAAAACTTCCTTGGTGGCCCAGGGATTAAGTCTCAGTGCTGTCCCTGCTAAGGCCTGAGTTTGATCCCTGACCAGGATGCTGACCCACCTAAGGCGCAGCAGACCTTTCTCCCTCTGCTGTCTTGCTCGCTGCTCCCCTCAGCAGTGTATTTCAGTGGATCTGCCTGTTAGGGTCCCCATTCTATCCCTGAAATCATCTCACCCCTACACCCCAGTTCTTCTATGTAAAACAAAACTCAATATTAAAAAAAATAGCTCTTAGGTTACCAGGCCCACTGGCAGGAGTAGAGTGCAGATCAGATGGGTGTTTCCGAGCCCCCCTTTGTTGGAGGCAGTCAAACTAGAATCCTTCAAGTCTGGCCTGTGATCTGTTTTTAGGAGTTTTACTTTTTTTTTTTTTAAAGATTGATTTATTTATGCATACAAGAACTGGTTGTATAGGGCAGAGGTTGGGGGCAGGGGGTGAGAGGATTCACCAGAGAGAGTGGGGAGCAGAACAGGCGGATCTACTGAAATACACTGCCGAGGGGAGCAGCTGGGAGACAGGAGTGGTCTGCTGCACCATATGGGTCAGCTCCCTGGCAAAGGATCGAACTCCTGCCAGAGAGCTGGAAAGCACTGACTTCAACCCGTTAAAGAGGGAGGCCCAGTTTTCAGGAGTTTGAATAGACATGTTCATTTCCGTATCCTTGGTACTCTCCCAACGCTGAAATTTCCTCCTGAACAGCAGCTGACCCTCCATCAGACAGCCCTGTCTTTCACAGGGAGCATTCCAGCCTGACCCACAGGTCACCCGGGTGGGCTGCTCATGATCAAGCTTTTCAATTTTTTATAACTTAAGGTTGGGAGAATATGCTTATTAGTGTTAAATGAGCAAAATACTGTGCCCTCTTCAGACAACGGTGCAGGCTTCAGCCACTAAGTGTTAATGGCTCCAGAGCAGCACCCTCAGGGGGAGAGTGTGAGGCTTTGTGACCCTGATAACCTCACCCTCTGGACCTTCTACGGCCCAGGTTCTGCCTTAAGGCCTATTGGCCACATTCCTGAGTTCTAGCTTTTTTTTTAATTTTTTTACAATATACAAGAGCTGGGGTGTAGGCCAGAGGTGTGGCGGGTGAGAGGATTCACCAATCACAAGGGTGAGGAGCAGAACAGGCACATTGACACACTGCTGAGGGGAGCAGCCGCGACAGGAGAGGTCTGCCGGGCCATGTGTGTCTGCTCTGGGCGTTGATGGAACTCGTGCTTCATAGTGCTGAGACTTAGCCCCTTGCGCCACCAGGGATGCCCTCCCCTGGGGGCCAGCCCACAAGTTAAGGCCCCTTTGGTCCATTTTTGCATGTGTAACAGCAGCTTTCCCTATGGCAGCGCGCTTCCCACCCCGCCCCTTCCCCACGCCTGCCCCCGCTCTGCTCTGCGGACTGCTGGCTGCTCTCCCCTCCAGTCCTTGCAGTGGGCTGTGCCCTCCTCCCTGCGCTTCCCGCACTGATGGCTCCTTTTGATGCAGAGCCCAGCCTCCGCGTCCCGGCCTAAATTGGGCCCTTTCCCCTGCGCAGCCCGCGCCGGGCCATCCTCCCCGTCCCGCCTGGACGGTGGCGGCGGCGCCTCGCCCTCGTCGCGGGGCACTCACGGGCTGCCTCGCCGTGGCCGCCAGGGGGCGGCTGTGAGCAGCGAGGCGGGCGGGTCCTGCTCTGCCCACAGCCGCTCACCGCTGCCAGGCCCGGGGGGACCCGCAGACCTGCCCTCGCCTTGCGCTGGCTCCCGTGGAGACGCCGCGCACGCGGCCCCCCGCACCTCCTGCCCCCGCCCTGCCGGCGGCTCGGCGCTCGTCCAGCCGGCAAACTGTCCTCTGGCGCCCCCCGCCCCCCTCCCACAGCGGGGGCTTTGACGTCCGCGTTCCCGCGCGTCCGGGGCCGGCGGAGGACGGGAGGCCGCAAGCGCCCGTCAGCCCCGCGGCCTCGGCGGCGGCCGAGCCTCTAGCGCAGCCGCAGGGGGCGCCTCCCCCGATCCCCCCGAGCGCCCCTCTCTCCGCGGAGCCCGCGCCTCCCGGGGCCCCCCCGCCCTGCCCCAGCTCCCGCGCCTCCCCTCGGAACCCGGACCCCGTCCCCGCTTCCGGGGCTCCCCGACCGTCAAGCCCCCGCCCCTCCCCCGCCTTCCTCTGGTCACGCGGCTCCCGCCCCGTCTCCTTTCGGGGACCCTCCCGCCGGCCCGCCCGAGTTCTCAGTCTCGCGAGACTCCCTCTCGGGCCCGCCGCGGCCCCGGCCCCCCCGTTCGCGCCTTCCCGGGGGGTCGCCCGCGCCGGCCGCAGTGTGCCCGGCGCCCGCCCCCTCCGCGCAGGCGCAGGGCGGCCCCGGCGCCTCCCCCCACCCCGCGGACGAGGGGCGGGGAGCGGGCAGGTCCGAGACGGCCGCGGCTCCATGGGGCTCCTGGGGCTCCTGAGCCTGCTGCACTCGGCCTTCTTCGGGGACCAGGTAGGGCTTGGGGATCGGCGCCGGCCCTGGGCGTGGCTGGGGCAGAGGATCCCAGCCGGGGATGGGCGTGCGCCGCGCGCGCGGTGGTCGCGGTGGCTTGGGAGGCACCGGCGCGCGCACGGGGGCTCCCGGGCCTGGGGTGTCGCCACAGGAGTCTGGAGGCCGTTGTTAGGGAGACCTCAGGATGCTGGCAGGGCGGGGAGGCCCTCCCCTCGCTGCAGCGGACTCCCCCTGCACCGGGTCCGCATAATGTGCAGCCGCTGGGGGCCCAGCCGTGGGTCTCGAACCCCTCCACAAAGTGTGAACGCAGAGACGGGCGGGCCGCGGCGCACTGTGCCGAGGCTCCCCCCAGGACAGGCTGGCCGGGGGTCAGGCCACGCCCTGCATTTCTCCACGCCTCAGTTTACCTCCTGGACACCAAGCGTGGGGCGGATTCCGATGCTTGTCTAGTCTGGTGTTCTTGGCAACCTCCATCCCCGGGGCCTGAGCGCTTTGCAGGCCTTCGTGGTCGTCTGAATATTGGAACTGTGACACCTCGTACCTAAGAGCAAACTTAGGTTTGGGGTGCCGCGGGGAGCCCAAGGTCACTCCTGGAGCTGAATCCGAGCCTGAGCGGACCCCGAGCCTGGCTGGAGAGGCCTGAGTGGACGCGGCCTGGAGAGCTGTCCGCGGTGCTGACGGCACCTGGCGCGGGACGGCTCTGAGACGCCCGCCTTCCCCACCCGGGAAGCAGGTTCAGAACCCTGATCTGGTGACCCATCCTGGGTCAGATTTCAGGGGCGACCCCGCCCCACCCCCATCTCCAGTGACTCTCCTTCCTTACCTGTCGGGGCCCTGCCAGTCACAGCCCGCAGTCCACCTCTGTGGGGGAGCCATGACCAGGTGACTTTGTCACCCTCCACTCCCACCCAACTCTGTGGGGGGGCTCTCCTGGCTCTCCTCCGAGCCCCTGGTAAGCAGAGGCTCGATAGAGAAAGGTGGGGCGTCATGGGTGTAGACACCCAAGGTTAAATTCAGAAGGACCAAGGCTGCCACGAGCCAGGTTGCCTGTGCTGGGGCTGGGAGAATCAGGACGGGGGAGGGGGAAGGGGAGACGTGAACCCCGGGGATTCAGCTTTCTCCCTGGAGAATTCAGCGGTGGTTGGGGGCAAGGAGTATGCCAGGGAAGGAACCTGGGTAGCGCCTTCCCCCAGTACTGGGCACCCTGCAGTGGGAGACTTTCTCAGGCCCCTGAGTCTGGGCCTGGGGTATTGGGGGGCAATGGGAGCTCTGAAGCTCCTGTTCTGGAATTCCAATGATGCCTGAGACTGCCTGTGGATCAGGGATTTACAGGGTGAAGGATTTCGGGGGGAGTGGATGTCAGGGACTTGATCTTTCAAGATAAGTACAAAGACGTCTTGCCACGGGGTCTCAGTTCCCATGTGCCCTCAGCCTTCAGATCTCAACCACACCAGAGAGGTGGGGGGACGGGTCACTCCAGGGCCTGGTGGGGCTCCTGTGTGAACCCAGTGTGCTCTCTGACCCGAGCCTCAGTGTCATGGAAGAGGACAGGATGAAGATTGGATTCCCCACGTCCCTTTGGGCACCATGGGTCTGGCCAAGAAGTACCCGGGAACAGCTACGTCTGAGGCTGAGCGGGCCAGGGGAAAGTGCCGTGGGAAGGTGGAGCAGGGATCATCCAAGCAAACTATCTCCCAACGAATCAAATGGGAAACCGAGCCAAGAGAGACTTGTCCAAGGTCACACAAATCCAGAGAGGGCTGAAGCCAGAGCCCTGTGTTCTGTTCTCCCCCCTGCCGCCTTGCCAGGGTCCCCGGCTCCCCTGTGACCTCAGCCCTGCGAGCCCCGCAGAGGGGCGGCCTCTGTCTCAAACCTCCATGGCCCTTTCCGTCCAGCCCGCTCTCTGCTGTGCTCAATGGCCCCACCAGAGCCCCTGCAGGAGGCTGATTTCTTGGGGTCCAGGCTGTGCACATGCTGTGCCCTTGACTTGGATACTGTTCCCTTCCTTGGTCATGTGGCCAACACATGCATCCTGAAGAGGCCCAGCCCCAGATTCCCTTCTCCGTGCAGTCTCCCAGCCTCCAGAAAAAGCTCCTCTGCCCTTTGAACGCCCGCCCTGTGCTCCCAGCCTGGAGGTGGTTGTGGAGCCATAGTGCCCTAGACCCAAGCCATAGGGCAGGCTCGAGTCTTCTCAGAGGCCCCCAGTGTTTCTGGTCCAGGGCGGGTCCCCAAGCCGACTCTGCAAGGACCAACGCCACCTCCCCATTTTACAGAGTGGGAAACCGAGGGTCAGGTGGACTCCGGGGAGCATGGAGGATCTGAGACTGCTGGGGATGTGCACCCACGGGACCCCCCGCCCCGCCACCCTGTTTTCCCTTCTGTGTTGGTGAATTAGGGGTGAGTGAGGGACAAACACAGGGAGAGAAAGGTTGAAAGAGGAAGACCCAGGGGCAAAAGGGCTTGGGAAGGGACACAGTCATGGCAAATGTCCGTGCAGGAGCTGAAGCTCTGCCGGGGAGGAAGGAAGAAATGCAGGGTCCCGAGCGTCCCCCCCGTATGGTCGCCCACCCCCCAACGCCAGGGAGGTGCGGCCTGGTTCCTGTGCCGCGCCCTGCCCTGTCCCACCCACACAAGGCCGGCCGGGATGCCCAGGGAGGGGGCTGGCCTGGCCCCCAGCCCTTCCCGAGCGCTTCCCTCCCCCAACCGGGGCGCTGATGCAACACCCAGCGCTGCTGTTCTGCTCTCGAATTCGGGGCCGCCAGCAGCGCCAGGTTCCAAAGAGGCGATTTTACCCCAGAGTGGCCGTGGGGAACTCGGGGTCCTGGTCGTCGGCCCCCCTCCCTTAGGGGGTTCCCCCCCAGACACCCATCCCCAGAACCCGCGCGAAGGTCCGACGCCCCGAGGCCACAGCCAGGTCCCGCCCCGGGCAGCCATTGGCTGTTGCCATGGCACCAGCTCGTCTTCCCGCGCGCCATTGGCCGCCGCGCGCGCATCCCGCACCCGCCGCCTCCCGCCCGCGGTGGTTGCGCCCAGCGCGGGGAGCGGCCGCGCCGCCCGGTCCGGCCCAGATCCGGCTTTGTCCTCCCCGGAGCCCTCTGCCCGCGCCGCGGGGACCCCGGAATCTCGGAGCCCGCGCCCCGCGGCCGCCCTGGCCCAGGAGGGCCGGGATCTCGGGCGGGGCCCGCGGAGCTGCGCCAAGGGAAGAGGACCCAGGCCCCGCGGCGCCCCCGCCAGCCCAGCCCCCGGGAGCTCAAGTAAGCGGGTGGGTGCGCCCGGGGTAGGAGGCGCGACCCCTGCGGGGGTGTCCGGCCCCTCTCTCTGTCCCGCTCACGGCACACACTGGAGCGTCGGGTGACCCAGGGTGGAGCCTGAGGAGCGTCCTGGGGCGGGGGTGGTCAGCGTCCGCAGCCAGCCCCCTGCACACTCCCATTCGCGGGCGCCGGCACCTGGGCCTCCCAGAGTCTGCAGGCGGGCCTGCTGCCTGCCCGCGGGGCGATGCTGCACCTCTCTGGGCATCCGTTTCTCTCTCACTAAAGTGGAGGTTTGGATTAAAGGAAAGAGGAGTCCTTTGGGCACAACTTGTGCCGCCCTCCCCTGAAATGTAGCCACTCACTGCTCCAGCAGATGAACCCCCAGATACTGGTGCTTTTCCTTCTGTGATGATGATCGCTCAGGGAGGCCCCGTACACAACCTTGGGGTGAGGGGCAGGCAGGAGGACTTCCTGGAGGAAGCTGCCCTGTGAAGGATGGCAGGAGACAGGAAAGTGCTCCAGGCTGAGCTACCTGTGCAAAGGCTCTGGAGATGCTGGTGAGGTGGGATGTGCGTGGAGGAATTAGATCTTAGCTAGAGGGCACTGGGGAGCCATGGCATGTTTAGGAGCAGGGCAGGGAATGGAATCCAGCTTAGTGACTGTCAAAGCCCCTCTGGCTGTGTATGAGGAGTGGATTGTGGGAGGCTGGGAAGAGGCTAGCAGGCGACCATGCCCTGATTAGAGTGGTGTTGAGGCGCCAGGGGAGGGAGGGTTCGGCTGGGCAGAGTTTGAGGGGCTGGTGGGAGTTGAGGATGCCAGGCTGGAATGAGGGGGAGCTTGGTGCTGGGTCTGCTGCCTAATGGGATGCAGGAGTGGCCACTGCATGTGAGGAAGTGCATGTGTTGGAGGCTGGGCCTGGGCCATTTAAGAAGAGCTGGTGGGGAGGGGCATGGCCAGCTCTAGTGGGGGCTCCAGGAGGTGTCTGGTCTGGGTTTGGGTTTGGGGAGTGGTGGGAATTGTGGGGAGGGGCATGTTTCACTTGTGTCCCCCTGGCTGGACATGGCATGGTGGCATCAGTCAGGACAAAAGGCTCCACTCAGACCCCAGGGATGTTGCTATAACCGGGGACTGGACCCCCAGCTGGGGCCCCTGATCAGTACCCAGGTTGGACGCAAGCCTGCAGTCCACAGATGGCCAGCCCCCCCATCTGTCACACTGTCTCCTTTTCTGACCATCCAATCTGCCCTGTGACTTTTGGTTCCCTCTGTCTAGCCTAGAGGATGGGGCTGTCAAACCAACTCCTTCCCACTCCTCAGCACGCGAACCAGGGACACGGAGGGTGTGGGTCTTCGTGCCCCCAGAACTGCCTGGCCCGGGCACCTCTGGGGCAGTGTCTGGGGCAGGTCATGTCTGTGCATCTCCCAATTGACCTCTGGAAGAGTCTGTCCCCCTAGCCTCAGTTTCTCCCTCTAAGAATGGCTTGGTGGTTGTCCCTGACACTCAGACCTGTGACAGGAAGCTCAGAGGACAGGACCAAGCATTTGGTGGGTCCTTTGAGCAGGTTAGGACGGCCTGACCTCGCCCCCCACTGGAGGTGAGCCGCTTGCTACCTCTACTCCAGTGCCCTTTTGGGAAGGTTCCGGGAGGAGGAGAGTGAGTGAGCAGTGAACGAATGAGCGCGGCCAGGAAGGGAGGGGAGTGTCAGATGCCCCTGAACCTGGGGCAGGGGACCGCTGGCTTATTTGGGGAGGAGGCTCAGGCAGGTGGAGGAGGCGGCTCCCAGGAAGGAGGTGGCAGAACGGATAGGCTGCCATTGGCGCTCCTCAGACAAAGACGGAGGGAGGGGTGAGCCCGATGGGAAGGAACAAAGAGCGAAAGGAGGCCTGCCTGACAGCAGTGGGGGGCGGGCCGAGCCATGTGAGGAGGTCCAGGCCAAATGGACAGAGGGGGAGGCTGGGCCCGAGTGGGGAAGGACGCTGACACACAAAGAAGCAGGCAGTGGGGGGGGCGAGCCCGGGGGATGGGGCACTAGGGCCCCCAGGGTCTAAGGGAGGGCTGACCCAGGGGGTGCCAGACTCACAGAGAGCTACTCGGGATTCACCCGATGATGGAGGGGCTGTGGGGGCCACAGGGCATTCAGGTTCTGAGCCTCCAGGGTGAGCTTGGTTCTGCCTGTCCCGCAGGGGTCCACCCTCAGCCTGGCCATCACTTTTTACTGTCCATCGGCTGGACCCGTCAGTGGTCTGTCTCTGGGCAGCTGTGCTTCTTCCAGGGGAGGGCCTTGGCTGTCCAGCTGTCTGTCTCTCGCTGTCTCCAGCTGAGAGTGTCTGTGAGCCTGGTGGTACGGAGCTGGCCGGGTCCTGTGCTGGTTTGGACAATCAGGGTCTCCACCTTCTGTCTGACCGGTCGTCAGTGGGCGCGTCCGGGGGCGCGGCAGTGAGGAGAACGTCTGTCACTTGGGCATTTGACTGTGTGTCTGACACTCGTCCACTGGCCTTTCTGCCTCCCATTGTCCTTGCATACGTCTTTCCCGCCACATGCCACACCACCTGTCCCCCGTGTTCCTGCCCGCCGCCCAGTGGTCAAGGGCCGCCCCTCCCCAGGCTCCGGGTGGTGAGCCCTCTCACCCTTGGCCTCAGGCGCTGCAGGAGCTGAAGATGACGAGCTCTGTGGCTCCCTATGAGCAGCTGGTCCGGCAGGTGGAGGCCTTGAAGGCCGAGAACAGTCACCTGAGGCAGGAGCTGCGGGACAACTCAAGCCACCTGTCTAAGCTGGAGACGGAGACATCTGGCATGAAGGTGGGACCGTGCAGGCCGGACGTGGGCTGGGACCACGTGCACAAACATCGGGGCAAACAAACAACTATGAACCAGAGACACACTATGGGGTGGGGGGCGGAGAAAGGAGGGATTGGGGTCAAAATAAGGGGGTTGCAGTTGTATGGGGAATATAAAAATAAAATTAAAAAAAAAAAACATCGGGGCACTACACCTCATTGATGGGCGTGTGGGCAGGCCTGGGCATGTCAGAGGGAGAGGGGTGAGCCGGGGCAGCCCAGGGCCGTGAACCAGTGCCCACGGCTCTTTTTTGCCCCCACCAGGAGGTCCTGAAGCATTTACAGGGCAAGCTGGAGCAGGAGGCCCGGGTGCTGGTGTCCTCGGGGCAGACTGAGGTGTTGGAGCAACTGAAAGGTGAGGGACCAGCCCGGTCCATTCCCAGCGGAAACTGGAAGGAGGGGCAGGGAGGGGTGCTGACCTTCACCCATTCCCTCCCATCCAGCCCTGCAGATGGACATCACCAGCCTGTACAACCTCAAGTTCCAGCCCCCAGCGCTGGGCCCTGAGCCTGCTGCCCAGACTCCTGAGAAAAGCCCAGTGCATGGCTCCGTGCCTTCCAAGGACGGCTTCGGGGAGCTGAGTCGAGCCACCATCCGGCTGCTGGAGGAACTGGATCGGGAGAGGTGAGACCCAGTAACCCACCAAGACTGGCCTGCCAGCGCGTGCTCCGCCTCCTCATCAGCCCCACCCACCTTGTGTGCCAACCCCACCCCAGCTGTGACCCCTGGGCTCCCTCTCCTGGCCTGGCTGATCTCGCTTAGGGAAGGGGGGATGGTGGGGTTCGCTCCTGGCAGAGGGGAGGGTACCTAGGAGATGCCTCCAGGGGTTCCTAACTTGCAGGCGTCATCAGGGGCTCACTGTCTCCAGTGCCAGGACGGGTCAGGCCGGGAGCCAGAAGGGGCTCAAGGCAGCCTTTATGGAGACAGGGCTGCGGCCCAAGAAGCCTGGGCCTGGAGCCACCAGAGGGAGGGTGGGGCCTGGAGCCCAGCTCAGCTCAGGCAGTGTTGGAGCGGACTAGTTTCGTTCCTGCTCTGCTGTGCGGCCTCACGCAAATCCTGGTCTGCAGACTTCGGCTGTGTCAAATGCGAATAGCACCAGCTGGCTCCCCACAGCGTGTTAAGGGGATTCTGTTGTAGCTGGAGCTATCCGAGCCTGAAACTCATGCTGTGTAGGTCAGAGGGAGGTTAGCAAGTGGTGGAGAGTCCGTGCACCTCAGAGTCTTTCTCCCAGGACCATAATTAACAAAGGAATGACTTTTTCCCAATTAATTTTCTGCACCCCACCCAGTAAATCCCAACTCCTCTCCCCAGCCCTCAAGTACTGGGAGTGCCAGGCAAGACCTTGCTCTTTCTGGATTTTGGGGTTCCTAGATGCTTCTGGGTTCCTTGGTCCTTGACTATGGCTATGAAAGCATTTAAAGCAAGTCCCGAGCCGAAGCAAACGCAACATTTAGAGACAGACGAAAGCACGCCCAGGAGAGGCCGGTCAGAGCCCAGGGAGAGCCGCTGCAGGAAAAGGCAGGGGACTCCTGGCTTAAATGGAGTGCGGGAGGCTGGTCACTAGTCCCTTCCTGGGGTGTACTGTGTAGACGCCCCGGGGTGTTGGTTTATCAACCCAGGGAGCAGTTTCCAAGTCACCCCCCTTTCTGTGCTCCTGGGGTAGTGTTATCAGTGCAGGCAGCAGGTGGGGGGTGTCCGCCTTGCCCCCGGTGTGCCTTCTTGCTCTCCTCAGGCTCTCCCATGTGCAGGCTGGGGGGCACTGCCTTCGCCCCTCTGGGCGTTTCTTGGCTCTCCCCTGGCTGTATCGGCTCTGGCAAGTGTTTCCCGGGGCCCTGGGTAGAGTTGGCCCTTTATTTTTGTTGTAGGCATGGCCTTCCCTGTTCAAACACTGCCACTGCCAGTTACCGTAAGCGCCCGGCCGCGCACACACTCTGGCTGCCCTCTGCGGCCCCGAGCCCACCGCTTGCCCTCCCCCAGGTGCTTCCTGTTGAGTGAGATTGAGAAGGAGGAGAAGGAGAAGCTCTGGTATTACTCGCAGCTGCAGGGCTTGTCCAAGCGCCTGGATGAGCTGCCGCACGTGGAGACGGTGAGCACTTGGGGAGCGCGGGGGTGGGGGGGGTGTCCAGCTGGGGCGCCTCTTACCGCGGCCCCCCCGCCCCTCCCAGCAGTTCTCCATGCAGATGGACCTGATCCGCCAGCAGCTGGAGTTCGAGGCCCAGCACATCCGCTCGCTGATGGAGGAGCGCTTCGGGACCTCGGACGAGATGGTGCAGCGGGCGCAGGTGGGGGGCCCGGGCAGCCTGGCGTCGTCGCCGTGGGAGGGGCTGGGGGTGGCGGGGACTCTTGTGGGCGGGGCGGCACCAGGGGCACAGCCAGAGCTGAAGAGGTTTGTGGGTGCAGCCAGAGGGAGCCCCGAGACGATGTGGCCAGTAGGCGGCCCCGATTTGAACACGAATTTGAACACGCTCTGAGCGTTAACTTCTTCAGGGTGCGGGGCTCGATCGGGGCTTGCGTCTGCAAGGTTGGGGCACCATCTAAATAGGTGGAAGGGCCAAATGACGGTGTAGGGGCGCCGGAGCAGGCGGTGGGGTTTGCGCGCTGGGCGGGGCCGCGCAGTGGGTGAGTCGGGTAACCGGTGGGGTTGGGAGTGGGTGGGCTGAAAGGTGTCAGTCAAGGGTGGGGTTGGGACAGTGAGGGGAGACCTGTATCCGGGAGTGGGGGCGAGCAGGTAGGAGGTCGAGGGCTCCATTTAGTAGATCAGGGTGTAGGTGGCGTCAGAGCGGAGGTGGGGTTTGGACAGAGGGCGGGCCCATTCCGCGGAGGAAGCAGAGGGGGGAGTGGGGGGCAGTGTCATTCCCAGCCAAGCATGGCCCGAGCCAACTTGTCCCTCCTGGACAGATCCGTGCTTCACGCCTGGAGCAGATCGACAAGGAACTGCTGTCGGCGCAGGACCTGGTGCAGCAGACAGAGCCCCAGGTACGAAGAGAGGCAGAGCCAAGGCCCTAGGAGATGGTGATGACCCAAGACGGCCCCAGGGCCCTGCTCAGGTGCAGGAACTGGTTTGCAGCTTCCCCAGGTCCAGGTCACTCTGGGGATATGGCTGGCAACAGCTGCCTGGGCACTTTGTGGGGTCCTCCCCGACGGAACCCCTAGGCCTGCGTTGTCCCTACAGGCCCTACTAGCCGTAAAGCCAATGCGGGTGGATGAAGACCCTGAGACTGAGGTCCCCACGCACCCTGAAGATGGTGCCCCTCAGCCCGGCAACAGCAAGGTGAGGGGAAGGCCAGGTGCTAAGAGGTAGGGTGCTGAGGGTAGGGATGCACAGTGAGTGGGGCCCGCCTCTGCCCGTGCCTCCTTCAGGTGTCCTCAGGTGTGGAGGGCCATCTTAAGAGGGAGTTCAAGACTAATGGGGCCACACTGGGCCAGAGGGGCAGCGATCTCTGTCTTGCATGTTTGGGCGGCAACACCTGGGAGGCCTGGTGAGGCTGATGGTGGGACTTTGACTTTCATGGTTGAGGGCGTCACCTCAGTGACTTACACCCACCATCCATCTCCCCAGGGGTGTGTGTGTGTGACGCCCCCCGGGTGTGGGATAGTAGGGGTGAGCAAGCAATCTCCTAGGCTGGAGTTCTACCATATTTAAGGTGACTCACCAGGAGTTGGGGTCACTGCACCCCTGGCTAGGGAGGGAAGGCAGACTGTCTGGGATCAGTCAGTTGAACAGAGTGCATGTCCTCACCCTGACTCCATCCCCGCCCCTCGCAGGTGGAGGTGGTCTTCTGGCTGCTGTCCATGCTGGCAACACGTGACCAGGAGGACACTGCTCGCACGCTGCTGGCCATGTCCAGCTCCCCTGAGAGCTGCGTGGCCATGCGCCGCTCGGGTTGTCTGCCGCTGCTGCTGCAGATCCTGCATGGCGCGGAGGCGGGGTCTGGGGATTGCAGCGGGAATTCTGGGGCAGCAGGAGCCAAGGATGCACGCATGCGTGCCAACGCGGCTTTGCACAACATCGTCTTCTCGCAGCCAGACCAGGGCCTGGCCCGCAAAGAGATGCGTGTTCTGCATGTGTTGGAGCAAATCCGTGCCTACTGCGAGACCTGCTGGGACTGGCTGCAGGCTCAGGACAGTGGGCCGGAGGGTGGAGGATCAGGCGGTGGTGAGTACAGGGTTTGCAGGACACCCAGTCCGAGGGGGCAGGCAGGGTGGGCAAATTGGTAGTAGTGGCAGTAGTCTCTGGCCTGGACCACGTGCCAGCTGAGACCTCCTGAGGACCTTGTCGTGACAACTGCAGAAAGATAGCCACCAGCAGCTGACGCCTGCTAGTGCCTGGCGCAGGTTCTCAAGGAAGGATAATTGAATTCATGAATGGATGGAGGGTAACCCCGACAACATGGGTGCAAACTTTTAGGTTCCTAAATCTTGCCGCTGATTGCAAAGTGAATGCACGACCAAAGCACGCGTGAAAGGAGGGAGCAGCAGACAGACCTTGTCTTCCTCCGCATGCTGAGTGAGGCACGACCCCCTTACTGTGGGGAGGTTCTGAAAAGGAGGCCCACAGCCACCCCTCATCATGCAGCAGTTTGCAGAATACTGGGGTCCTTGCAGGCCTGCGGGATGGAGAGGGCAGGGTGGGCAGGGACTCGGGGCGTTCCTGGACTGAGAGGGCTCTGCATCTACCCCCGGCCACAGCCCCGGTCCCCATGGAGCCGCAGATCTGCCAGGCCACCTGCGCCGTGATGAAGCTGTCCTTCGACGAGGAGTACCGGCGAGCCATGAATGAGCTGGGTGAGTGCCCCCTACCCCTGGGCTGCACCCCGCCTTGGCCTGAGCCCGCAAGGCCTCATTTAGCCCAGGGCAGGCTCTCAGCCCTACTGGTCCCCTGGGGTTCAAAGGACAGGAGAGTGTGAGAAGCCACGAGCGAAGGTGAACTTCGGACTGAACATGCAGAGCACGGCGTGGTTGGGTGAGGGCTGGCCTCTGAAGCCTAGCTTCCAGAGCCTTCCAGAGCCTCCGTCTCATGTCATTTCATGTGGGAGCAACCAGGACATGGCACCAAAGGCCCCAAACTGCATCAACAGGCTCCATTTTAATAGGATTATTAAGATGTGAAGGACTATTCTTATGAAGCAGATGGCCCAGCACTGACATTTTATTTACTTACATATGCATACAAGAGCTGGGGTGTAGGCCAGAGGTGGGGAGGTGAGAGGATTCACCAGAGAAAGAGCGGGGAGCAGAAAGGTGGATCTACTGAAACACACTGCTGAGGGGAGCAGCGGGGAGCCAGGAGAGGTCTGCTGTGCCATGTGGGTCAGCTCCCTGGGCGGGGGGTTGAACTCAGGCCAAAATGAGGTGGTGGCAGTACTGAGACTTAACTCCTGGCCACCAGGGAGGCCCTGAAAATCTAATTTTCCTAGTGAATAAAGAATTGTGTGACAGTCGTCTGCCAGTAGCTACTGAGCAGGAGGCACCCAGCCCTGCCCTCCGTCAAAATAGGGCACAGCCCACCAGCCCTGCCCTCAGTGCTCAAGATGATTTTGGGGGGGTCCTCTGTTGGGGAGCCGGGGGCTTCCCTGAGAGATTGACTTGAACTAGGAGGAGAGGGACCTGGGTAAAAGGGGGGAGAGTACTCCAGGCCTGAGTACCAGCACGGGCACTAGCCTTGCAGGAGGAGGTCACGGCTGGTGCTGAGGGCTGCCCACATGCAGGTGGCGGGGCAGCCAGAGGAGGTGTCCTCAGGGTTGGGGTTTCACGCTGGACTCGTAGAGAGCAAATCAGGAGGTGGGGTGGAAGGTGGGCATCTAAGTAGGGTAACTGGCTAGGCAGGAGCTCAAGGTGAGGCGGGTGGGGTCATTCGGGGCACCCCGCCTGTCCCTAGCCAGATCATCTCTCCCTGTCCCCACAGGCGGGCTGCAGGCCGTGGCAGAGTTACTGCAGGTCGACTATGAGATGCACAAGATGACCCGAGACCCCCTCAACCTGGCCCTGCGCCGCTATGCCGGCATGACCCTCACCAACCTCACCTTTGGGGACGTTGCCAACAAGGTGCAGGCGGGATCAGCAACCCCCTCAAGCCTGAGCCTCCTCAGGCCTTATCCTAGCCTTGATACAGCCCTGAGAGGTGGGGGCAGTTGTTCCCAATTTACATGTGGGTAGATGGAGGCCAGAGAGACCCTGGGAGGGTAGGGGCTGCAGCCGGACTCTGTTGGCCAGGCCACCATCCTCTTGGCCCCTCTGCCACTGACCCCTGCAGGGAGGGGGCTTCTGAGCTCAGGGAGCCTGGAAGGCAAGATGCTGAGCCTCGGTGTCCTCATCTGAGAGAGGGGGTAACTGCTCTCCCTTCCCCAAGGGTGGCCAGGATGGGAGGCCCAGGGCTCAAGAGCCAACTGCTAGTAGATGCTGGTTCAGATGGGAGGGAGCTGGAAGAAGGGGTCAGTTTCCTTCATGACCCCCTCTCACCCACCAAGGTGTGACTTTCCTCTCTCCCCACAGGCCACACTGTGTGCACGCCGGGGCTGCATGGAGGCCATTGTGGCTCAGCTGTCCTCTGAGAGCGAGGAACTCCACCAGGTACCGGGAGGGGCTGGGTGGCTGCTGCCCCACCAGCCCCTGCCCACAAGTGTGACAGGGGCTTCTTGGGGCTCATGGTAGCCCCACTCCATGCCGGGTGGAGGGTGTGGGGCACCCTGCGCTGGGTCCACTTTGCTCGCTGTGTGCACCTCCCACCCAGGTGGTATCCAGCATCCTGCGTAACCTGTCCTGGCGGGCTGATATCAACAGCAAGAAGGTGCTGCGGAAGGTTGGCAGCATGACCGCCCTGATGCAGTGTGTCCTGCGAGCCTCCAAGGTGGGCACCCAGTGGGGGAGCAGGCCAGGCCTGCCCAGAGAGTGGGAGCCTCCACGGTGGTTGAGCATGAGCCCCAGTCAGGGAGAGATGGGTACAGGTATAAGTTCCGTCTTGAGGGAAAGTGAAACCAAACAACCTACCAGGTAGGTGGGCCAGGCCGGGCCTTCAGGCCCTTAAGGCCAAGATCCTGCACCGCCCAAGTGCCTACTTTCACTTTTCTTTGAACGTGTATTGAGGACCCGCCCCCAGGCCACTGACCCTGCCCTCCCTCCCTCCCTCCTGCCGGTGCCCAGGAGTCCACCTTGAAGAGCGTGCTGAGCGCCCTGTGGAACCTCTCGGCGCACAGCACAGAGAACAAGGCCGCCATCTGCCAGGTGGAGGGGGCACTGGGCTTCCTGGTGAGCACACTCACCTACAAGTGCCAGAGCAACTCGCTGGCCATTATCGAGAGCGGAGGCGGCATCCTGCGCAACGTGTCCAGCCTCATTGCCACTCGCGAGGACTACAGGTCACTTCCCCCGCGGGTCAGACATGGCGGGCAGGGGCCGGGGCGGAGCCGGGGTGGGCCGGACAGCTTTCCCTCCGCTGGCAACTGCGGCCTTGGTTTGTCCTCCTGTGGATGGATACTAAAATATGCCCCAAATATCGTACGGGACAGTTAAGCTAAAATTTAAATTGATTTATTAAAATAAAAATACTATTTGTTAAATATCAATAACATTTGCTTATTAAAATATTTAGTAAATAATAGCAAATGTTATTAATAAGCTTAATACTGATAAATATTAATACTCAATAATAAAAATACATTGTTTTTATTAAAATTAATAAAATATGTATCTTTACTAGGTGATGTCGAATAATGCTTGTGCTCACTTCGGTAGCACATATTCTAAAATTGGGATGATACCCAGAAAATTAGTGTGGCCCCTGCACAAGGATGATGTGAAAATTTGTGAACTGTCCCATATTTTTATACCTTAAATAGTGAAAAAAAAAAAATTGCTGGGCCTCCCTGGCCACACAAGGGGTTAAGTCTCAGCGCTATTAAGCTATCACCAGCCACTGCAGTATGAGTTCGATCCCTGGCCAGGGAGCTACCCAGATGGCACAGCAGACCTCTCCTGGCTCCCCGCTGCTCCCCTCAGCAGTGTATTTCAGTGGATCTGCCTGTTCTGCTCCCCGCTCTGTCTCTGGTGAATCCTCTCATCCCCTGCATCTCTGGCCTGTACCCCAGCTCTTGTATGAATAAATAAATAAGATAAATCTTAAAAAAAAACATATAGGGCCTCCCTGGTGGCACAGGGGTTAAAGACAGTGCTATCACAAGCTATTGCCAGCCATTGCAGCATGAGTTCGATCCCCAGCTGGCCAGGGAGCAACCCACATGGCGCAGCAGACCTCTCCTGTCTCGCCCGCTGCTCCCCTCAGCAGTGTGTTTCAGTAGATCCACCTGTTGTGCGGTGCTTAACCTCTTGTGCCACCAGGGAGGCCCTGCATAGTATTTTAAAAAAGCAAGTTATCTTCAGTATATCTCTAAAACTATGGTACACTTGTGCTCAAATGAGATACTAGAAGTACACTTTATTTTAAAAGATGAATATTATTAATTTAGTGTATTCTTCAAAAAGTATCTTGTTTATTTTAATAGATATTTTAGCACAAGTATATCTTATGCAATAACTGGGATATACTTACACTAAAGATTTATTCCTTGTTCTGAAATTCAAGCTCACGCAGTCACTTCTATTTTTATTTGCCAAATCCGATCCCCTCCGGGGAGGAGGAAGGGCAGGTCTGGGTGGCCGGTGGGCGGCCTGGCTGAGGTGCCCCTCCTTCCCACAGGCAGGTGCTGCGGGACCATAACTGCCTGCAGACACTGCTGCAGCATCTGACCTCGCACAGCCTGACCATCGTGAGTAACGCCTGCGGCACACTCTGGAACCTGTCGGCGCGCAGCGCTCACGACCAGGAGCTGCTGTGGGACCTGGGCGCAGTGGGCATGCTGCGCAACCTGGTGCACTCCAAGCACAAGATGATCGCCATGGGTAGTGCGGCCGCCCTCCGGAACCTGCTGGCCCACCGGCCAGCCAAGTACCAGGCAGCCACCACCGCCATCTCCCCTGGCGCCTGCGCCCCCAGCCTGTATGTGCGGAAGCAGCGGGCGCTAGAGGCCGAGCTGGATGCGCGGCACCTGGCACAGGCTCTCAACCACCTGGAGAAGCAGGATCTGCCCGAGACCAAGGCTGAGAGCGCTTCCAAGAAGCCGCTGCCGCCCCTGCGCCACCTGGACGGGCTCGTCCAGGACTACGCCTCGGACTCGGGCTGCTTTGATGACGACGACGCCCCGTCTCTGGCCGCTGCCGCCGCCGAACCTGCCAGCCCCGCTGTGCTGCCCCTCTTCTTGGGCAGCCCCTTCCTGCAGGGGCAGGCGCTAGCCCGCGCCCCGCCTGGCTGCTGCGGTGGCGTCCCAGAGGCAGAGAAGGAGGCCGGTGGGGAGACCGCCGTGGCGGCTAGGGCCAAGGCCAAGCTGGCGCTGGCCGTGGCAAGGATTGACCGGCTGGTGGAGGACATCTCGGCTCTGCACACCTCCTCAGACGACAGCTTCAGCCTCAGTTCCGGGGACCCCGGGCAGGAGGCCCCAAGGGAGGGCCGCGCTCAGTCCTGCTCTCCTTGCCGGGGGCCCAAGGGTGGGCGGCGGGAGGGCGGCAGCCGAGCTCACCCCCTGCTTCGGCTCAAGGCGGCCCACGTGAGCCTCTCCAACGACAGCCTCAACAGCGGCAGCGGCAGCGACGGGCACTGTGCCCGAGAGCACGCGCGGCCCTGCCCACTGGCTGTGCTCGCCGAGCGCCGCGAGGGGCCGCCCTGCGGCCAGGCACGGCCCAGTCGGCTTGACCTGAACCCACTGGGCAACCAGGCAGAGCGGGCAGCCCGGGACGCTGCTCTTGTGGACGCCCGAGTGCGCACCATCAAGCTGTCGCCCACCTACCAGCACGTGCCGCTGCTGGAGGGTGTGGCCAGGGCGAGCTCAGGGCTCCTGAACGCCGGGGCCGGGAAGCAGGCCTGGCAGCCAGGGGAGGACCTGGGCAAGGTGCCAGAGAAGCGGGTGGTGGAGGCTGCGCCGCTGTGCCTGTCCCGCTGCAGCTCCCTGTCCTCTCTCTCCTCGGCCAGCCGCCCGGGGCCCAGCGAGGCGGGGGACCTGGACAGTGATTCGTCCCTGGAGGGGCTAGAGGAGGTAGGCCCCAGCGAGGTGGAGCTGGATGGGGGCTGGAGTGGGCAGGGGCCCGCCTCCCTGCCCATGGCCATCCCGGTTCCCAGGCGCGGTCGTGGCCTCGGGGTGGAGGACGCCACCCCATCGAGCTCCTCAGAGAACTGTGTGCAGGAGACGCCGCTGGTGCTGAGCCGCTGTAGCTCAGTGAGCTCACTGGGCAGCTTCGAGAGTCCGTCCATTGCCAGCTCCATCCCCAGTGACCCCTGCAGCGGGCTGGGCAGCGGCACAGTCAGCCCCAGCGAGCTGCCGGACAGCCCCGGGCAGACCATGCCGCCCAGTCGCAGCAAGACACCGCCGCTGGCCCCCGTGGCCCCCGGGGAGCGCGAGACCACCCAGTTCAGCCTGCAGTGGGAGAGCTACGTGAAGCGCTTCCTGGACATCGCCGACTGCCGAGAGCGGTGCCGGCTGCCCTCCGAGCTGGACGCCGGCAGCGTGCGCTTCACGGTGGAGAAGCCTGACGAGAACTTCTCCTGCGCCTCCAGCCTCAGCGCGCTGGCCCTGCACGAGCACTACGTGCAGAAGGACGTGGAGCTGCGGCTGCTGCCCCCAGGCTGCCCCGAGCGAGGCGGCGGAGGCCCTGGCCCGGGCCTGCACTTCGCGGGGCACCACCGGCGGGACGAAGCCTGCGGTCGCCTGGAGGGGCCGCCAGCCACGGACCAGGAGCTGGAGCTGCTGCGGGAGAGCCTGGGCGTGGCGGTGCCAGCCCAGCTGCGCAAGGTGGCCTCGGCCCTGGTGCCCGGCCGCCGCGCGCGCCCCGTGCCGGTCTACATGCTGCTGCCCGCGCCCACGCGGGAGGAGGACTCGGGCACCGACTCGGCCGAGGGCACGCCCGTCAACCTCTCCAGTGCCGCCTCGCTCAGCGACGAGACTCTGCAGGGAGCCCCCCGGGAGGCGCCCGGCCGGCGTGCGGACAGGAAGAAGCCAGCCCTGCGCTCGGCCGGCGCCAGGCAGGCTTCGGGGTACCGGCACAAAGCCGGGGGCCTGGGCCGGAGCTCGGAGCAGAACCGGGGGGCAGGCAGAAGGCGGGCGGGGCTGGAGCTCCCCCTGCGCCGGCCCCCGAGCGCCTGCACGGACCCCCGAGCGGGCCAGGGGGCCGGGGAGCGGGGGCTGCAGTCGCTCTGCCTCACCACGCCCACCGAGGAGGCCGTGTACTGCTTCTGCGACAACGACTCCGAGGAGGAGCCCGCCGCCCCGGCGCCGCCCCCCCGGCGGGCCCCCGCCGCCCTCCCGGCGGCGCCGAGGGAGCGCGCGGCCGCGGGGAAGGAGGCGCAGGCGGCGCCGGGGGCCAAGGCGCCCGCGCGGGCCCAACCCAGCCTCATCGCGGACGAGACCCCGCCCTGCTACTCCCTCAGCTCCTCCGCCAGCTCCCTGAGCGAGCCCGAGCCCGGCGGCGGGCCCCGCGCGCCTCGGCCGGCCGGCGCCCAGGGCCCGGCCCCGGGAGACCAGGGCGCCGGCTCCCCGGGCTCCCCCGGCCCCCGCGCGGAGGCCGAGCGCCCGCGCCGCTGCGCGGGCTCGTCCCTGCCCCGGCGCCGGCCGCTGGCGTCGGGCCCACGACGGCTCAAGGCCCGCGCGGCCCGGCCGGACGCCTGGCCCGCGGAGGCGCCCCCGGAGCGCGCGGAGGACGCGGCCGGCTCCGACCAGGCCTCGGACCTGGACAGCGTGGACTGGCGCGCCATCCAGGAGGGCGCCAACTCCATCGTCACGTGGCTGCATCAGGCGGCGGCCGTGGCCACCCCCGAGGCCTCCTCTGAGTCCGACTCCATCCTGTCCTTCGCCTCGGGGCTCTCCGTGGGCTCCACCCCGAAACCCTCCCCGCACCGCAGCGCGCGCGGGCCGCGGGGGGAAGCCCTGGCGGGCTTGGCGCAGCCAGAGAGAAGGGGCGCGGCCCCGGCCCCGCGCCGCGGCGGCCCTCGCTCGGCGCGTGTCCCCGAGAAGGCCTGTGGCGCCCCGAGGGCCGCGCCCGGGGCGCCGGCCGTGCTCCGGGGCCGCACTGTGATCTACGTGCCCAGCCCCGCCGCCCGCACCCAGCCCGGAGACGGCCCCGGCGCCCGCGGCGCGCCCAGGAAGGCGGGGCCCCCGAGTCCCAGGCAGCCAGCGCCGGCCGCCAAGGCCGCGGGCCCCGCGCAGCAGCGGTCTCGGAGCCTGCACCGGCCCGGCAAGATCTCGGAGCTGGCGGCCCTGAGCCCGCCGCAGAGGAGCACCACGCCGCCCGCCCGCCTGGCCAAGACCCCGTCCTCCAGCTCCTCCCAGACCTCCCCGGCCTCGCAGCCCCTGCCCAGGCGGTCGGCCCCGGCCGCCCAGGCTCCGGGGCCCCTGCCTGGCCCCCGGGACTCACCGGTGCCCAAAACCCCCGCGCGGGCGCTGCTGGCCAAGCAGCACAAGACGCAGAAGTCGCCCGTGCGGATCCCCTTCATGCAGAGGCCGGCCCGGAGGGCGCCGCCGCCCCCGGCCCGGGCGGCTGTGAAGCCGAGCCTCGCGGGCCGGGCCGGGGTCGAGGGGAGCCCGGGCGCCCGGGGGGCCCGCCTGGGCCTGGTGCGTGTGGCCTCCGCGCGCTCCAGCGGCAGCGAGTCCTCCGGCCACTCGGGCTTCCGGCGCCAGCTGACCTTCATCAAGGAGTCCCCGGACCCGCCGCGGCGCCTCCGCTCGGAAGTGCCCGCCGGCGAGCGCGCGGCCCCCGCGCCCCCGGGCCCCTCGCCCCGCCGCGGCCGGCCCGCGCTGCCCGCCGTCTTCCTCTGCTCCTCGCGCTGCGATGAGCTCCGCGCGGCGCCCCGGCCGGCCCCCGCCCCGCAGCGGCCCCCCACCGCCTGGGCCCGCGCCGGCGAGAGGCAGCCCCGGCGCACCAGCTCCGAGAGCCCGTCCCGCCTGCCCGTCCGCGCGCGGGGCGCCCAGCCCGAGGCGGTCAAGCGCTACGCCTCGCTGCCGCACATCAGCGTGGGCCTCAGGCCCGACGGCGGCGCCCCCGGCCCGGCGGACGCCGCCCGCCGCTGCAGCGACGGGGAGGCGCGGCCGCTGCCCCGCGTGGCCTCGCCGGGCACCACGTGGCGGCGCATCCGGGACGAGGACGTGCCTCACATCCTGCGGAGCACGCTGCCCGCCACGGCCCTGCCGCTGAGGGGCGCCGCGCCCGAAGAGGGCCCAGGGGCCGCCCTGCAGCGCAAGACCAGCGACGCAGTGGTCCAGACAGAGGACTTCGCCGCCTCTAAGACCAACTCCAGCACGTCCCCGAGCCTGGAGAGCAGGGGGCCCCCCCTGGCCCCGGCCAGCGGCCCTACCTCCCTTCTTGGCAGCGACGTGGATGGGCCCAGCCTAGCCAAGGCGCCCACCTCTGTCCCCTTCGCCCACGAGGGCCTGGGGGTGGCTGTGGGGGGCTTCCCCACCAGTCGGCATGGCTCTCCCAGCCGCTCGGCCCGCGTCCCACCTTTCAACTACGTGCCCAGCCCCATGGTGGTCGCCACCCCTGATCCAGGTGTGGAGAAAGCCCCCGCCCCTGCCAGCCTCCTGGAATAGCAGCTGCCCTGGCACAGCTATAGCCTCTCACAGGCCACCCGGCCGCCGGAGAGTGGGCCCAGGGCCTGCCGCCCCCCAGCCCCTGCTCTGGGAGCCCCACCGCAGCTGGCACTGGCCTCACATCTCACTCGTAGACGCTTGCTTCTGTGCTGGGGGCTGTGGGAGGAGACGGGGCTCCAGCCTGAGCCTCCAGTCCTGGCTAGGGAGCATGAAGGAGGGCGCCTGGTTGCAGCCTTGCAGGCTCAGGGCCACCCTCCGGGTCAGGGCTGCCCCCAGCAGCGAGAGCCAGGCCTCAGGCATGACCCTTCTCTCCATTTCAGAGTTGCAGGGAGGTGATTGCACCTGCTACAGGGGAAGACAGTCTAGACAGGGTGGCACAGCCTGCCGCCAGCTGGGGCCATGGCACGCACTGGCACAGGGACAATGTCTGTAATTACCAAGGCAGGGTAATTGGTTAATAATGACTTTACCAGTTTGTTTGTCTTCTCAGCCCCAGCTGGGGGGTGCAGGGGGAGGGGCGTGACTAAGCCCCGCAGAAAGACAGCCCTGCCCCCAGTGACATTTAGGGCGCCTAAGGCACCCTTGGCTAGTGGACAGAGGGAGGAGGCTGGAGCGATACCAAGGCTCCTCCCTCTCTCTTGGAAAGAACCAGAAGAGGTAGGCTCGTGGATGGGAGGGCCTTGCTGCTCATGTGGGCCACCCCCACATTCCCAGCTGGCGAGACCCTGGGATCAGGTCCAGAGATGGTGGGCATGGTGCAGGGGGAGATCATGTCTTGGAAGTGACCCTCTAGGGACCCCTGAGGGTCTAGGGCACAGGCGAGGCAGACTCCATGGGGAAAGGCACTTGAGGGCTATCCTGGCACGCGGGCTCCATGCCACGCACCTCCTTTCCTGGACAGCACTGCTGTGGGGGCAGACGAGGCTGCTGGCCCTTGGAGGAAGTGCTGGGCCCGAGGGACAAAGCATCATCAGCTGGACGTGCTGAGGCAGATGCCAGCTGGGGAGGAACCGTGCCAGAGGGGGCCACAGTGAGCCCAGGAAGCTGCTCCAAAGGGCGCCTGTCTCCCCTGCATCTTGTCCCTACTTCAGGGACCCTGGGGTGAGCCTGGTCAGCCTCTGCGCGGGGTGTGCCTTCCTCAGCAGAGCCAAGGGCCTCCCTTCCTGTCGAATCCTGGCTCTGGAAGGATCTGCCTTCCCAGCTGTGCTGCAGGGCTGGGTATGGGTGCTCCTCGCGATCACAGACTGCGAATCCCCGCCCTGGGAGGAGGAGAGGTGGGTTGAGAGTTGGGTGAAGCTGTCCTCGGGCTCTCCCCTGCCACGGGCCCCTGCGGGCCAGAGATCACCCAGGGCGGGAAGTGTCTCCTCTGGCAGGACCATTCTTGACCAACGGACACTGTGGGCCCCACTGGTCTGATCTACCCCCAGACACACGCTGCTGCTTCTCAAACATGTATCGCCTTGCACCCCACTCCCCGAGACACCCCGACTAGCACACAGAAGTGTGCAGAGAGGAGCTGGCGTGCTCAACACTCCTGCGAGCACAGCTGCAACCAGTGGCTGAGGAGCTCCCGGGTGACTGGACAGGGCCTTGCCAGTGGACACAGCACGAGGATCTAAGACGCATCTCAGAACCCCCACTGCCCCCACGTCCCATCTGTAGCTTGAAGGCCGGGAACAGGCGGTCTCCCGAGCTCCTCTTCAGATCTGGGGGCTGCCGGACGCCGACTGACTCAGGACAGCCATGGGCCAGCCACATCTGGAAGTGATGGGGGTGGGGAGCAGAGACCCGGCCCCGCACAGTCAAGGGGTTCAGAGTGGAGGGGCCACCATGTACTGGGAGACCCTGGGCAGTGCTCTTGCCACTTTGTGCCTCAGTTTCCACGTGTGGGCTATGGGGGGAAGCCCCAGAGCTACCTCTCAGGCAGGCAGAGCAGCCCCGTGACCGGGGGAGAGGCTGGATGGGGGTGCCCCTCCAATTGCCTCTTATCTGCAGAGACAGTTGGGAGCCCGCACCACATCCCACGTCCAGCGGCCACCGTTGCCTTCTCCATCCCCCTGACGCCTCGGCCACAGCACACCTCATCATCCAGCCTGGAGGAGGGCGGAGGGGTGGGGGGGGACCTTGGGGCCCCGGGAAGAAAAGCTGTTTCCCCGAGGAGATCAGCTGTCACTGAACAATCAACTTGAAGGCGAAGCAAGAGCGCTCAAGTTTATGGACTCACAAGACTTGCCCCTGGAAGCCCAGTCTCCTCAGGACGACCAGTCTCCTTGGCCACCCCGAGGGGACACAGGCCGCCGGAGCCACTGAGACACCATCTGCCTCTGAGTGCTCTAGGGGCCAGCTGAGGACATGCCTGGCACCCCAAACCATTGGCCTTAGCCCAGGGGTAGATGGACACCACCATCAGCTGGGTGCTGAATTCAGGGCGACGTGCCCTCCGCGCAGGTTTACCTCGCCCCTACCTACCCCCGTTTGTCCCATCGGTGGCTACAGCAGCCCACAGCTCAGCCTGGTCATCTCGGTCTCCCTCCACTCCCGCACCTTCGGGTGTCTGCAGCGTTACAGGACGTGTGTAAATAGCCACCCCATGACTCATCAAGCCGTCTGTTGGCAGAAGGAAGCGTGGACCCGACGTGTCACGTGCACCTTTAATAAATGGGGCTATCGAACTGCTGCCCACTGTGCCTGCGGCGCCACCTCCAAGTGGTCAAGGCTGGGCTGGGGTGGACAGGAAAGGGCTTCTCGTGCCCCCCACCTGGGCCCGGGTCAAGCAGGGACGCACCGAGTAGCTGCCAGGACGGGCAGTGGCAGAGGGTGAAACTGGGTAAGGGCACGGGGTACCCAGGGGGGACCCACAATGGGCCGGGCCCCTGGGTCACTTCTCGCTGGCCGATGGCTTCCCTGGGATGTTTTTAGGCCCTTTTCAAGAGCCTCACCTGCCCCACTCCACTCAAGAGAGAATGGGGCGAGGCCTGCCAGGACAAGGGCAGTCGGGCTTGGGGCAGTGACTGATCAGTCTTTTCTCTCAATCAAGTCAGACACAGCGTGGGGCTGACGGAACCCAGACTGGAGGCCTGGAGGAGAGCCCAGGCCTCAGGTCAGGGAGTTCGATGCCCGAGGGCAGCACCCACCTGAGTGCCCACATCAGCTCCGGCGTGCTGAGTGACCACTCCTCGTAGGGCCATGGGGGTGAGGGTGGGGAGTGGGGGAAAGAACCCCATCATGTTCCAGAACTGCCGTGGCTGCAGTTCAAAGACGTATGGGGCCGGCAGGGCGGGTTGTGTCAGCTGAAGGGGGCAACACAGCCAAACAGGTGGCGAGAGGCAGGGTCCTGGGTTCTGGGGGCCTTGCACAGAGTCCAGTCTGCACTCGAATGTGATCAGGTCCTGGAGAGAAATCCTGGGGGCGAGCAGCACCCCCGCAGAGGCAGGCGGGGTCATCTTGGTCATAGCCCACATTTCCCTGCTGCCACCTTGCAGGCGGGCTCTGGCCCTGGGTCTCCAGGTACCAGGTGAGTCCAAGCCGTGGAACAAACAGCCTGCAGCCTGCTTCTGGGTCCAGGGGCCCCTGCGTGGGGTGGGCCAGGTCAGGAGTCATGGGGAGGCACAGATCCTACCGTGTGTTCAGGCGCGCAGCTGGCCAGATCAGCCTGAGGTGGCCTCTGCGCCTGGCAGCGCCACCTGCTTCACCTGGCTGATGGCGCGCTCCAGCTCCTCGCCGGCTTCCCGCAGGTTCTTGCACTTCTGCTTCAACCTGTCACCTGCCTGCTGCAGCTGCTGGTTGATGGCCACGTAGGTCCGGCTCTGCTGGTAGAACTGTTCCTCCTGGGCCCCGGCGTCCTCAGCCTGCCAGGAGGGGCCTGCGATGTCTGGGACAGGACATGGCAACGTCACTGACCACCGGTAGGGGCGGGGAGGACTCAGTTTATCCCCCCAGCAAAGGATGTGAGTGAGGGAGCAGGTCGCAGAACAGGCCTGACGTGGGCTGGGCATGGCCCTGCCAGGATGATTGGGACGAAGGGCACCGGCAATCACCCCAAATGGAATGACAGAATAGGATGGTCCTTGTCCCCCCTCCAGGTTGGAGATGTAAACTTCCGCCTCCAGAAACCAATCCCAGGCTGTCGGGGAAGCGCCTCCTTCTCGCCTTTGCCTGTCCCCACCCTCAAAATGCCAGTGGATCTACCGAAATGCACTGCTGAGGGGAGCAGCGGGTGACACAGGAGAGGTCTACATGGGTCAGCTCCCTGGCCAGGGAGCAAACTCAGGCTGCAGCAGTGAAGTGCTGAGACCCAAGCCTGAGGCTACCAGGGAGGCCCCACAAGACTTGTTTAATGCATGGCCCCGACGCCTGGCATTTTTGTCCTTTTTGTTTGCTTCTGCCCTTCTACCCTCCTGGCTTAGAACACACCCGGTGCAAGCTGGCTGAAGGCTTGCTGCCCAGTGGTCTGCTTCCTCCAAACAAGGGATGAACTAAGTGGACAAAGTCCAGAGAGTAAATATTTCTGGTTTTGCAAAGCCTGTGTGTCCAGCCTACTTAATCATGCCAGTACACCCCGAAGCAGTCAAGACCGGGGTAAAGGGTGTGGCTGGTTCCCAATACAACTTCACCCAAGGACACGGGAATCTGAATTTCACTTCTCACAAAATACCCGCTTCCCAAATTTGAAAAACATCAAACTGACTTAGTTCTCTGGCCTTACAAAACCAGGCAGAAGGCTGAGGACCCCAGTGTGCCAACTTCTGTTCTCAGAAGTTCCTCTGAAGTGGCGCCTCGCTTTACAGAGAAAGTGGGGGCTCAGGGAGTATCAGGATCGTACCGAGTGCCCTGAATTTCACAAGTCCTGCTAACCCGGCTGGGGGGTGCAGGAGGTGGGGATGTGCTTCCTCTGCCCCTTGGCCGGGGCCCTGGGGCCGCCGCTCCCCTGCTCCCCATACCTTCCGAGCCCAGGGCGGTGAAGACAGGGTCGCTGGCGGGCGCCCCCCGCACGTCCTCCAGGATCTGCTCCACCGTGGGGGGCGCCGGCCGGGTGGGCAGCACCACACGCTTCTTGGTTTTGGAGCCCATCACTGGAGGCAGAAGGGCGCGCTGACTGGGGCCTCCGCGTCTCAGCCTTGGGGTTCAGCCCGAGGAACCCCCACACATCGGCCAGCGCCCGCCTCCGGGGAAGCCCCCGCCCCGACCTCGCCGCGCCGCAGCACACCCGGGCCCGCAGCCTCCGGCGAGAGCAGCCGCGGGCGCCAGCCGGCCTCGCCGCCGAGCCCGGACGCCCCGGTCGCCCCCCCGCGCCGCCGAGCAGCCGCTTCCGCTTCCGCTTCCGGCCCGGCGGGCCCCGCCCGGCGCGCGCCGCTCGCGTCCTGCCGCCCGCGCTCCCGCCGCGCCCGGTCCCGCGCCGCGTCGTCGGGGGCGCGCCGGCGGGGGGGGCTCCGGCCGGGCCCGGACGCTCCGCGGCGCGGGGCGCGGCAGCCCCGGGGGTGCGCGCGCGGGCTTGCGTTATGGGGCGGCCGCCGCCCGGCTTTCTGCAAGAGGGGGACGGGCCCCCGGCCCGCGCGGCTGTCTCAGGGACGAAGTTTCTGACCGCGCCAGGGCGCGCGCACCCACCCCGCCACCCCCGCCACCCCCCCATCCCCGCCACCCCCCCACCCTCGCCACCCCCACCCCCCGCCACCCCCCCATCACCGCCACCCCCCCACCCTCGCCACCCCCCCACTCCCCGCCACCCCCCATCACCGCCACCCCCTACCCCCCGCCACCCCCCGCCACCCCCGCCACCCCCCGCCACCCCCCGCCACCCCCGCTGAGCGAAGGCAGGGGCCCGGGGCGCAGGGGGCCAGTCAGCACCGCGCCTGCCGGAACCCAGTCGAGTCTTTCGGGATCTCTGAAGCCCCTCCCCGCGGCCGGGGGCAAGGGACCGTCCTCTCCCTGTGCCCGTGCCCCCGCCCCCGCCAGGATGGCCAGGCTCGGCTCCGAGCAGAGGGAGGATCTCTTGGCTTTTATTTTTTATTTTTTTAAAGATTTATTTATTTATGCATACAAGAGCTGGGGTACAGGCCAGAGGTGGGGTGTGTGGGGGTGAGAGGACTCACCAGAGACAGAGTGGGGAGCAGAACAGGCGGATCCACTGAAACCCACTGCTGCGGGGAGCTGCGGGGAGACAGGAGAGGTCTGCCGCGCCCTGTGGGTAGCTCCCTGGCCGGGGATGGAACTCGCGCAGCAGCGGCTGCGGACAGCTTCATGGTGCTGCGCTTAACCCCTTGCGCTGCCAGGGAGGCCCAGGATCTCTTGGTTTTTAACAGCTTTATGGAGTGTAACTTAGAGGCGTGGCGTCCACCTGTTTAAAGTGTGTAGTTCAGTGGCTTGGGCATGCATGTGTCTGCAGGACATTTCCTCACTCCAAACACCGCTCTGCTGCCATGAGCCGTGACCCCCCATTCCCGTTTCCCCAGCCAGAGACACCCTTGACCCGGAGGCCTCTGCGCCCTGCCTGTGCTGAACGTTCCACATGGGCGGAATCGCGCTCGCTCTTCGTGTCTGACTTGCTCCCCAAGGCCCGGTCTCACCGCATGTGCCAGAGCTTCGGTCCTTCAGGGCTGACCGACGCCCCAGCGTGTGGACGGACACGCATGTATCGCTTCCCCGAGCAGGCGGAGGTGTGCCGCCGGACACGCGTGTGCAGCTTCTGTGGGATGCACGCTTGCAGCCCTTCCGGCGCTGGCCTCAGAGGGGAGCTGCCGGGTCAGCTGGTAGCGCCGTGTTCAGTCATCTCTGGCTGCCCATTTCCTGACCTGCCTGCCCCGGGCTGCTGGGTGCTGACCGCTCACTGCCCAGGGAGAAACCACCTCTTCGGAGTCCTGAGTGTAGTGGGCCGGGGCTGGACGTAGTGCCGTTGCACAGGGGAGGCCGCCAGGCTCTGAGCGGGGCTAGCAGCTCGTGGACACACAGCCTGGGCCTGCGGGGGCGTGCCTGGCCTCAGGCTCACTCTCAAGCTAGGGCTGAGCCGGGTGGGCTACCGGGTAGATGGTCCGGGGGTGGTTTAGAAGGTTGAGGGCAGCTTAGAAGTTCCTGCTTCAGGTGGGCGCAGCTGGATGTGCATTTAGCTTCCCCCGGGGGTCTGGGCCAGGTCCCGCGTCTGTCTCTGTTTCCCAGTCCTGTGGAGTCACCTCCCCCCACCCCCTCCCCTCGGCTTCCCAGTGACCCGCAGGGAAATGGGAATAGATGGAACCACTTTCTGGCTGGTTGGGCAAGAGCAACTCGCCCAACAGGAGGGGAGAAGGCACGTGGAAAGCTTGGGAGGACCCTGCAGGGCCAGCAGCATGGTCTGTGCCAGGCCATGGCGGTGGCAGGGGGAGGTGGTCACGGTTATAATGGACTGTGCGGGGCTCTTGGAAGTGGCAGGTCCTGAGCAGGAGCCCTGAGACCCATCCAGCATGTAGGATGGGGGGCGAGCGGAGCAGTTGAGTGGGGAGCTGCCGCAGCAGGTGTAGCAAGAAGAGTGGCAGCTGGCACATACCCGTAGGGCATATGGGGATACTCAGGCCCCACCACCCCCCACCCCACACCGATGTCTGGGATTCCTGGGTCCATGTTGACCCCTTTTCCTTTGTGGGCTGCTAGGTCCTTAGGCAGCTGATGCCCTGGGGTAGGCAGATTCCAAACAGGGCACAGAGGAAGCCCCAAGCTGGTGCCACAGGGCTGGGCACCTGCCCCAAAGGAGCCCACAGACGTGTACCTCCTATTCAACCTTTATTTGCAAATGCCGAGCTTGGGTATTGTGCCTGAGACTGGATGGTGTTGTCTTCACTCCCTCCACCTTTCCCCAGATTTGGGGCAGAGAGGGATGGTGGTCAAGGCCTCACCTCTACCCCTGCCCCCCTCCCCAAACCCCCAAACCGTGTAAATAGACTTCTCTTTTTTTCATCAGAACCTGCCAAGTCCAGCTTGCAGGACTCCCCCAGGGCCACTCCTGGCCTGAGGGCCTTGGTGGTCGGCAAGGACCTTACGGAGGTAGGTTCTTCACCCCTCAGCCCCCACCCCGGGCACCTGCGAGGTGCACACTCACTTTCCTAACCAGACATCTCTGGGTTCCAGCCCACGCTGGGCCTGGGGGGATCCCCAGCACTAGGAAGGCCCCGCATGGAGGTAGGCAGCCTGCAGAGAAGAGACAGCCTCAGCGGAGGGAGCTCCAGAAGGGCAGGGCCAGCAGGGCCAGCAGCATGGTCTGTGCCAGGCCATGGTGGTGGCAGAGGGAGGTGGTCGCGGTTATAATGGACTGTGCGGGGCTCTTGGAGGTGGCAGGTCCTGAGCAGGAGCCCTGAAACCCATCCAGCATGTAGGACGGGGGGCGAGCGGTGCAGTTGAGCGGGGAGCTGCCGCAGCAGGTGTCGCAAGAAGAGTGCCAGCTGGCACACACCTGTAGGGCGGAGGCAGCGGGGCACCTAGGCACAGTGCTCATGGCCTGCCGGTTTCTGAAGCGCCGCGGCGGGCAGTAGAAGAGGCAGAGGTGGCCCAGGATGTAGGCTGGGCTGTGGCATTCTGTACGGGGGACATGGACACAGAGGTTTCAGATGGTGGCCACTGCCCTGGTCCACCCTCCCACCCCAGGGCGCACACGCACACTGCCCACTGGTGTCACCTCCCATCAAGTGGGCCATGCCGCGCCGGGCACTCACCCTGGCACAGCCCCTCTGTGTCCCGCTGCACACACGCGCTGCTGGTCACCTGGGGGCCCTTGGGCCGCGCTGTCATGTCCTCAGCCGTCCCGTAGAGCAGCAGCGTGTAGCGGTACAGTGTCCCTGGGCAGGGGTCGCGGTGGGCACAGGGAGGACGGGGAGAGGCTGTTGGTGGCCTGTTCCTGCCATTCTGGTGTCCCTCTCCCCAGTGGCCCCCACCCTACCCTGGCCACCCACGCCCCAGTGGCGCCCTTGCCATTGAACTCCCACAGCCTGCTGATAACTGAACATGCTATTCTTCCTGGTGGCAACACACCTACTGTGTGCTGGGAAGTGAACGCCTACTGTGTGCTGGTGTCTGGAACCTAGTTCTCCCTGGCGAGCAGCATACCCACTGTGCCCTGGCAATGACACCTGCTGTGCTCAGTCTCCCCAAGGAGACCAGGGGCGCCCCTGTGAAGTGGAGTGTGAGGCCCGCTCCAGAACCTGTGGAGAGGCCGGGGGTTGAGTCCCCAGCCAGTGCCCGGCGCTCACCCGTGTTGAAATAGTAGCCCTTGTTTTCCAGGCCCAGGGTCCACGTGCCCCGCGGGTCCTCATCCCAGAAGTGGGTGGACATGAAGATCCAGTTGTTGTAGCCTTGGCCGCTGACATCGAAGGGCCTGGGGTGGGGGGGGGGGGGGGGAGGAGAGGGGCTTCAAAACCACAGCTGGGAAGGTCCACGCCGAGAAGGGAGTGTCTGGTGTGACGCCCCACGGGGCAGGGGCGGGGTCCAGCTGGGCGCCTCTCTGTGACGCAGCCCCTTCCCCACGCCACGGTCCCCGCGCGCACCTGACGGCCACGAGCGTGGAGCGGGTGCCCATGGGGCTGGTGAGGGAGATCTCCAGGTCCCCCCGGCGGCTGTAGGCCAGGGACAGCTGCACCTGCACGTGCTCCAGGGAGCGGATGTGGTTGGGGCGGCCGGCGCAGGCGGACACGTTCCTCTTCACGCGCATCACGGGGAGGATGGGTCTGGAGGTGGCATGTGGGGTGAGGGTGCTTCTTGCCAGCCAGCAGGCATGAGCAGCCAGAGGTGGGGTCTGCGCCGAGCATGGGGCCAACCCTCTTGTTTTACAGAGGGGGAACCTGAGGCCTCGGGGCTGCCTCCCACGTTTACCCCGAAGGCAGATGGGGTGGAGGGAGGTGAGAGGCGGGGGTCTGGGCGGTGGAGGCCTGCGGATCCCGGAAGGGTGGGGGTGACAGGTGCGGGGGCCGGGAGAAGGGACAGGTGGGGGATGCTGGGCCGGCAGAAGCCCCGGAGGCGCTCACCTGGGGGTGTGCAGGACCCGGAGGGTGCACTTCTGCTGGGGCAGTGTGGGCAGCCATTCCCGCGCTGTGCTCACCAGCAGCGCCGCGTCCAGCAGCCCGTAGCCGTAGTGGTGGCTCACTGCAGGGGGGCTTCGTTACCGCCCTGTGCGTGTGGTGCCCCCATCGACCCAGTCCCCACTCACCTTGGCGCCCCACGCCGTTGATCGCCCAGTCCTCGGCCTGGAGCTGCGCCGGCCTGGATGCCCGGACAACCAGGTGCTGCATGTCCCTCCACGTCAGCAAGGGGCTGGGGGCGGCAGGTGGGTGAGCGGGGGCCCTAGGGGGGTGGGGCAGGAGGCAGGGCCCCCACAGTCACCTACTTGGCCTGCAGAGCCAGGGCAATCATGCCTGCAGCCAGAGGGGCTGACGCCGAGGTGCCCGTATGTTTGTCTGTGCACTGGTGGTGCAGGTCCGTGGTGACCTGGGGGCAGAGAGGGGACGGAGGGCCTGGCACGTGAAAGCCTGGCACTTGGGCAGAAATCCACGGACTAGGTTTACAAGCTGTCAGGAAGTTGGGGCCTTCCTGGTGGTGCAGGGGTTCAGTCTCGGTGCTATCAAGCTATTGCCAACCACTGCGGCCTGAGTTCCATCTGGTACAGCGAGGCCTGGGCCAGGGAGCTACCCACATGGCGCGGCAGACCTCTCCTGTCTCCCCACTGCTCCCCTCAGCAGTGGATTTCAGTGTATCCGCCTGTTCTGCTCCCCACTCTGTCTCTGGTGAATCCTCTCCCCCCGCCTCAGGGCTACACCCCGCCCCGGCTCTTGGATGCATGCATAAATAAAAATAAATATTTAAAAAACTACATATCAGGAGGCCCCTCTGATGCAGGGCTCTGAGCAGAGCCGGGGGGCAAGATAGGGGCGTCATGGGCAGTGCTCAGAGCTTGAGAGGAGAGGGCTCCAGCGGCCAAAGGCAGCCCGGGAGGAGGGAAGGTGGGGGGCAAGAGGGAAGGTGGGGGACCGGGAGTTTCGGTGGGGCAGGCGTGCTGCTGGGGCTGGGCTGGGCGAGGGGGCGCGCCAGGTCAGAGGCCCTTGAGTTAGGGTTGGGTGGCTGCAGCGGTCAGGTCAGGAGACGCGGGGCCCGGTGGTGTGGGGTGCGCCTCCGCTTACGATCTGGGGGTCGGTGACGACGCCGCTGCTGTAGGTGGTGGTGAGCGTGGAGGCGCAGGCCTCGCTGTACCAGGGCACGCGGCCCCGCCGGGTGGTGCTGCCCACGGACAGCGTGTGGACGCTGTTGGTGTAGCCGTCGCAGTTGCAGTTGTCGTAGTGCAGCCCGCCGTTGCCCGACGCCCAGACGAACAGCGTGCCCCGTCCTCCGCGGCCCTGGAGACGGGCAGGCGTGGGTGCGCGGCACGCGGGCGTGGTCCACCTGTCCGCCAGCCTGCGGCGCGGCTCACCTTGGTCACGCCGCGCCGGAAGGCCTCTCGGGTGAGGATGCCCGGGCCGTCCACCGTGCGCCCGTCGTCCTCGGGGCCCCAGCTGGCGCTGTAGATGTGGATGTGCTGGGGCTGCAGGCTCAGCGACTGGGCCTCAATGACGTCGGTGATGGTGCCGTCCAGCATGCGCACACCTGCGCGGCAGCCATCCTAGGCCACGGCCCGCCCGCCGACCCCGCTCTGGGCTCCCCGGGCCTAGGCCATCCCTCCCCACGCTGGGCCCCCGCCCTGATGGGAAGGCTCGGGCACCCCGCTCTCCTTCCCGGCCTGTCAGCTTCCTCTGCTCCCCTCAGCATTCCCTGCCACCCCCCGCCACCCGGGGTGCCAAGAGCAGCAGGAAGGAGCCTGGGGCTGAGAACAGTGCCCCTGGGGGACCCTGGGTACCTCCAATTCGGGCATTGTAGGCAACACCTGCACCACAGAACCCATTGTTCGCTATCGCTGCCACCTCCCCGGCACAGCGGGTCCCGTGCCTGGCGCGGGGCAGACAGGATGAGCCATCACAGCCCCCGTTCCCAGCGCCCCGGGACTACCCCCCTGCCAAGTGGGACCCTGGGCTCACCGGTTCTCGTCGCTGGGCGTGTAGCGGGGCTGGGGGTCCGGGTCATAGTCATTGAAGTCGTAGCTGGCCAGGGGGTCCTGAGGACAGGGTGGGGATGAGAGGGGCTGGAGCCAGCGTGGGCCCTGGCACCCCACGCCGGCGCCCGCAAGCTCACGTAGTTGGCCCAGAGGTCCGGGTGATCTTTCTCGATGCCATCATCCAGGATGGAGACCACGATGCCCTGACCCGTCAGCCCCTGGCTCCAAACCTGCAGGATGTTCAGGTCTGGCTGCGCCTCGCTGTTCTGTGAGGGGCAGGGCCGGGGTCAGCGGGCTCCACCTTGCTGCCTGGCCCACCCCGGCCCAGACCACTCACCATGTACCACTGCTTGGAAAACCAGGGGTCCGTGGGCACCACCAAGGAGCGCTTCACCCGCCGCCGCAGTGTCTGCTGCTCGAACCACTGCACCTGCAGGGGGCATGCTGTGGGAGGGCGCAGGACCCCACGCTCCCCGCCTGCTGGCCTGCAGGGCCCCTGCAGCCAGCCAGCCCCTGCCAGCCCTCCTGCGCTCACCCTTCCGCTTTGGACAGCCTGCCCCCCTGGCCAGGGGGACCGTCCCTCTGAGCCTGCCCCACCCTTTCCCTGTCAGAGGGCCCCAGTCCACTTCCAGGGTCTGCACCGCCTCTTCCCAGTCACCCCGCCGAGGGGCAAGTGTGCGGGAATGAGGCTGGAGGGAGCGGATGTGTGTGGGGACTGTGCAGTGCTTGCCCCGGGCCCTGGTGACGTGGGCTGGGATGGGGAGGGAGGTCGGAGAGTTATCTAGGGTTGTGGGGTCCCCAACTCTGCCCCTTTTTCTATACTTATTCTGAGCCTTCTGCCCATGGGGGCACTTCACTTTCCACTCCCCGGGGCAGGGCGCCCCGCATGTGCACACCAGCCTCCTCCTGGCGTCCAGCTGACCCACTGCCTCTGCTGCCCACCCATTCTGCCGAGATCTCTCCAGGGTCCTCTCCAGGGCCCCTCGCCCCCCACAGCCCCTCCCCTGCAGCACTGTGGTGGTCTCCCCTCAGGCCTTACACCAGCCCTCTGCCTCCCTTAGGCAGCTTCTCAGACCTTTGCTCTTCCTCTTCCTTGTCAATCTCCTACTCCCTCCCATGTTAGCAATCCGAGTGTCTTCTGCCCTGAGCCCTACTTTTGGGAGCTGGCCCTGATTTCTCTTTCTCCCACACATTTAATCCATCAACAAGTCATGGTCTCTCTCCTGCAGGCCCGATCTGATCTGAATCCAACAACATCTGTCACCAATGCTCACAGCAGGTTTCCAGCTGTGCCGCCTCTGCCTCCCTGCCCATCAGTGATCCCCTCCCCCCACCATCCATCTCCTGTTGTGGCTCCCAGGGGCTTGCCAGACTCTGCCCGAGCTCCTAGGCTTGACACCTCGGGCCTTTCCCCAATCTGGTCCAGTCACCTGAGTGTCTAGAGACTGGAATATTGTCCCAGCTCAGCCAGGGCTTCACCAGTGACACAAGCAAGGGTCCCACTCTTTGCTACATTTCTTCTTCCATGAGAGGGGTCACTTCCCTTCCATCCATCCCAGGAGCTAGAGGATGGGGAGGAATATTATCTGCCCCTTGACTTGGGTACCCAGGCACCTCAATCTTTCAGGGTGAGCTGGAGGAGGGAATGGGGAAACAACAAGAAATGCAATGGCGTGCCAGGCCCTGAGGAGACCGGTGGCTCTTCATTGATCTCCCCATCTGGGTCCCTATTATATAGGACGGGGGCCAAGTTTAAACTGAGATAGAGACCAGATAACTTGCTGAATGTCACACAACCATTCATAACAATCACAAGGATAACAGGAGGTGCTGAGGCCCCTTGGAGGCAGCCTCCAGGCCAGGCTCACCTTGGGGTCTTTCTTCAGGCGCAGGCAGTGGCCCCAGTGCGGGGTCAGGGACCGCTGGACCACCCCCCGGTGCCGAAGATGGAAGTACTGGCTGTCAGGGAAGATCTGGGAAAGTGGGCGGGAAGGGGGGGAGCTACGTTGCTGGGACCTGGCTGCCCTGATGGAGGCCGGCACAGAGAGGGCTCCCCCCTTGCTTACATCCACCCCTAACCAGGTGCCCAGATGGGGACTCCAGGAACCCTCAGGGGGTCCCCAGAACCTAAAGTTGGCTGAGGCAGAGCTGGGCTGTGTATTCTTGATATTTAGGGGACCTGGGAGGACCCTTCTGTCTGTCCCAGTCTGGGGTCCTCCAGCCCCCCACCCCTTCCGGTCCGCCTGGGTCTGCCCACCTGCCCCAGGTTGACGTAGCCGAATTTGCGCGCCAGGCGCTCGGCCTCCTGGTAACCCTGGGACACCCGCACGGCCCAGCTGCTGACATAGATGGGGGCCCGTGCCGAGGCCCACCCCACAGCCGGGGGGCCAAGGAGGGCCAAGCCCAGGGCCAAGGTCAGGTGCAGCCAGAGCTCAGTCTGGGGGGGCCGCATGGAGGCGGGGGCGGGGCCTGGGCGGGGCCACAGAAAGCCCCTCCCCCCGTCCAAACCGCCGAGTGGGCCCAGGCGCCAGCCCCGCCCCCGGCGCCATAGCAACCCCTGAAAGGTTTCAACTCCCAGGGGTCCTTGCGGCTTTCCCCCCACGCCCGCCCCTTGAGGGGCGCCAAGATCCAACAGTGGATGAGGGGAGCACACCCTGCCTCCTTGATGTTCCGTAGACCCAAACTCTCTGGGCCCTCAGTCTCCCATTTGCGCAATGACCCAAATCTGATCATAGGGTCGGGTTCACTGGTTTTATAATTGGCCCCACAACTTGACTTGGCCCCGCCCAATTCCTACACACCCCTCCCCCTAGAATTAACCCTGCCTCTTCTCGGTCCAACCAGAATTGGTCTTTCTAGTAAGTCCCGCCTCCTCAATTTAGCCCCGCCTTATCCCCGCCCTTCAGGTTTCGCTCCGCCTCCTTTGTGATAAGCCCCGCCCCTCCTCTGTTCTCGCCTCGGAACCCTTCCTGTTCCTCCAATCAGCGCTGACCAGTCTCCGGCCCGTCCCACCGACTCCTCCCTCTCTGCACGCTTCTCTCCGCCCCCAGCCCCACCCCCGTAACGGCTCAGCCAATAATCCCCGACCGTGGCCCCGCCCCTCCAATCAGCTACGTCCTGCTCCCGCTAAGCCAATAAACATCCGCGGCTTCCGTGCCCCGCCCCCTGCCCCCCCCGTGGCGGCTCCCGCTGCCGCGGCCCGCCAGAGGGCCATGCGGCGGGGGAGACGGGGCAGGCCCCACCTCCTTTGTCCGCCCTGCCCTCCCATTGGCCGGAGCGCCGGCCCCGGAGCCGAGGCCGGCCCGGGGGTTGAACCGGGCGGCTCGCGGCCAAGGAAGGCGGTGCGCGCGCGGCGGGGCCGGTGCGCCGGGCCGCGGTCCAGTCCCGGCTCCCAGTCTAAGACCCGTCGGGGCCATGGACGGTCTGTGCCGGCGCTGCGAGCAGCTTCTGGAACAGAAGAACGTGGTCACCGAGGCGCTCAGAGCGCTCGAAGCCAAGATCGGTGTCGACAAGCGGTTCCTGGCCGCGGGTGAGCCCCGCGGGCGCGCCTCCCTGTACAGACGGCCCGGCCGCAGACCTGCCTCCCGCCCGGCCGGCCGCGGCGGAGACCCGGCGGCGTGGACGGCCGGGCACGCCCACGGGCCGCGCGGAGACCGGGCTTCGGGGGAGGGTCGTGGGCCGCGACGTCGGGCTGCAGCAGCCCCGCCTTGGCCCCCGCGGTGGGACCTCCGGCCAGGGCCCGCCCGTGGCCGGCTCCTGCACACCGCCCGCGCCAGCTCGGGCCGGAGGCCGCACTGAGCCTCCAGGCGCTGGGCGCCCTCCAGGCCGAAGTCCGGTTAGACCAGTTGCTCTGCGGGCCTGGGGGAAGAGGCGGGCAGCCGCCGCCTGGGAACTGGCCAGCCCCCTTGCTGCTTGGACCCTGGCGCGGAAGCAAGTGTGGAGATCGTCCTGTCTCCCCGAGGGCGAGGGCGGCTGGGGTCGGCAGAGGAAGGGTCATCGCGCCTCTCCGCCCCCCATTGTGAACCCTCGAAACTCCCCTCGGCTTGCCCTCCCCACCCCACCAATGACACCCTCATAGTTGTGGAGGTGGAGATGGGCTGCTTGACAGTGGCGATGGAGCTGGAGAAAGGCTGGGTGGGGCTCCTCTGAGAGGGGGACCCCAGCCACCCCGGATTGTAACTTCTATTTCAGCCCCCTTCCCTTCTGGGTAACCTCCGGTGGCCCCTGCCCCTCTCAAAATTGTGCAGTGAGCCCCTCTTAAACGCCTCCCAGGCCCCTCCGAGGCCCACCTGCTCTGCAGTCTCAGCAGGACGCCCCCCTGGAGTGAATCATGGAGACACGAGGTCTGGAGGCCAGGGGACGCTGGTTTGAGAGCAATACCCGTGTTTTGAGGACCTCCTGTGTGCAGATCCCGGAGCCCACTTTCCTCCCTCCTCCCGTTTTTGTGCCAGCTGGGGGATTCCCATGCCAAGCCTGTCACGGAAGGTCCAAATCTGTCCCCTGCACCCCCGGCCCCCCGGCCCGAGTCCCAGAAACCAACCCACGTTGACTCAGCCAGAGACCTGCCCCGGGAGCAGGCCCTTGACCTCCCACCTGACTTTCCACATCCCTGGTGCCAGCAGGCGGGAGATGTAGGTCATAGAGTACTGGGGAGGCCTGCTGGGAGTGGCCTTCGGGGAGGCTAGGGGTCGCAGGGAAGAAACTGAGGGCCAGAGGGGCTGGCGCTGAGTGCGAGGCCGCCCCGCTGTCTGACCTGTCTGGGGCATGCAGCCCTGCCCACTCCCCGGGTCACCTCTGCTGCCGATCGCGGGGGCTCCTCCCCCCATGCCCACGGAAATCCTTCTGTTGCTGAGGCTGCAGAAAAAGGGATTGAGGAGAGAGCCGCTGCTCCCTAACTAGTGATTCCCAGAGAAGGGGGGACAGCCCCCCACCCCCTTGTCCAGATGTGGGGATCCTTGGGCCATGCCTTCCCCAAAAGGTCAAATTACCTCCCCCCCTAGAGGTCGGTAGTCCAGAGGAAGTCCAGAGGGAGCAATGACTAGCCCTGGGGCCAGCAGGAGCGTCCCCTCACCTCCATCCCTAGAGGATAAAGACCAGCAGGTGGAGGGGAGGGCGGGGTGCCCTGCCCTTTGGTCTGGAGTGGCCTCCGTCTCTCTCTGCAGATAAGCGCTCAAGGGAGGCAGTTAGAGGCTGTAGCTGCTTACTCTGTTTCTGCATCTGAGAGAGAGAGCGGGGCTCAGGGCCGGCACCAGGCAGCCCTCCATAAACACGTTGTCTCTGTCTTCGGAGGGGCTGATGGTCAGGCTCCTTCCCCCGTCCTTGGAACCCTTGCCGGGAGGCTTGTAGCTCACAAACCAGAGGTGCCCACCGAGTGATGGGCAGGAGGACTCCTCTGTCGTAGCCAGCCCTAGGGACCCCCGGAGGCAGGGCTGTCCCGACCCCATTTACATGTGGGGAAACTGAGGCTCCAAGCAGACTTAGTGCCGCATGGTGAGTGGGTGGGAGAGCAGGGGCTTCGCTGGGTATGGGGGGGCTCTGGACACTGCAGTGCTGCCTCCCATTAAGACATGGTGTTTCACTTGAGCCCACTTGAGCCCCCCAGAGCCCCCCAGAGGACATTTTACGACTGGGGTGCTCCTGGCATCTAGTGGGTAGAGCCAGAGAGGCTGCCCCAACCCCTTGCAGGGGCCAGGACAGGCTGCTGTAGAGAACGGCCGCCCCACGCAGCAGTTAAAGACGTGGGGTCCTCGCTGTGCGCACTCGGGTGTCCACCCCGGTCCCGCTTTTAGAGTTTTCTCCCATTACTTCCATCCACACGCCGCCTCTCCCGCCGCGCCCGCCTACTGTGGGGCCTATAATTACAATCACTTACTCATTCGGCAAATGTTTATCGCGCAGCCACACTGAACCCACCGCGGCTGGGATCTCACCTGCTTTTGGGGAGCTCACAGCCCCCGGGGAGATGGGCGTGTAAGCCGATGACAGACACAGGACACAGGGTTCAGGGCCCGGGTGCGGGGCGCCTGGGCTCTCTGGGGCAACCAAAGTATCCAGGAGGGTTGCCCGGCCTCTGGGAGCCGGGATGGTGGCAGAGTGTGCGGGACCCCCACCCACACCCCTGTTTCCTGCAGGAGCCGTCACTCTGGTAAGCCTGTATCTTCTGTTCGGCTACGGGGCGTCTCTGCTGTGCAATGTCATCGGCTTTGTATACCCCGCATATGCTTCGTGAGTGCCCGCTGGGGGGGGGCGGGGCGGGGCGGGGGCGCCAGGAGCCGGGGCGCCCTGACCGCGCTCCTCCCGCCAGAATCAAAGCCATCGAGAGCCCCGACAAAGAGGACGACACTGTGTGGCTCACCTACTGGGTGGTGTACGGCCTGTTCGGCCTGGCCGAGTTCTTCAGCGATCTACTCCTGTCCTGGTTCCCTTTCTACTACGCGGGCAAGGTGGGTGCGCCCAGGGCGCGCGCGGGGGAGGCTCGGAGCCCCTGGATGCGAGGGGGAGATTCGGCCCCTCCTCTGTGGGAACTGGCCTCGCTAGGGGAGAGGTGTCTGCTGGGGGGGGCCACGCTTGACCCCCCCTTGTGCCCGCAGTGCGCCTTCCTGTTGTTCTGCATGATCCCCGGGCAGTGGAACGGGGCCCACGTGCTGTACCAGCGCGTCGTCCGGCCGCTCTTCCTAAAGCATCACGGGGCGGTGGACAGCGTCGCGAGCGAGCTCTGCGGGCAAGCGCTGGATCTGGCGGCCGGAGTAACCAGGGACGGTGTGTGCCCCCGGGCGTGGGCGGTCTGTCCATCCCCGTCTGTCTGCCTGCCTGCCAGCACACCCCTGCCTGTTCACCTGCTCCCTGTCGCCTCCTCCTGCCTCTGACTGGCCTTCGCCTGGTGTCCTGACTGCCCGTCCTGCACTCCTGCCCCTCTCACTGTCCACTCTCTTTCCCACGCTCTCGGGGACCAGTCCTGCAAACCCTGGCCGGCAGCCGGGCTCTTGTCACCCCAGCAGCCGCGGTGGTGGGCGCCCAGCTGCCCTTGGAGCCAACCGACCATACGTAGTTCCACCCCTGGGAGGTAGGGACTCTGTGTGTATGCGTGCATGTCGCGTGTGTGACGGTTGTTGCACACGTGTGGGTGTATGTGTGCACGCGCTATGCATGCCTGAGTGTGTATGTGTTTGCATGCATCCAGATGCGTGCTTCTGTGCACACACTTGATGCACATGCATGGATAGGTGTGTACACATGTAGACATGGGTGCATGACTCTGCCCCTGCCAAGGATGACCAGTAGACCCGTGGGCTGGCCCTGCTGACCCCCAGCAGCCTCCACTCTGCTCTTCAGCAGCTGAAGGCCTCAGTCCCAACTGACTGTCCCTCTGTCTCTTCTCTGCAGCCAAAACAAGCACGACCCAGCTCCAGAAGGACAAGTGAAGGCACTGCCCAACTCCAGCGCCAACCTGCAAACTGGCAAGGACACCTCACGCCCCAAACCCTCCACAGAGTCCTCTACGGAGTCCCCAGCAGAGCCCACCACCAGCCCCTTGTCCCCGGGCAAGTCGGGCCCCAAGAGCTCCTCCCAGACCGACTCCTTGGGCCAGTCCCAGTCTAGCTCCCCATCCTCTGGCACTGCCAGCAGCTACCAGCTGCCCGGCAAGTCCCAGGGTGGGTCTCGGCCGAGGGGCGGCTCTGTCAGCCAGCCGCAGACCTCCAGCCAGCCGCAGACCTCCAGCCAGCCGCAGACCTCCAGCCAGCCGCAGACCCCCAGCCAGCCACAGACCCCCAGCCAGCAGCTCTCTGGGCCCTCCTCGACATTCATGGACCCCGCCCAGCCCACCCCCAAGTCTGCAGGCTCTGTGCAGCATCCCAGACCCAACTCCAGCCAGGAACCTGCCTCCATGCCACCCCCCAACAGTTCCACCTCCATGAAGCCCTCCAGCAACACCTCCAACAAGTCAGGGGCCAAGGCCCCCAGAACTCCTGAGGCTCCCAAGACCAAGTCTGGCACGAAGCCCCGCAAGCAGTCCCCCAGCCGGGCTCTCAGCAGCTCCTCGGTGCCCAAGCTGCCCGTGTCCTGCCAATCCGAGTCCTCTGTGGAGTACACGTCAGAGTCCACCACGGAGGTCACCTGCAGCTGGCCCCACCACAGACATGGACTCCACTACCTGCAGCAGTGCTGGCGCCTCAAACACCTGGCCTGCTAGGGGGGACTCAATAAAGCTCATTGGATGAACCCCGCGTCCCCGTCTGTCCTGGGTCCTTCTGGGTGGGTGTGTGGGGGTGACAGCGGCTTTCATCAGGATTTGGTCCCATGTTACAGATGAGGAAACTGAGGCCAGGGAGGTCAACGCACCTGCCTGAGGGCTCCCCCCATGGCTAAGGAGGCCTGGAGCCAGGCCTGCGCTGGCCTCATCCCCTGTGCTTCCTCGCCGCAGCCCTCTCCTTGCGAAACTCCCAGAAAATAGAGAGTGGACTCGGCACCTCCTGCTCGGGTTGTCCCAGAAGCGGACGAGAGACAAGAATTCCTGTCCAGGGAGCTCCAGCAGGAGCGCGCAGTGGAAGGGAAGGGGGCCCGGGGTGAGTGGCATTTGGGGGGGCTCTGGCTGCAGGTGGAAGGCGCACCCAGCTGCTCGGGAGTGGGGCTTATCCACCACCCCGTTGGTCAATGGGGAGCAGTGACCACTCAGCCCGGGCAGCGTGGGCGGCGGACACTCAGGACACTGGGGGGGGGCTGGCAGCCTGCACTTGGTTTCCTTTCTGAGGCACCGTGACTGATCATGGCCAGGCGGGCACAGGACAAGTGGAGGCGAGGGGCCTGTTCCGTGGGTACGGATGCCAAAGAGTCAGAGCAAAACCGAACAGCCCCGCGGTGCAGACAACACAGAGCTTCCCGGGCTAACGCTGGGTCCCCGGAAGCAGAGCTGGAGCCGGGAAGGGGGAGAGAAAGCAGCCAGCTGAGGGCCGGGCCCCGGGCTCCAGACTGCCCTGAACCGCTGCCGGTCATTGGCATCAGCCTGCCCGAGGGAGGAAGTCGGAGCTCTAGGTAGCCTCGCGCCAGGCAGCTCCACGCAGCGAGGCTTTTAAAGTAATAGCTGGGGGGCCACAGTGTCCCCCCCAGGATGTCCCTCTGCCAGGCACTGCTGCTCCAGGATTTGACACACATCTGGTGTTGACGGCGCTAGCAGGACAGAGCCCAACCCTGATGCGCGGAGGCCCCGAGGCAGTAGCCAGAGGGTCTCCGTTGCCGCGGGGGTGGGGAGGGGGTTAGATTTTTGTCTCAAGGATATTTTGAGATATCTGGTATTATAAACATTCTGCGTCCTTCAGAGGGACATGAAGGATGTCAAAGGGAGCAACGGAGGAAGGATACGGGCTTGGGTTAGGGGCTGCAATGTCAGGGAAGGTCAGAGAAAGTCTTTTTTTTAAGGATTTTTTTTTTTAAGATTTATTTATTTATGCATACAAGAGCTGGGGTACAGGCCAGAGATGCAGAGGGGTGAGAGGATTCACCAGAGACAGAGCGGGGAACAGAACAGGCAGATGGACTGAAATACACTGCTGAGGGGAGCAGTGGGTGAGGCAGGAGAGGTCTGCTGCGCCATCTGGGTTGCTCCCTGGCCGGGGATTGAACTCATGCTGCATAGGCTGCGGATTGCTTCATAGTGTGGTGCTTAACCCCTTGCACCACCAGGGAGGCCTTTAAGGATTTATTTTTATTTATTTATGCATACAAGAACTGGGGTGCAGGCCAGAGGTGCGGGGGTGAGAAGACTCACCAGAGACAGTGGGGAGCAGAACAGGTGGATCCACTAAACACACTGCCGAGGGGAGAAGCGAGGAGACAGGAGAGGTCTGCTGCACCCTGTGGGTCAGCTCCCTGGCCGGAGATCAAACTCGTGCTGTGGTGGTTGGTGATAGCTTGATCGTGCTGAGACTTTAACCCCGGAACCACCAGGAAGCATCCCCCACCCCACCCCCCAAGTCTCTCTTAAGAAACTATTTGTAAAGACAGGAAAGAGGGTGTGAGTCTTCTGAACTGCAGGGGCAGAACTGATCCAAGCAGAGGAAAGAGCCACCTGCAAAGGCCCTGAGGCAGACAAAGTCTAGCGGGTTAGCCAAGAGCTGACGTGGCTGGACCCGAGGGAGCGGAGGTGAACCTGAGGAGTGGAGCAGGTACAAGGAGATGAAGCAAGAACTTCGGCTTTTACTCAGGCTGCAGGGCTTGGGAGGGGGAGGATCGAGGGTAATCATTAATGAACTCCGCACCCTGCTGAGGACACACGACTCCAACATGGAGGCAGAGATCCGGAATCTGCTTATGGAGGCCCAACCCAGCTGCTGGAAGAAATTCGTGTAGCCGTGGTCCAGAGGAGGGGATGGGGGTGTCGGGCTCATTTTGTTTCTGGGATCACCCCTCGCTAGCACGGGTGTTAGTCCACCGCTGCAGGGATGAGTGCTGCTGGGCCACAACTTATTTACCCCATTCTACTCTTGACGGGCATTGGAGCTATTCTAGACCTCTGGTGGGCGGAGCTCTTGTTTCTTTTGTGTACATGCCTGTCAAGAGTCACAGGTAACAGGTGAGCATGGAAATCCTCTGGGGCAGCCAGAAGAAATGACCCCAAACTGGCAGCTTCAGACAATGTAAATTTGTTCTCTCACATTCTGGAGGTCAGACGACACCTGAGATCAAGGTGTCTCAGGGCTCTGTTCCCTCCAGAGGCTCCAGGGGAGGGTCCTTCTGCCTCTTCCAGCTTCTGGGGGTTCCAGGCATCCCTTTAATCTTCCCTTTTTAAAAAAAAAGATTTATTTACTTATGCATACAAGAGCTGGGGTGAAGGCCAGAGATGCAGAGATCTCTGGGGTGGCGGGGGCTTAGGGGATTCACCAGAGACAGTGGGGAGCAGAACAGGCGGATCTACTGAAATCCACTGCTGAGGGAGCAGCAGGCGAGTCAGGAGAGGTCTGCTGCGCCATGTGGGTGGCTCCCTGCCCAGGGATGGAACTCATGCTGCAGTGACTGCAGATAGCTTCATAGTGCTGAGACTTAACCCCTTGCGCCACCAGGGCGGCCCCTGCATCCCTTTAATCTTTGTCTCCATTTTCTCTCTGCATCTTTGCTTTCCTCTGCATGTGTCTTACTGTTGCCATGGCAACAACGGCTCTACCCTCCTAAGTAATTCAGCACCCCCAAGAGTAACTTTTTCACGAGGACAATAAAACAATTATAGAGATTAATTATAAAATACAACATGTTTTCTAGAAATTCTCAAGACTTGCTCTAGGGAAAGAGATAATAATCAGACTCACTGCTTGACAGAATTTCTAACAGATGCCTTTTCTTCCCAGAACATCTCAGGAAATCACCAAGCCTATATTTGCTTAAGAAAAAAACCAAAACAAAACAAAACAGGAACCAGGACCCAGAGTTGCAAAACTGAAGACCCTTTCCTGGAAGAATAGTTTAAGAGGAACAGCGGCGAGAGGCCTCTGAGCCATTGGGTGGCGCTCACAGCCACTGATGGTGTTAGGTGGGGCTTGTCAATCTCCACCTCTTGGGTGGGGCTGATGGTGAAAAGGGGCTCAGATGAAGATGGGGGGCCTGGGGGATCCATTCGAATTGAAAAATATTGTTATGTTGATCCCCTTGGAGCCCCAGGGAATTCACTGGGTGGGGGGGGAACCATTTGCTAAAGACCTTGGTGAAACTGCCAAGAAACCATCTGCACTGGGCTCCTGTGCTGTCCAGTGCCCGCCTTCAGATGAGAAGGTCCTTTAGGAGGGGCTTTGCCTAACCCTTCTGCAACTGTCTTTTGTCTTTTTTTTCTTTTTAAGATCTATTTATTTATGCATACAAGAACTGGGGTGCAGGTCAGAGGTGCAGGGGAGGGAGGGTGAAAGGACTCACCAGAGACAGCGTGGGGAGCAGAACAGGTGGATCCTCTGAAATCCACTGCTGAGGGGAGCAGCGGGTTAGACAGGAGAGGTCTGCTGCGCCATGTGGGTAGCTCCCTGGCTGGGGATCGAACTCGTGCTGCAGAGGCTGCAGATAATGCTGAGACATAATCCTTGTGCGGCCAGCGAGGTCCTGCAGTTGTCTTTTGAAGACCATTTCAAGCTTCAGTTTGGAATACTTTACAGGACAGAGGGCAGGGATGTAGGATCAAACTATGTAAAACATATTCAAGAAGTTTTAGCTGTAACTACACAAAATTTAAATATCTTTTTCTTCCAGGTTTTTTTTTTTTTCTTTTCAGGATATCCCAGACTTAACATCCTGGTGAGCACTGGAAATCCTGAGATGATGAATAAGGCTAAGAGTCTTTCTTGGTGATTGCTCTAACTAAGCTATTTTTCTCCTTCCAAAGTCTAAGGCATATAGGATGGCAGCTGAACCCACATGCCCTCTGCTGTCATCACTCCCCAGCTTTGGGATTTTGATTTTGGGTCCATGGCAGGGAAAAAACCCTTAGTTTTGATTTTGGTTTTTAATTTTGGCTTTTTTTTTTTTTTTTATACAGGCATGTTTTCTTTGTTTGTTTGTTTTGTTTATACAAGCACTGGGTACAGTCAGAAGCGCGGGAGGGTGAGAGGATTCACCAGAGCCAGAGCGGGGAGCAGAGCAGGCAGAAGGACCGAAGTACACTGCTGAGGGGAGCAGCGGGCGGCAGGAGAGGTCTGCGCGCCATGCGGGACCCTCCTCCGGTGGCTGGGAAGCAGCCGGGGATTGAACCAGCGCCGCAGAGGCAGCGGGCAGCTTCGCAACCCAGCGCTCAACCGCTGCGCCACCGGGGAGGCCCTAATTTTGGCTTTTTACAATTTTGTGTTTTGTGAAAAAAAATTTTTTTAAGAAGGGCCCTTGTTTGATTTTTCCCTTTTATCTCTGCAGACTCCTCTGGCAGGTGGCGTGTGGTTCCGGTGAACACGCAAGCCTGCCACTTCAGTGTGAGTGAACTGCCTTTCCATCAGGCAGTGGCGAGAGGAATCTAGTCTCAGGGAACTAGCGTTGGCCCTCATAAGGAAGCAAAGAGGAGGCTGTGTCACTGCAAACATGAGTACAACTGCAGTTGCATAAGAGCCTCCACGTGGGTTCAGTGAGAAAGCGAGGGAGCCGCCTGTGTCCATATGTCGTGTGTCTGTGCGTCTTCCCCTTAGTGTCTGATTGTCCTGGCCTCCGGAGGATCTAAACTGGTAGAGGCAGAACGCATAGAAATTATGAGATTAGAAACATATACTGGGAACTGGCACAAGTGCTTCTAGAAGGCGTGATCTGCGATAAACTGTGCTCAATGAAAACGAATTTGGAATTTAATGGTTTAGCTCGAAACCTGTGTATCTTTTTTTTTTTAATTTCTCCTTTTTTTTTAAGATGTATTTATTTATTTATCCAAGCACTGGGTACAGTCAGAGGCGCGGGAGGGTGAGAGAATTCACCAGAGCCAGAGCGGGAAGCAGAGCAGGCAGAAGGACCGAAGCACACTGCTGAGGGGAGCAGCGGGCGGCAGGAGAGGTCTGCGCGCCATGTGGGACCCTCCTCCCGTGGCCGGGGAGCAGCCGGGGATCGAACCGGCGCTGCAGAGGCTGCGGGCAGCTTCGCAACCCAGCGCTCAACCGCTGCGCCACCGGGGAGGCCCGAAACCTGTATATCTTTAAAGTTGTGCAATGGGTGTAATGTTTTCTCCTTTTAACCTGTGCATTTGTTCAGGGTCAGGGAGAAGGCAGGTGACTGGCGCACCGTAGGAAGTGCTGTCTGCAGAGATTTAAAAACAGTAGCCAAGCATCCCAACCCCCAGCATTCCGCAAGGTTATTGGAAAAAATCTTTGTGGGGCTAAGTTTTACGGGCATGGATGCAAGGTTCAAACTTACAGGTTTTAATTCTTTATTCTTTAATGAATACAGCCTCCCGCTGGAAGTCAGTTCAGAGACTTTCCTGTGAGGACCCAGCAGGTGGGCTTAGCTCAAGGCGTTCCTGTCTGAGGTCATTGTCAGTCACTGGGCGATGTGGGACTCGCTAACCCAAACCAGAGTCTTCCCTTGGGACCCAGCCAATAATAAAAACGAGAGTCTGATTGTGAGGACCAACAAAGAGAACTGAAGCCATTCTATTTCTGTCCTACTAAGTAACCAACCGCCTGGAGTATTTTGTTTTTTATTAGTGTTTAAATGTAAAACAGAGAAACGAGGGATAAGGTATTTCGCACGAGCAAACGTTAGTTCTGTTGTGAAACATTTTGCTGAATTTGGGCATCTTTAGAATTGCAATGTTTTATTCTCTCCATAAAATGTTCTATTGTTTTTTTTTTTTTTTTTTTTTAATTAGAGGCATGTTTTTATTTATTTACCTGTTCGTTCGTTTTGTTTATACAAGCACTGGGTACAGTCAGAAGCGCGGGAGGGTGAGAGAATTCACCAGAGCCAGAGCGGGGAGCAGAGCAGGCAGAAGGACCGAAGTACACTGCTGAGGGGAGCAGCGGGCGGCAGGAGAGGTCTGCGCGCCATGTGGGACCCTCCTCCGGTGGCCGGGGAGCAGCCGGGGATCGAACCGGCGCCGCAGAGGCCGCGGGCAGCTTCGCAACCCAGCGCTCAACCGCTGCGCCACCGGGGAGGCCCAAATGTTCTATTGTTTTAAAGCTACAAAGCAAAGTGGAATTCAACATGTTTATTGCCCATTGTTACATGATTAGTACCAGAGACGATTTTTCTGTACAGAGAGAGCTAAAAAGTAACCAGGAATTCACTGCTGACGTTGCCACCGACCAGCCTGCCTGTGCTGCCCTCTCCCAGTGTCCACTCCCAAGTAGGCACCTGGCCACGGCCAGCCCACCCAGGTGGTTCTGGGGCCAGTGGCAGGGCTGCCCCACAGAGCTCCAAGGCCAAGATGGCTGGAGTCCCCCATTCCTGGATCTAACCCCACACCACAGTGAGGCAGAGGGGACCAACTCAGGTTGATGCTGGGAGAAATGGTAATGGCAGTTGGGCTGGCACCAAGAAGGGCCATGCTGATGTGTGGAGACCAGCAGAGGAAGGCACGCGGTGATGAGAGAAGTGGGCACCAGGGGGCCAGTAGGCGAGAATGGTGGAGGCCAGCAAGACGGGATGCCTTTAATCCTGTCCTCCCTCGTCCAGCCACCAGGGGGCGCGCCCCTCGCCGCGTCCTCTCCAGAGTTGCTCCCGTTTGACTGCTGGACATGGGCGCTCTGGGGGGCTCCACCTTTAGCACTGGTCACAGATGACAAGGCCGAGCCTGGGAAGGCCCGGGCAATGCTGGGTCCCTGGCAGATACAAGGCACTCAATAAATACGCATTGGAGAAATGCATGAATGGAGGAGCCAAGCGAGGAACCCGGAAGAGTGCCATCTCCCTGGTCAGAGTGGGGAGGAGCTGAAAGGGGTAAAACTAAGGGGTACTTGCAGTGGGTAAAACTAAGGCCCAGAGTCTGGCCTGAGGTCACTTACAAGGTCAGGAGCTGAGTCCATCAAGACCCTCACGTTGATTTCCACCATCCAGTGCCCCAGAGAAAAACCACAATAGTACAGAGAACAGGTTGTCCCGGTGTGAGTCACCCCATCCAGACAGGAGAGGCAGAATGGTGGCCCCTCAGAGTGTCCCCCAAGGGAGGGTTTGCTGAGTGACCATGTGACAACACACAGACACCCCAATTCTTGCCTTTAGAAGAATATATGACATCCAGGAGACATGAACACAGGATGCTGGCCAGCATCCTCTGTGGGGTAGTCCTATTGGGTAGCCTGAGAGGAATGTGTGGCCCCCAAAGGGGCATGGGGAGGGGACTTGGGACTTGGCATGTATCTCCCCACCTATACCCCATCATCAAAAATTCTCTACACTCACTCCCACACAGGGTCAGCTATCCCGAGGGGAAGGAGGGCGGGAGCAGGAGGAAATGGAGTGTGCGCAACCACATTTCTGTGAGAGCGCCACTGTGGATCGGACTACCCGTACCTCCAAAAGTCTCTGCAGCTGAGTATGTGTAACCGGGATGCCTTGATAAAAACAAATGCTTATAAAAAATAGGAATTAAGGGGTGAACAGAAATGTTGATTGGCGGAAACCCAGTGTTGGCTCCAGCTGACACGCCAGAATTGCTGAGGCTATTGAGATGACATACGAGCTTCCTGGTAGCCAGGGCAAAAAGGGAAATTTGTATTTTATAGTGCCTGGTCAGACATGTCTTCTGACATGGGAGTGGGTACACATCTCTTTGTAACAATACCTAAGAATATGTGAAGGTGTGTGTAAGAGGCAATGAGAAACAGAACAGTGTATCATGGAATTAAACAGTGACAAGCTGCCTGATAGCCAGGGCAAAAAGGGAAACTGATATATTACAATGTCTTGTTAGACACATCTTCCTCTAGGCCATGCTTGTTTGTGACAGTATCTCTAAACAAGTGAGTGTGAAGGGAATACAAGCAAACATACAGTTTCTGAGTGTAAAATAACTGTGAGTTTCTGGGTAGCCGGGGTGAGAGGGGAAATTAAAGCCTATTCAGTGTGTTCTCACTTGTGGGCCAGTATCTGTTCACGACAGTGAGGCTGACTGTGTGCAGGGGTGTCTACTTGTGGCTGGGAATCAGATAGCTGCAAATGGGAGATATTTCTGAGTTCCCGGGAAGCCAGGGCAAAAAGGGGTATATGTTGAGTTTGAGTCGGGTCAGGCACATTTTCCTTGTGTGGCAATGGGGCTTCATCTGGGGGTTCAAACAGGGCAGTGCCGGGCGACCAGTCGTATCCGGCTGTCCTCAGCGGGGCTCCAGGGCCGACCATAGCCAGAGTGGGGAAGCAGCAGCCGATCCTGAGTTCCGTCGGGGCTGACGATGCGCTGGGCAGCCAGCAGGTACTCACGATGGAGGGCCAGCTGTGGACAGGGGCAGCGACCTGGGGCCCACAAGTACTCGCGGGCCCGCAGTGGGGAGCGGTTCTTGTAGACAAGCTGCACACGCACTTCATAGCGGGTCTCATGGGGCTGGCGGAGGAGGCCCAGCACCTGGGCGCGGAACACTGTGGGCAGGGCGGTGCTGAGGCCAGCTGGATGCTTCAGTCTGGGTACCCATTCATGCACCCAAAGCCAGAAAAGGGAACTGACTGGGGGGCCCTGGGGACCTTGGGGAAGGGACTGGGTCAGAGTCAGGCCAGGGGTCAGGGGTCAGATTAAGGCAAAAAATAAGGTGAAAGAGTCAATTTAGGTCAGAAGGGGTCAAGTTGGAGTGACAGTTAGGTCAAGGAGTCAAAGATAAAGTTGGATCAGGTCAGAATTCAGCAGGGCAGGGACCGGGTTGAGGTCAATTAGGGCCCAGGCAAGGGCTGGAGTCAGGCTCTCACCAAAGTCACTGCTGCAATAGTGGATCAGCCTGTGGGCACGGCCGCGGGTGTCGGGGCAGGGTGGGCAGGGGTCTGCAGGGTGGTGCAGTCAGGGGCATGACCTCACCTCCCTGCTGAACCCCACCCCAGCCGTCTCCACCTCACCTGGGGCAGGGATCGTGGTCCGTGAGGGGATGGCAGCAGGGACTGTGGGGGTCACAAGGGGTTGAGGCTCTACCTCTTGAAGCCGTTGCTGCCGAAGGGACCCCAGAGCCTGTGTCTGTGCCTGGAAGGGGCCGTAGAGCTCCCGAGGGAGCCAGAACTCGAACTGGATGCCCGGGTTGGGCTCCCGCAGGAGGACCTGCAGGGATGTCACACACTAGGGAGGTGGACTTGAACCTGATGGTTCAGCTCCCCCTCCCTACCTCCCCCTCTCCCCCCACCTCCACCCACGAACCCTCTATTCTCAGCCTCCCCCCTGTCCCCGGCCTCCACTTTGATCCTCTAACCCCAACCTTCCTTCCAGGCCCCAGCTGCCCTTCAGTGGCCCGAGCACCTGCAGGAACAGGCGCTGGGACGTGGGACCCACTGCGCTCAGGGTCTCCTGCGAGGACTGGTCTCGAGTGTAGACCACGTGGGTGCCCGCCGCCTCGTAGGTCCCGGGAGGGCTGATGGCCCAGTTCCCGTTCAGCACGTAGCTCCCGTCGCCCCCCATCAGGGCTGCAAGAGAAGGGTCAGCAGGGGCTCTCCGGGACAGGCCTCTCCAGTCTCCCCCTCCCGGGCCTCAGTCTCCTGGGCTGCAGACGGGACGGTCCTGTCCTGGGGGCCCGCAGGGCGCCTCCCCCCTGGGACCCGGAGATACCCAAGTGGTTGCGGCTCCGCTGCGTGACGCGGAGGTGTCTGGCGCCCTCAGGGATCAGGGTCACGTTCCAGTACCCCGCGAAGGCACCTGGGTGTGAGGGAGCGAGGCTGTTGGGGGCGGTGGGGGTGCATCGAGGGACTCAAGGATTACGCGGGATGCTGCGGGGAAGGAGGCTCGGCGGGGACCCCGAGAGCTCCCTGTCACCGTTCGGATTCATTACTCCGGCTTAAGTGGGTCTGGGGGACAGTGAAGCCCAATCTCGCCGGCAAGGGCGGGACGCGGCAGGGCCGGATCAGGAGGAGGAGCCGGAGCGAGCAGGGCCCCGAGCTCGGCCTCCGGCCCGCGGCCGCGGGGGGCCGGCGGAGGGCGGGCCAGCGCGGGGCGGGCGGTCACCGGCGTCGCGGAACACGCGCTGCACGAGGAGGCACGAGTCATTGGCGCCGCCGCAGCGGCCGCAGCGGTCCTCGCGGGCGTCCGAGCCCAGGAAGCCGTCGCACCCGGCGCCCTGAAGGGATGGGGAGACGCGCGCAGTTACCCCGCGGCCCGCTACCGGCGCCGTGGGGGCGGGGCCCGGCGGGAGGCGGGGCATTGGTGGGCGGGGCCTGGTGGGAGGCGGGGCCTGGTGGGGCGGGGCCTGGTGGGGCGGGGCCTGGTGGGGCGGGGCCTGGTGGGGGTCCGGCGGGAGGCGGGGCATTGGTGGGCGGGGCCTGGCGGGGCGGGGCCTGGCGGGAGGCGGGGCCGAGGCGGAGGTGAGGCCTGAAATAAAAGAAATTAAACCCGGGAGTAAAAGGGCGGGCCTTAGAGGAGGGAAGCGGAATAAGAAGAGGCGCCTGTTAAGTGGCGGAGCTTGTGGGAAAGGGCGAGAACGCAAAGTAAAAGGCAATGGCCCCGGGGGCGGCCTCCGGAGGGAAGAGGCCGAGGCGGAGCGTGGGGACGTGATGGGCGGGGCGCTGGGGCGGGGCCTGGGTGAGAGGGGCGGGGCCCAGGTGGGGGGCGGGGCCTTGCTGGGGGAGGTGGGCGGGGCCAGGCGCCTCCTTACAAGACAGCGACCGGCCACGCAGAGTCTCTGGGCATCTGGGCCGCAGGGGGTGCCGTCCAGCACGCGGCCGAAGCTGTGGTAGAAGGCGTGCCCCTCGGCCAGGCAGTTGAGGTCACACTGGTTGGGTGCTGGGGATGGGAGTAGCAGTTGGGCTAGCCAGGGGACCTCTATCCGATTCCCAGCTCCCTTCCAGCCAGGCGCCCTTGCAGATGAAGCCGAGAGATTGAGCCCAAGTCACACAAGGAAGCAGAAGCAGAACCAGGACCTTTGCCACCAGCTCGCTGGGGCCCTCCCAGGTAAGTGTTCTGGGATTAGATTCATTCAGTCACTCATTCGTGCACTTATTCAAGTTAAATCCTAGTGTTTGGCAACGTTACCTACTATCCATTATTAACATATTTGCTACCCATTCTTCATTCATTCTTTCATTCCCCAAACACTTTTTGAAACCTATTTTCCAGATATTGTTCTGGCTCTGGACTGCAGCCATAGGCTGAACTAACTTAGCACCTTGAGTTCTGCACCCAGCAGGTGCCCAACAAAAAAGTGTTTGTCTGGTGCTGAGCCCCAAGTAGCCTGTGTGGCTGCCCTCCCCGAGAGTTTCCGCCTCTGCTGACAGCAAGGCATAACAGGCAGTGTGATCACACCCTCTGACCCACAGTCCTGGTCCCTGCTCCTTCCACAGAAGCTCCCTCTGGCTCCCACCTCCCTGAGCCTGGCTGGCAGATTCTGCCTGGAACAGAGCCCAAGCTGGCCCTGGCGGCCCTCGGAGGGGGTATGATCATGGCTCATGCATGTTTCCTCCAATTCTTAGAGCAAAGAAAAATTTTAAAAAAGTTATGAGGTTGATGAATGGAACTTTCTCCATTCTAGGCTTTTCTTATCTGTGTCTGCCCCCACCGTGGTGTCTGAGCTGCCTGTCTCCCTTAAATCTGGAGGTGCACTGCCCGGGGCACACAGTTATATAACTCGCTATTTTCAGCTCAGTGCAGCAAAATATCCTGCTACTGGAATAAGTTTGAGAACTGTTAGCCTCCAGAAACAGCTCCAAGTAAATCCTTGGCCTGGTATTCAACCCTGTGCAGAATATACCCTGCCTTCCTTTGCCCCTGCTGCACACCCCACACATGCTATTTCCTGTTCACTTCACCAACTCCTACCTATCCTCCAAAGCCTCAGTGCTAATGCCCCCTTCTCTTTCCTACCCTCCAGATATCCCTTCCTTCTTAGCAGCCACTTCTCTCTACTGGATCTGAGTTGTTTCCTCTGAAGCAGCAGATGGGCAGGCTACTCACCACCGTAAAAGGGTATCCATTGGTAGGTCTTCTGTGTGCCCTGGAGAGGGTGGCGATTGTAGAGGGCACACTGGAGGTCTCGGAAGGGCACAGCTCCTGGGGGACAGTCCTGGGGATGTAGGTGAGTCAGAAGCTAGGACAATCCTCAGGGAGCCCAGAGAACCAGACGAGTATTTGGGGGATATGAGTGGGAAAGTAGAAGGGCTTCAGGGCAAACTCAGGACCTGGGAGATGGACAGAATTTACCAACAACTGGCAGAGACGGTATTCGTGGGTGTCCCCCCAGCATGACTCTTCCTCCGAAAACCTACAGGGATCACAGTGGCCACAGTATGGTCAGGACCCCCAGGACTCCCTCCAGAGGGCCTGCCTGCCGACCTTCTGCCCCTGCCAACCCCACCCACATTCCAGATGGCTCTTGGGATTGAAAGGCACAGCAAGTGTGGGCAGGAAGAGGGTGTGGCCAGGGGCTGGGCCAGGCCGTCAGGAGAGGAGGGACAGGGACCCAGTCCCATCCCACTCGGCTGAACCCTAATGCTGCTCACCGGATGCAGTGCCGGCTGCGCACGGAGACGCCCCGCCCACAGGTGCTAGAGCAGCCACTCCAGGAACCCCACAGAGTCCACTCAGCCGGACCCTACTTGGAGAGAAACAGGCACAGTGAGTCTGCAGGGCGGGCTGGTGCCTCCCACACCGTAGGCTGGGTCTCTCTGCCCACCTGCCCCCTGCGTTCATGCCCCCCCTTACCTGAGCACTGCCCCGCAAACCACAGTTCAGGAGTGTCCACAGCAGAAGCGGGAAGGTCCAGAAGGGTTGGGGTCTGGGAGAGCAGAAGGGCTCAGTGCAGCAGGGCTGCCAGGTGGCCAGGGGCTGAACCCCAGATCTGCTAGGACTGGGTGTGTGATTTGGGTCAGTAACTTAACCTTTCTGAGCCTCACTTCTCAACTCTGAAAATGGGTGATGATAGAGCCCTCATTACAGGAAAGTTTTGAGGGCTGATAGGATCCGGGAAGGAAAACAAGGAGGAGCAGAGCCTGGCATGGGGAGGGAGAGCTCAGATAATGACCCGCTGCTTGTATCAGTTGGTCAGTCTTACACTGCACACGGCGGGGCTTAATCAGAGCTTATAATGGAAGGAGGTATTCCAGGACCAGGACCCCCTTAATGCTGTCCCCATCATCATTGCTTCTACCTTCTTATGTGGCTGGGGCCCAGCCACTCTGACTCCACAGGCCTCAGTTTCCCCATCTGTGCAGTGGGAACCAGCAGGGCTCAGTCCAGGCCTCTGAGACCTTGCAGAAGGTACAGCCGGCGGGGACTGAGTCAAGGGCCTGGCCCGCAGGACCTCCTCAGCTCCCAGACCAGCACCAGCAGGGAGCCCGTGGATTGGGGGAGGGGTGGGGACGGATGACCTGGACCTGGTCCAGTTGGCACTTCATGGCCTCACATGCAGATGGTGGGGCATGGAGCACCGGGGCAGCCTGCAGAGGCAAAGGGACTACTGATGAGGGGATGCGGGAGACAGTGGGCGACTAGGGGGTGGGTGGCTGGGGTAGAAGATTCTGCCAACCCAGGCCTCAGTCTCCCATCTGTCAGGGGAAGGATGATGTCACTTGCCATCCACACCCCCAAGGAACGGGGCCTTGGCAGGAAGGTGGGAGGGAGGAGGCACCTTCTGGGTCCTTTCTTGGGCCACTCCACGAGCCAATGGCATCCACTCATCTGGATCCTGCTTGTGGTGAAACAGGCATCGTGAGGGGCAGGCTGGGGCTGCCCATCTGTCCCCCCGGCCAGGGCCAGAGAGCCTGGAGGTCAGCAGTGGCTGAAGGGCGACCAAGACATGTGGAGGTCCTGGGCACCAGGTGGAGAAGGCTGGGCCCGCGGCACCCATGGCCCTTCTGGAGCCTTAGTCTCCCTGGTTTTCAGGCCCTCCTGGCTCTGACATTCGGGCCTGGCGCCAGGGACATGGTGCTGCCAGTGCTGAGGGCCTGGGGAGGCCAGGAGTTGGAAGAATCACTTTCCCACTCACTCCCCAACGCCCCCTCCGGGGGAGCAAAACACACAAACTCCGGGCTGGTGACTGGCCCTGTGATCTGGGGCGGGACAAGGCTCTGGGCCTCAGTTTCCCCAGGAGGACGTGGGAATAAGCTCCCCCCACCCTAGGATTGCTGCCTGGCCACCCCCCAACCGGGTCGGGTGCAGGGGAGGGGAGGAAGCGCCGGCCGTGATAGTGGGGGGATAGGAAGAGGGACTTACCGACTACAAGGCGCCCAGGAGGCCAGTCCCGGCTCCCCGGCGGCACCAGGGCGAGCGGAAGCAGCGGGGCCCGCGGGAGGGGCGGGGGGAGCCGAGGGCGGCCCCTCCCACCCGGCCTCCCCGGGCGCGCCCCGGCCGGGGTCCGCGGGGGCTGAGGCTCCGTGCGCCCCCGCGCGGCCGTTGCGCGCCAAGGAGCGGGGCTGCGGCGGGGACGGCCCGCCCCGGGGCTCCCGGCCTGCGGCTCGCCCTCCGCGCGGCGGCGGCCCGCTGACCTTTGGGTAGGCCGGGGCGGGAGAGCCGCGCGGGCACTGACCCGGCTAACCCCACCCCGGGGTTGCTATTCCGGGCGCCGCGCTCGGGCCGCAATGGGCGCCAACCGGGGTTTGTCCCGGGCGCCTGTTCTCCCCCCACGCCCAGCGCGCGCCCCGGGAGGATCCCTCTGCGGGTCCCTGCTCCAGCCCCGGGGTCTCCCCGGCCCGGGGTCACCCTACTCCGGAGCCGCTCACCCGGGTTCTGATTATGGGGATCCCACCCTAGGTCCTGGGTACCCCCAGCGCAGGGCCCCGGCGCCCCGGGGTGAAGCTCAGTCCCAGGGGCCGGGTGTGCAGGGCGGGGAGCCCCCTCCTGACCCGGCGCATTCCCGGGCGCTGCTGTCAGCTGGGCACGAGCCCCACCCGCTTCCCCTCCTCCCCGCCTGCGCCCCGGTGTGACTTTGGGGCCAGAGCTGGGCCCAGAAGCTCCCCCTCCCGCCTGGCCGTGGCCGACCCCTCTGGTGTGTTTCCCGCCCCGGTCCCCGCGGGGCCAGCGCGCCCTCCGTCCTCCGCGCCACGCTCCCAGCGGGACTTGAGCTCTTCCCCGGCCTGGGGAGGACAGTGTCCCTCGGGGTCCCGCCACCTCACCCGGCCTGGGCCACCATCTGCACCGCCGCTCCCCCCACCCCAGCTGCTCGCTGTGCTCCCGAGGTGCTCCCTGGCCGGCGGGTTGAGGAGATGGGGGCGCCGGCGGGCGAGGGCTGTAGTGCCCTCTGCCTCCGCGGCCAAGACCACTGGAGCCCTCTTCTCCTGCAAGCCTCCCTGGGTCTCCAGCCCTGACCACCAGGGGGTAGGGGTGCCAGTTCAGCTCTGTGCTCCAGCCTGGAGCAGCTCGGGGCAGGGCCGCCAACGCCACCCACCCACTCAGTCAACATTTGTTGAAGACCCACTGTGTGTCCTGCTGCTGTGGCCCACCCAGCCCGCCAGACTCGAGGGGTGAGGCAGCCCCGGGGGGACATCATCGCACTTGGCCAGGACACCCAGAGGAGATAGCTCATGCCCGCTGCGCAGTGGGGAGCCAGGAAGGCCACCGCTGCTGAAAGGGCTGCCCAGGAGGGGAGAAGGGCAGCGCCCGCCGAGGGAGTGGCCTCGGAAGCCCGAGGCTGGAATAAGAGCCGGTGCCAGTGCCAGTCGGGAGGTTGGGGTGTAGCCTGGGCGGGGGGGGGGGGGGGGAGTTCACAGAGGGGCCAAGAGAGGTGGGAGTGGATGTTCTAGTTTTAGAAAAGCCACCCCTGGCTGCTGTGGGGGCAGGAGCAGGAGGCCGGGAAAGCAGTGAGGAGGCAGCAGAGAGGGTCATGGGGGCAGGGCCTGCTCCGGGGTGTAGGTGGGGTGCAGGAATGTGTGATGCCTCCCGAGGGGCAGATGTGAGGAGAGGCCAGGGCGGAGCTCGGTCAGGTCACAGGGTGGGGGAGGGAGGAGCCCCATGTACCGAGGGGCAGAAAGAAGTGGGTGCGCGGGGAGGGCAAGTCCGGAGGTCACTTCTCGACAAGTCTAGGTTGGGACACCTTGAGACATGGAGAGACAGTCGAGGGGCCGAGCCTGGCGGAAGGGGAGCCTGGCGGAAGGGGCGCATGGCGTCCTCGGCACTGCGGGAGGGCATGGAGCAGGAACGTGGGCAGACTAGAGGCCAGTCTGCATGTCAGAGCCCAGGAGCGCGGAGGAGAATGGCAGGGCGTGGGGTCTCAGAGGTTGAGAGCGGAAGAGGGGCGACCTGCGAGGGAGAACGGGCCAGCGGCAGCGTCTGTGGGGGTAGTCGGGTAAGCCTGGGGGCAGAGCTCCAGAGACAAGGGCCGGAACCCTCCGCAGAGTTGTGCTAAGCTATGAACTGGAGCCTGAGGGACATCAGAAATAATCAGGCTTGGCCTAGGGGTCCCACCGAGTGGACGGGCCCCTCCCACCATCCCAAGCCCAGTGCTGCGCGTACAGCAGGCGTTGTGCTCTGCAGAGGGCGGGGACAGAGCTGAACCCTGCAAGAGGCGGGTGCAGAAGGCACTAGCTCTGTGGGGAATGTATGCAGCAGGCTCTTCACCCTATAGACGTGCATACAGCAGGCACTGTGCCCTGCAGGGAGTATGTGCAGAGGGCGGTGAACCCTGCAGGGAGTGCATATAGTAGATACTGAACTTTACACGAGTGCATACAACAGTCACTGCATCTTGTAGAGCGTATACAGAAGACACTATATCCTGCAAATAGGGTACACAGAAGGCTCTGTGCCCTACAGAAGTGTGTACAGAAGGCACTGTGCCTTTCTGGGAATGCATGCAGCAGGCATGCAGTGGGTGAATACAGAAGGCGCTGGGTCCTGCAGGGAGTGTATACAGCAGGAATTGCATCTTGCATGGGAGTGCATACAGTAGGCACTGTGCCATGCATCGAGCCATAGCCCTGGTGGAATCACCGGATGGTGTGAAGACGGGGCATCCTGAGCCCTCCAGCCTCAGGACTCCACTTCCAGCCTCTGGACTCCGCAGATCCCAGAGAAGGCCAGGAGTGTAGCTCAGCAGACTTGGTATAGGTGGAGGCTGGGCATCAGGTTCAGAGGCTCCAGGTGTAACTCAGCCTCCATCCCTGTGCCCAGACCTGGCCCTGGGGCCCAGGGTTCAGTGTAGCACCCCTACACTGAAGCTCCAGACCAGGCCCACTCCCTGAGGCAGAGCCAGAATCTGCCCTGGCCAGGTGAGTGCGGATCTCGGCGGATGTGGGTTAAGCGAGCTCCTGCTCCTTCTGCGGTCTCGGGGACGTGCGGCTTCGGAAACGCCCGTAAGCACATCCCGTGGTCTCCCTGTGTTCCCCCAGCTCTCTGTGCCCCCCTGTCTCCTGTGGGCTTCTATGATCCCTCAGGCCTAGCCACATGGTCCCCAAGACATTACTGAGTGGATTGGGTGAAGGGATCCTGCCTCCTGTGCCCTGGAGCCCTGGGAACCCTTGGCCGGGGCAGCAGAGCAGGAACAGGGACACAGCATGGCCAGGGTCCCCGTGGGAGCTGGGGAGGCTGTTGCCGTCTCTGCCACCCGAAGGGCTGCTCCAGGTAGGTGCCGCCAGAGCAGCAGGACGTTGAAAGGACCAGGTTCCTTATCTGCCGCTTGAGTCTGTAATGGGGCCGCACCCAAGTCCTCTGCGCGTCACTTTTTTTCGTGTTAGCAATTTGGGTGTCTGTGGCGTCTAATCACGAGGGGCCCCCTGCTGGGAGCCGTGTCCCTTCCAGCACCCTCGCTCCTGGGCAGTTTGCATTTTGCACGCCACCATCGTGCAGTCGTGACCCAGTGACCAGGGACCTTTGTCTCCTGGGAGTCCCCACTGCTTGGGCCACTCCTGTATCTGCCCCCCTGGAGGATCAGGACACCGAGCCCAGACTTGGGGGTCCTGGACAGCTTCACCCCCACCTCTGAATGACTTCTAGGCGCTGAGGGCTGGCGGCTAGCGGGACTACGCCCTGTGCCTGCGGCGGGGGTGGGGAAGGGTCAGGCGAGACTCAGTTCCGGGGAAGCCCTCCAGGCCCTCGGTTCCCCCTCTGAACACTCAGCACAGGAGCCGCAGCCCCCAAAGTCCCCGCCCTCAGCCACTCCACAGCCTTTGGCACCAGCCCGGCGACTGCGTTTCACCTGGTCGTCAGGCGGGCTGGTGGCGCGGGGAGCTGGAAGGAGATGTGTCACATCGTCCTTGCTGACCGCGGGGCGAGCGGGCAGGTGGCCTCGCCATCCTCCAAACGGGACAGGCCGCCGCACAGCCCAGCAACCCCCTCGGCCTGTGCCCGGAGCAGCCCCCAGCCACAGCAGCGCGGCCTCGGCCCCCGCGGGGACACGGCGGGCCCCGTGGCCATCAGCTCGTCAACACGGTCTGCAGCAGAGGAGCCGCCGCCTCACGCTGAGCCCCGATGCCAGGAGGAGGAAGAGGCAAGGACAGCTGGGGAGGTCTGGCAAGAAAAGTGGGGCGGGGGACTCCGCAGGGGGGTGTGCTGGGTGGCGAGGGGACAAAGCTCCGAGGAGCCGACGACAAGCCCCGAGACTGAGAAGCGAGGAGAGGTGTGTCCCGGGAGCCCGCCCCCCACTTCCTCCCGCGCCACCCTCCACGGTCATGGGGTTCCTGGAGGTCAGTGCAGGGGACCTTCCCACTCTGCCCATGGGCCTTGTCCCCGGGGGCCTGTGTGGACGGTGGAGGAGTCGTGGGCACCGGCCCAGGGAGCCCAGGCCACTTCACAGGCCAGGAGGCCGGAGAGGGACCCGGCAGCCAGGCTGAGCCAGGCCGCCCGTGCGCTCCGCCCAGCACCGTCAGCGAGGACAGCGGGGCTGGGGCCCGGCCTCTGCTGACCGCGCGCCCGGCCCCAAGAGCACCCCGCCCCAGGCCTCGGGGCGCCCCTCGTCAGTGCTGCCTCAGCACTGATCCACCTGAGCAGGTATTTTGAGTAAAGCCTCCCGGCACTTCTCCGAGGAAATCTGCTGACTCTGGGGAGTTATCTGAGGGCAGCGAGGAGCAGACTGGAGGAAGCCAAGCCTGGGGCCTGGGGCCTGGAGCCGGGGGCTCAGGGGGGGCCGCCTGGCTGGGGCTCCAGCCTGGAGAGTCGGGCAGCCCCTCTGCAGAAACGCTGTCCTGAGCTCGCGCCCCAACTGTTCCCTCTGCTCATCTGTAAGTGGGGGTATTAGTCAGCCCCCTGCGTGGGTAAGGCTGTGTTTTGGGGGGATGGGGAGTCTAAAGTGTTTTTCATTTTTTTGATTGTGGTGAAATACATGAACATAAATTTGCCATCGCAGTCACGTAAGCTCAGGGGCATCAAGCACACTCACACCGCCGAGCAGTCGTCTGCGCCCTCCAGCTCCAGAACTTTCTCAAGTTTCCCAACTGGAACTCTGTCCCCATCACACTCACCCGCAATCCCTGGCACCACAAACCCACTCTCTGTGGCTGGGCCTGTCCTGGACGTCTCTCGTCAGTGGCCTCACACCGTGTGGCCTTGTGCGTCGGCTTCTCTCCCTGAGCGGCGTGATCCGGGCCCCTCCTGCCTGTGACTCTGCTCGTCTGTCCAAGGACACGGCTTACTTCCGCCTTCTGGCTGGTGTGAGTCGCGCTGCTGTGAACAGGGGGGCTTTGTGTTTGATCATAGTTTTTTCATTCTGGAGTGCTGGGGAGGGGTCTCTACTCAGGGGCTGCTGGCAGTGGAGGCCCCCCAGTCCCGTGGTGGAGGCTGGGCCAGGAGAGCGCAGTGAGGGCTGGGGGGCTGGGGGGCTGATCTCTGAGGCAGGGAGTGGACAGGCAGGCCGTGGGCTTGGTCTACAGACCTTGGCCAAGAATTTGGGATTTCGTTCCCCTGGGAAGCTTCTGGGAGCTCAGTGGACTCAGTCGTCTGCCCTAACATGAAGGCCCACCTGCACTCCCTGGGGGGGTCCTGTGGGGGACAGGGGTCCGGGCGCCCCCGACCTGCACTCCAGGCGGGACTCAGCCACAGTTTCTCAAGCCTGGGCTTCGTGCCTTCCTGAGCCTCAGTTTCCTCACGTGCAACGTGGGGCTAAGGATAGCGCCTCCCTTACTGCCCAGAGGGGGCTGGGCCCTCGCCTTGCCCTAACAGTGCCTCAGTGGAGCCTGTCTGACCTCTGGCTGTCGTCTTCCGAGGGCCGGGTGGGCCTCAGCACGGGATCTGCGCACTAAATAAATGCTAAGTGAACACGCGGGCGCTGGGGAGGAGCCGGTTCTCAGTGCCCCCCGCCGGCCGTGGGGGTTCACACCTGTGGCCCTCCAGCTTCTGTCTCACGGCCCCCACCTCTCTCATCAGTGGGGCCTCAGGCTCCCAGTCGCTCCAGACGGCCCTGGTGCCGAGGCCAGTCTCTACAAAGGTGCCTGGCACTTGCTCTCTTCAGCACAGTGGAGCTCCCGGTGGGGGGCTCCACACCCTGGATGCTCCTGGCATCTGACATGCCAGGCAGACATGTGCCAGCTCGGAAGGGGGTTCCCGTTCCTGGTGGCATGGCTCGGTGGATTCTGAAATCTGGTCTGGAAAATTCCAAGGCCTGATTCTAGCCACAGGGAGCCCTGCTAACCCCTCCCCATTCATTGTGTTATGTAACACGTGGGGATTAATACTGGCAGCAGCTGCCTGGATTCAAATCCTGCCGTCCCCTCCGGGCTGGGTGAACAACTTACCCTCCCAGCCTCAGGGTGTTCGCCTGTAAAATGGGGACTAGGCTAGTTGAAGTGAATATAAGGCTGAACTGAGAGAATTCAAGGCAAGAACTTGGAACTGAGTCTGGGGTGGCTCAGAGCTGCCCCCAAGGCTCCCTCCTGGACCCAAGCCCGCCCCACCTCTCACCTGACTGCCTCCCCCTGCGGCCGGTGCTGGGGTCACAGACTCCAGGGCCTGCCCATTGGCCCCCAAGTTCTGTTTCCTCTCGCTGTCCCGTGTCCCTCATACATGACATCCCCAGTGGCCCCCTCTTTCGCCCCTTGTCCTGTCCCTACTCCCTTCCCCATCGGCCCACAGATGAAGATATTGTGTTTCTGTCCCGTCTGAACCCCGCCTTGGCTCCCCAGTGCCCCACGTTCAAGCCCCACGGTGTCCCGCGGACCCCAAGGGCGCACCTGCTGGGGAGCTACACTCGCAGCTCTCAGCGCCACCGCGCTCAGCCGCCCGTGCACTGGGGGAGAGCCCAGCACCCCCTCCCTTCCTCCTGCTCACATACCTTTTCCCGAGGCCTCGAGACTGGGAATGCACTCCGCGGGCCTCAGTCTCCTGCTCGGTGCAATGGGCTCGCGGACACTGGGCAGCTTGGCGGGAGGCGAGGCCTGGACAGCAAGTCCGCGGGCGGCTGACTCCCCCGGGCATCCCCGCGGGCCCACACCCCCCTCGCCTCGGCCTACCCACCCGCGCCCTCGCCGGCCAACCGGGCGCCTCCGGACTCCGCCCCTTCCCCCCCCCAGCCAATAAGAGGCGCCCCGGCGGCGCGCGGCCCCCAGAGCGCGGAGCAGCGCGGCGGTCAGGGCGGGAGCCGGCGCGGGTCCTGCGCCCCGAGCCCGCCCGGTCCCCCCACGGGATGGAACCCGGGCTGCGGCGGCGGCGCAGTTGCCGCCCGTTGGTCTCCGCCTTCCTGCGCGATCCGCGCTCCGGGCGCGTCTACAGGCGTGGGAAGCTGATCGGCAAGGTGGGCACCCCAAGTCCTCATAGTGGGGGGCCCCGGCCGAGGGCCCCGGCGGAGCAGGGCGGGTGTGAGCGCGCGATCGTGAGTGCAAAGGGCGAGGTGCGCCCCGGCTGCTGCCTGCGTGTGTCTGTGTCGGCGCGAGTTCGGGGTCCCGCGCCGGCTGGGGGGGGGTCGGGCGCCCAAGTGTGCGGGGAACGCTGCGTGGCGCGTGGCGGGAACCGGGACTGGCCGCGTTGCCGTGTGGCAGTGGGTTGCGTGTCGGGGGTGTGCGCGCGAGTGTGTTGCTGTGCTGGTGTCTTTGTGCGACTGTTGCCGCCGTGTGTGTGTGTGTGTGTGTGTGTGTGCGCGCGCGCGTGCGTGTGAACGTGTTGCACACCTCTGCGCTCTCTGTGTCTGGATACGTGTTTCCAGATTCCGGGCTGTGCTCCCTGGGCCGTGCGCGCCCACGTCGGGATGCGTCTGTGAGCCCGTGGCCCCGGGCTCTCGCCTGTGCGCATACGTTGCCCCGCGTGTGCAGGTGTGAGGGTGTGATGTGTGTGTCCACACTGCTCAGGTGCGTGTGCATGGAGGCCGGGACACCTGTCCATACGCCTGTGCACACCTGTTGGCTGAGCAGGGACCCCCCCCGCCCCCAGGGAGCCTTCAGCCGCTGCTACAAGCTGACCGACATGTCCACCAGCGCCGTGTTTGCGCTCAAGGTGGTGCCTCGTGGCGGTGGCGGGGCAGGGCGACTGCGCCTGCGCGGCAAGGTACAGCGCCCCCTCCCATCAGTGCCCAGGCCCCCTCCCTCCGAGGTCCCCGGAGATGTGCCTGCCCTTGGGAGTGGGGGTACGCTGGTGTGCACAGCGCTGCGGGGTGAGTGCCCCGAGGGGTGTGTCCATGGGGCCCTGCGCGCAGGTGGAGCGCGAGATCGCCCTGCACAGCTGCCTCCGCCACCGCAACATTGTGGCCCTGCACGGACACTTCGCCGACCGCGACCACGTGTACATGGTGCTGGAGTACTGCAGCCGCCAGGTACCCGGGGCCTGGGCGCAGGGAAGGGCAGCCGCTTCACCGCTGTGTTCCTCTGGGCCCACTCCTGTGAGCCTCTGTTTCCCTGTCTCCTCCTGTGCCCACCGCTGCCCATTTGCTCTCATCCCGCATGTACCTGTGCCCACTTAGGCTCTCCTGACTCACCTGTGTGCACCTGTGCCCAGCCTAGTGGGCCATCAGGCCCATCTCATCCTCATCTGCGGTCACCTGGACTCACTTGTTTCTACTTGGGCTCACCTGTGCCCACCAGTGCTCCCGTGGGCCCTTCTGCGCTCAGCCATGCCTTACCTCGGCCCGCTTGAACTTAGCTGTGCCTTTATTCACCCCTTGAAGTCACTTTGCCCACTTCAGAACATCTGAGCTCCCCTGGGCCAGGCGTGTACCCACTTTGTATTCACGTCTGCACCAGCCCGTCCACCCCTTCTCAAACTCACCTGTGGCCACCCGGCCCATCTCACCATCAGCCACGCTCACCTTAGCCCAACTGAAATTACCTGTGTTGTCCCGGGCCCCATGTATTCCCTGTGCCCCCTGAACTGAGCTCGCCTGTTTGTCTGCCTGCCGGCCACCTGCAGTCGCTGGCCCACGTGCTGGAGGCGCGGCGGACCCTGACGGAGCCCGAGGTCCGCTACTACCTTCGGGGCGTGGTCAGTGGCCTGCGCTACCTGCACCAGCGGCGGATCGTGCACAGGGACCTGAAGCTCAGTGAGTGCCAGGGAAGGGGGGGGAGGCGGGAGCTCCTCGCTGCTGCCCCCACACCAGCGCCCCTCCCTGGCAGGTAACTTCTTCCTGAGCAAGAACATGGAGGTGAAGATTGGAGACTTGGGGCTGGCTGCCAGAGTGGGACCTGGGGGCCACTGCCACAGGTGGGACCCGCAGCTGGTGGGCAGTCTCTCCGGGCTTGGGGGCACAGGTTGGCCTGGTCTGTCAAGGAGCCCAGCCTTCCTGAATCCCCACTATCCCCCCTCCCAGAGTGCTCTGCGGTACCCCAAACTTCCTGGCTCCAGAGGTGGTCTCCAGGAACGGGCACTCCTGCCAGTCTGACATCTGGGCTCTGGGCTGCATCATGTGAGTGGGACCCCAAAGATCCTGGGCAGGACTTCCCAGGTGGGGCCAGGTACTGGCAGGTGGGACCCGGTAGGTAGGGACAGGTGTAAGTGTGTATGGGGGGAGACTGAACAGGGACTAGGCAGGCGTGAGCATGTACATAACTAATATGAACAGGAGTGTGCAGGTGTGGAGCAGGTGGGAACACGCACCTGCCATTGTTTGAGCTTCCAGGTATGGCGAAGGCACGTGTGGGGGTGTTAGTGTGAGGGAGGGCAGGTGTGGACGGGTGTATCCAGGTGGAAAGTGCGCAGGCAGGTCAGAGCATGAGTGGAACAGGCATGAATAGTCATAACATAGAATGGGGTCCACGTGTGCAGGTGTGTCCAGGTATCACCCAGGATGCTGTGTCTGCTGCGCAGGCAGGAATGGGTCGGCAGAACAGATGTTGGCCAAGGAGGGATGGGGGAGTTCAGCGTAGGGGTGTGTGGGCAGCTCTGGCCAGATGTACGCAGGTCGCTGCGAGCCAACCCTGGACTCCGAGGGTGTAAGCAGGTACCACCCGCCTAGGTACATGGTGCTGACCGGTGCCCCTCCCTTCGTGGCGGCCCCCCTGTCCGAGATGTACCAAAACATCCGCGAAGGCCGCTACCCTGAGCCTGCCCACCTGTCGCCCAACGCGCGCCGCCTCATCGCCCGCCTGCTGGCTCCCGACCCGGCCGCGCGGCCCAGCCTGGACCACCTGCTGCAGGACGACTTCTTCACGCAGGTGTGTGGGGCGGCAGGTGTGGCCAGCCCAGGCAGGGACCCTACACGGGAGCCCCGCCCCCTGAGCAGGCACTGAACCCAACGCCCCATTCCGAAGGGCTTCACTCCAGACCGGCTGCCGCCCCACTCCTGCCACAGCCCCCCCATCTTCGCCGTCCCCCCGTCCCTGGGCAGGCTCTTCCGGAAGGCGGGCCAGCTGCTGCTGAGCCAGTGCCGGCCCCCCTGTGAGTACCACCCGCCTGCGCCCGCCTGCGCCCGCCTGCCCGGCTCCTGCCGTGCTTCCCGCCTGCTCCGCTCTTCGTCCCCACCTGCCAGGGGCTGGGCTCTGACCCGCCAAAGCCCTTGTGCCTCCTCAGGCCCCTTCACCCCAAACGAGGCCTCGGGTCCGGGAGAAGATGGTCCCGACTCTGACTCCATGGAATTGAGTGGCGAGGTGAGAATTTGGGGTGGGGAAAACGGGGGGACACATGGAGGGCAGCCCTAGGTCCCCTCCAAACTCTCCAGCACACAAGCCTCCTTGACGCCCTGGAAGAAGCCTCCCCCCACCCGGGACTCCCGGGCTGGACCCTTCTCTCTGGCACCCTGAACCGTCGGGGCTGTGTGTCCCGACGGGGACACCTGTGTCCAGTGCTGCTCCCACCCTGTGGTCCCCTAGGGCTTGCCCTCAGGCCAGGTGACCCTCCTTCCCACCATTTGTTCACCCTGTTGTATTTATTGAGTGCCTGCTGTATGCTTTTGAGATGCTCCAAGGCTGCGGTCTAATAGAAAACCAGTCCTTTGTGTGCTGCGCACACACGGCTGGGTAGGGGGAGAAGTCAGGGTCTTCAGAGGGGGAGGCCTGAGCCCCTCAACTACCTCAGGCCTCCCGCGGGTGCTGGGGCCACGACCCCACCTCTGCTGCTCTCTCCCAGGCCTCCCCATCAGAGAGAGGGGCCCCGAACCCCGAGGTCCCTGTCCACCTGCTCTCCCAAGGGACCCTCAGGAGCGGCCTGCTGGGTGAGCAGATCCTCCCCCTAGGCTGGGGCTGTGGGGGGAGGGGGAGGGTCTAGAAGTGGGGGACAGAGCTGGTGCCTTCCCAGAATCGTGATCCAGCTCCTGGCCTTAACTTTCCTGTCTGTAAAACGGAAACGAGGTCCGGAATCCTGGGTTTAGAAATAGGATTTCCCCAGATGCGGGAGTGGGGGTGCGGCGGGGCGGCTGGAGATGCCCTGGGGTGTGTGTGGGAGCCAGGGCCTGTCTGTCTCGCCTCCTCCACCTCCCACATAGATCTGTCTCCCAGGGCCTGAGGGAAGCTCGAGGCAGGAGGTGGAAGCAGCCATTAGAAACCTGCAGCTGTGCCTGAGCCCTCGCCCCCCAGGTAGGCGCCCGAGGCAGCCCAAGGTCCAGCTTCCTCTCCACGTCCGGGACAGGTGCCCTGCCCTGGCCTCCGCCAGCCCCGACTCAACCTGTCTGTAGGGAGCCCAGCCCTGGCTGGAGGCCGCCCTGGGGACGATTTCCATGGGGTCCATTTCACGTCTCTTTCATTCTCATCACAGCCTTCCCCCAACTATGTAGCCTGAGAAGGACCCGCATCCCTGGCCAGGGGGCTGACCCACATGGCCAGCAGACCTCCCCTGTCTCCCCGCTGCTCCCCTCAGCAGTGGCTTTCAGTAGATCCGCCTGTTCTGCTCCCCACTCTGTCTCTGGTGAGTCCTCTCACCCCCCGCACCTCTGGCCTACACCCCAGATCTTGTATGCATAAATAAATAAATCTTAAAAAAAGAAAAAGACTGTCTTGAATCAGCAGGAGCTAATTTTCTTTTTCTTTTTTTAAAAGATTTATTTATTTATTTATACAAGCACTGGGTACAGTCAGAAGCGCGGGAGGGTGAGAGAATTCACCAGAACCAGAGCGGGGAGCAGAGCAGGCAGAGAGACCGAGGACACTGCTGAGGGGAGCAGCGGGCGGCAGGAGAGGTCTGCGCGCCATGTGGGACCCTCCTCCAGTGGCCGGGGAGCAGCCGGGGATCGAACCGGCACTGCAGAGGCTGCGGGCAGCTTCGCAACCCAGCGCTCAACCGCTGCACCACCGGGGAGGCCCTAGGAGCCAATTTTCATCTAAATATTTGTAATACGCTGTAAAGATCATTTGTGATTTGCTAAGTTGCAAATTTCCACCCCAGTTTTTCTACACATGCCCTCTTTTTCTCAGTCAGGAGCTGGTCCACAATTCCACGTGGCATGCAGCAATTTTTATTTTTCAGTATAAAACTTTTTTAAAGATTTATTTTTATTTATCTATACATATAAGAACTGGGGTGTAGGCTAGAGGTGGGGGGGTGAGAGGATTTACCAGAGTGGGGAGCAGAACAGGCAGACGACAGAAATCCACTGCTGAGGGGGGCAGCGGGGAGACAGGAGAGGTCTGCTGCGCCATGTGGGCAGCTCCCTGGCCGGGCATGGAACTTGTGCTGCAGTGGCTGCGGACAGCTTCGTAGACTGCATCTTAACCCCTCATGCCACCAGGGAGGCCCCCTATAAAACTTTTTTAATGAAATAAAGCAAAGCCATATTTCATTAGGCTTGACTCTGGGGAGTTAAGTGACTCAGAATATCTCCAGGGGCAGCACGTGATCCCACTGCCCCTGACTCCCCCCAAAAGGCAAGACTTGGTTTTTTTTGTCCCTCTGACTTTTCTCCACACATCCTTCCTTGCTCCTCCTCCCTGGAGCCCCTGGGCCCCCTGCTCATTTCATCTCATCTTTGTGCCCAGTCACGCAGGATCCCAGGGAAGAGCAGCGGCCCATTCTCTGGGCCCCTAAGTGGGTGGATTATTCCAGCAAGTATGGCTTTGGCTACCAGCTGTCAGACGGGGGCAGCGGTGTCCTCCTTCGGGATGGCACCCACATGGCCCTGCGCCCCCCAGAGAGGTAAGTCCTGAGGCTCCTGTCCCTCACACATTCACGCTTCAGATATTTACTTAGCACCTACTCTGCACACCTAGGCGCTTACTGCCTGGTGGGGGAAAATGTTGCCAAGCAAATGAATGACTAAGTTGACTTCAGGAAAATGAACCAGGTGTGATGAGAGATGGAGCAGGGTGGAGGGAAACTCTGAGGAGCATGATTGTGGAGGGACCTTATAAAGAAGTTACGTTCAGGTGAGACGTGAATGACTGGAAGGAGCCCATAGGGAACAGCATTTGGTGTATAGGGATCAGCATGTGCAAAGTCTCTGAGGTAGTGGGTTTGAAGACACAGGGAGAATGTGGAATTGGGGTTGGGGCATGAAGGAGGAATAGGAGTGATATAGGGGGCCAGCGGTGGGGGTGGGGAATGACTGAAGTAGTTGGGTGGGTGATGGTGGTGACCTGGGGTGGTGGCCATGGAGGATACAGAGGGGCTGAGTTTATACAAGGGGGGAAAGCGGGGGATGTGGCCAGAGGGGATTTGAGAGCTGGGCCAGATGTCGCTGTAGACATGCCAAGCGGACTGTTCATGGTTCTGGGGTTCAGGGGAAGGACTGGGGATGGATATAAGGGAGTAGTCAGCACACAGGTGGTTCAAAACCACAGTCCAAGGAGGGGGGGCTGAGTGGGGAGGCGCAGGACAGAGCCCCGAGGCCCCACCGCCCTGTGCCCGCCTTCAGCCAAGTCTGCTACGCACCTGACCGGGGGAGACTGCAAACATTTGCCCTGAGGGATGTGCCTGGCCCACTGGGCACCAAGCTGGCGGTCCTGCGGCTCTTTGCCAGCTACATGCAGCAGCGTCTGCGAGAGGTGAGCTGACAGGTGGCCGGGCCAAGCAGGCCGGGACGTCCTGGCCCCGCGGCCGCTGACCGCTCTGCCCACAGGAGGGGAGCCCGGCCCGCCCGCCCTGCCAGCGGGCCCCAGCCTCTGCCTGCTGCGCTACCTGGTGTCCGAGCAGGCCCTGCTGCTGCTCTTCAGCGACGGCACGGTGCAGGTGAGCCGGCCCGGGCGGGGGGCGGGGGGCTGCGTGTCTCCCTCTGCCCGCCGGCTGCTCTAGGCATGCTTGGGGGAACCTGGGCAACTCTCGACTCCTGGGCAGGGGCGACTAGTGACTCCTTAGGACAAAACTATAAAACCAGAAATAAAACACGTTCAAATGACGTGAAATAGACTCCGCTGGGTCCGCCGGGGGATCCCTCCAGGAACGTGCACGCGCCGTCGCGCGGGGCCGGCGTCTCCAGGGGAGGCTTTCCCGGGCGGTCCCGGCGTGGCCTGACCTGAAATGGGCTCCAAAGCAGGTGCATCCACTTTCATTAGTGCGCTTCGCATTTGTTGCTCTTCTTTAAATGCGACAGTGACAGCGCCTCTGTGTTCAAGCCAGAGTGTGGGTGTCCGCCACGGCTGACCCTGGCCCAAGCGCGTCTGCCCCAGGGCACAGGCTCCAAGCAGCTCTGCCTGGCGGCTGGGGAGCCCGCACTCAGGGGGAGGCCTGCGCGGGCAGCGTGGGCGGCGGCTCAGGGAGGAGGCACGAGTTTCCCCATCTGCACAGCAGAGTGTCGGGGCCCAGCTCCCTGGGGCCTGTGCGTGGGCCTGGGTCAGGGGCTCGAGTGCGTGTCCTTGTCCCGGGCAGGGGCAGGCGTGGGGCTCCCCCCGGACCCCAGCCTCTCCTCCCTTGGCAGGTCAGCTTCAGCGCAGACCGGGCTCAACTGGTGCTGAGCGGGGTCGGCCAAGCCTTGCGGCTCACCTTCTGGGAAGGGGGCCAGCCTGGCACCTCCCACCCACTGGGCATCTTGCAAGGCCACAGCCTGGCTGCGGCCACCCGCCAGCACCTTCTCCACGCACTGCACATGCTGCAGAGCGCCTAGCGCCCCGGAGGTCGGCGTGGGCTCTGCACCATGATGCCAGGGCCCAGGCTCTGCTTCTGCTGCCCAGGCGCCTCCCAGGGGCCTTCCCCCGGGCCGGGGGTGCGCGGCGGCCATGCGGCTGGAGGGGCCTGCCTCCCGGAGCGACTGTTCAACCCAGATTCTATTTGGCTTTGTGCTTTTTCATTAAAGGCAACTCGACTGTAGCCTGCCATCTGCCTCTCTTTGGGGGGGCCGGGGAGCTTAGCGGGGGGGCGTTCCAAGCGGGGGTGCATCTGGAGGCTGCTCCTTACGGCTGACAGGGAGGTCGCGGAAATCAGCGTGGCTCTGGCAGGACCAAGTTTCTAAAATGGACAGCACTGACTTCACAGCGGAGGGCCGGGAGCTGGGGAGACGGGGGCCTGTGTTAGACCTGCGGGAACTTGGGGTGGGGTTCGGCCTGAAGAACCAGCAGTCCGGGGTGCCGAGCAGCTGGGGTTATATGCCAGGAACCGGAAGAAAAAGATGAACTGAGGAAACAACAGAAATCAGAGAAGTCACAACTCTGAGTCTCGCAGGATTGCAAAAGGCCATTCCTCCCGGCGCCGGAGGCCGGAGAGCTGAGGCCACGCGCGCCTGTGCCGGGGTGGGGGGCGGCGTCCTGGTGGGGGGCAGGTGAGCAGCCCACGTCCGATGTTGGCGGCCCTGAGCCTGGCTGCCCCCGGATGGGAGACGCAGGACCGTCCTGTCTCGGGACTTCTTTGCCTGGGAAGGGGTCACGGGTCCTCTGGGGTCCCCGGTAGAAACCAGAAGTGCCCCTGACCCCCGAAGCCTGATGTGTGGGAGATGGGGGCCCACCAGATGGGGGAGCGGTTGTCAGCAGGTGACAAAGAAACCGAGAGGCGGAGAGAGGCTGCGCTGCTGTGGGCGGGCGAGTGGGTGTGCGCGTGTGAACCGGAATGAGGACAGAATGAAGGAATTCGGGGCGACATCATTTGTGAAACTGAAGGAATCGCGCCCAGCCTCGGTGTCCAATGCAGGGGGTCGTTAAGTAGAACGGTCTGGCCGCTCCTCTCGGCGGTGGGCGGGATGGCTGGCAGCGGGACAGAAGGGGAAGCCGAGGGCCGGGCTCATAGGAAGCCATCGCTACTCACACCCCCCCAATAGCGTGTTAATTCTCAGTGCGGGGCTCCTGGGCTGTGCTTGAGGGGAGGCAGGGAGGCCTCGGGCTCTGCCACTCATGGCCACTTCCCGGGGTCGGGCTCTGGATGGAGGGACCCGTGCCAGCCGCGTGATGCCGTGTGAGGATCGCTTTTGTGTCCCCTGGGCAACTGCTATGAATGTGGCTTAAGATGTGGGGGTGTCTTTAAAAATGCTCCCCAAATATATATGTCTTATAAATATAGACAAGACAGACTCATGGAAATGTGCACAAATATTTGTTCATATTAAATAATTATTAATTTTATTTATTTTTTAAAAGAATTATTTATTGATGCACACAAGAGCTGGGGTACAGGCCAGAGATGTGGGGGGTGAGAGGATTCACCAGAGACAGAGTGGGGAACAGAGCAGGCAGATTGACTGAAACACACTGCTGAGGGGAGCAGCGGGGAAACAGGAGAGGTCTGCTGTGCCATGTGGGTAGCTCCCTGGCTGGGGATCTATCTCGTGCCGCAGAGGCTGCGGACAGCTTCATAGTGCGGTGCTTAACCCCTTGTGCCACCAGGGAGGCCCAATAATTATTAATTTTAAACGTGTATCATTATCACCATTTTGTTTTTAAAATGGACTCGTCCTGTTAGTCTAAAATGGACTCGTGTCCCCAGGCACCCTGGGCCATGTCAGGGACATCTGTGGTTGTCACATTGGGGGGTGCTCCTGGCATCTGGTGGATAAGCCAGGAATGCTGCTCACCCCATAAGGTGCCCAGGACAGCACCCCCAGAGATGACCAAGTCCCAATGTCAGCAGTGCCTTGGAGGGGTGTGGGGAGATATTCTGCTTTAGAGATAGGAACTGAAATATTTACAGACATATGGCGTCCCTGGTGGCTCAAGGGGTTAAAAGCACCGCACTATGAAGCAATCCGCAGCCTCGGCAGCATGAGTTTGATCCCCGACCGGCCAGCGAGCAACCCACATGGCACAGCAGACCTCTCCTGACCCACCCGCTGCTCCCCTCAGCAGTGTACTTCAGTCAGTCTGCCTGTTCTGTTCCCCGCTCTGTCTCTGGTGAATCCTCTCACCTCCCGCATCTCTGGCCTGTATCCCAGCTCTTGTATGCATAAATAAATAAATTTTAAAAAAAAGAAATATTTACAGACATAATGCTTAAATTCTTTTAAAAAAATATTTATTTTAGGGCCTCCCTGGTGGCACAAGGGGTTAAGACACAACCTTCATATGAAGCTATCAGGAGCCACTGCAGCATGAGTTCGATCCCCGGCCAGGGAGCTGACCCACATGGTGCAGCAGACCTCTCCTGACTCCCCGCTGCTCCCCTCAGCAGTGTGTTTCAGTAGATCTGCCTGTTCTGCTCCCCACTCTGTCTCTGGTGAATCCTCTCACCCCCACACCTCTGGCCTGTACCCCAGTTCTTGTATGCATAAATACATAAATCTTTTTAAAAAGATTTATTTTTCTTTAAAGATTTATTATTTATACAAGCACTGGGTACAGTCAGAAGCGCGGGAGGGTGAGAGAATTCACCAGAGCCAGAGCGGGGAGCAGAGCAGGCAGAAGGACCGAAGTACACTGCTGAGGGGAGCAGCGGGCGGCAGGAGAGGTCTGCGCGCCATGTGGGACCATCCTCTGGTGGCCGGGGAGCAGCCGGGGATCGAACCGGTGCCGCGGAGGTTCGGGCAGCTTTGCAACCCAGCGCTCAACCGCTGCGCCACCGGGGAGGCCCTTAAAAAGATTTATTTTATTTATTTTATGCACTGCTATGGGGAGCAGCGGGCGAGGCAGGAGAGGTCTGCTGCGCCATGTGGGTTGCTCCCTGGCCAGGATTGAACTCGTGCTACAGAGGCTGCAGATAGCTTCATAGTGCTGAGGTTTCACCCGTTGCACCACCAGGGAGGCTCCGCATTGCATCAATTCTAAAGGCATAGTTCCTTTGTAATTAGGGGAGAAAAGCTAGCAAGACAAAAATGACACTCCGGGGAGAGGGGGTGCGTCTGTGCCCACGGCACCCTGCACGCATGAGCCATAGGTATCCCTGTGGACGTCCCTTGGCCGAGGCGCGGAGGCACCCACCGGGACCCCAGGGACGGGGCAGACACCTGCTCAGGAGCCTGCGCCAGCCCTGCTGACAACCCTGTCCCGGGGGCCCAGCCACAGGCGGCACCGGGCAGTGCCCCAAGGGCTGTGCCATGCCAGCGTCAGGTCCACCCAGCAGTCGGAGGTCGGGCCCAGATCCCAGCTCCAGGGCACCCTCAGGGCCTCCTCGTTCTTCACAAACTACTTACGGTTGGTCCCAGAAGTTGGACGCCGAATCTGTGTCAGTCTGACAAATAAAACCAGGTTCCCCGGGGCCACCACCTGCGGCCTCCAGCCCCTTCCCTTCTAGGGAGGCCGCGGGCTTTCTCTGTCCCTCGGCCCCTTTTTCTATTCATTTACACGCCCCTCGCGCCACCGGGAGACGCGGCCCCGCAGTGCCCCCGCCGCCCCTCCGCGGCCAGCCGGCTGGGTGCCCGCACCCTTGTCGCAGCTCCGCCTGCCGCTTTCACCCCGGGCCTGGGGAGCACCGCCCTCAGGGCCAGGGAGACCGCGGGCGCCGAGACCGTCTCCGCACACAGCCGTGGTGGCCGCACACGGGGAGACGCTTCTGGGCAAGAGGGGAGCAGCATGGAAGGTTCCCCCGGGACTGGGGTGCGCGCGGGGAGGAGGCCCGAGGAGAAGGGAAACGCCGCGGCCTGTCATCCTTTTTGTTATTACAAAAAAGTCACTCTTGACACAGAAACAGTAACCCCAAAGGGCCCCTGCACCCCTGTGCTCACAGCAGCGCCGTTCACCAGAGCTGAGCTGTGGAAGCCGCCCAAACGCCCAGACATAGACGCCTGGATCAGGAAGATGTGGTCCACGTGCGCCGTGGAATATTACTCAGCCTTCAAAAAAGACAAGCTCATGCAATTTGCAGCACCATGGATGGCGCTGGAAGGGATCATGCTCGGCGAAATAAGCCAGAAAGAAAAAGAAAAATACCAGAGGGTCTCACTCATAGCAGGAATCTAGAAAACCTAAATAAGAGACCAGGAAAAAGACTAATCAATACAAAGTAATAAATCACAGTCAACAAGCAACTATGAACCAGAGACACACTGGGGGGGGGGAGGGGAGGGAAGAGGAAGAACTAGAGTCAAAATAAGGGGGGTGCAATTGTCTGGGGAATATAACCAGAGTAAAAATGCATACATTGGGCAAAGATGAAAAATGATGTAAGAATTATATAAAATAAAATATTTTTTTTAAAAAAGTCACTCTTTAAAAAAGGCCCGGAGCACGTGGCCCGGAAGCACCTCTGTTGAGTTCCAGAACTTCCCCATCAGCCACGCTCATCCCTTCCCCAGCCCCCGGCACCGCGCACACTCTGGGCCGGTCTGGACGGCTCTCGTCAGTGGCCTCCCACCGCGTGGCCTCCTGTGTCTGCTGCTCTCCCTGAGCGTCCCGTGTCCAGGCCCCTCCCCTGGTCTTGAGTGTCAGGGCTTCGCCCTCTCCTTTGAAAGCCCAGTGAGGGTCCCGTGGGTGGGTGCGCGCGCTGTGGCATGTGCTACGGATGACAGAGGCCCCCCAACTCTTACAAGTGAAATACAGGGTTGGCTTCTGATGCTGAAATGTTCGAAGAGGAGGAGGCTGCGGGCAAGGCTGGCTCGAGCGGCCACATGAAGGATGAGGGCGCCCGACTCCTTGCTTCTCCCTCCCCCCTCCCTCTTCCTTGCCCTCTCGCCTATGCTTCAGCAGTCATCTTCAGCAGCTCTTGGGGCCTGGTGACAAAAGTGTCCCCTGGCTCAGGCTGATGTGCTAC